ATGATAATAATCTCATACATGATGGCTGTTCAGGTCAACCCTAAATCACAGATTAAGGTCTGTAAATGACTGAAATTTTATTTGAAAGTTATATATCTTTTTAAAGTATATAAATATATACTGTATATATTATATACTATATAATATTGTTAATCTAAAGTTTATTATAATATAATATTTACTAATAAAATACAAATTTATTTTTAATTATGATAACAATAACCTTTTAAATTTATAACCCGATTGCTTGTGTTTTATTTGTTTGTGACATTATTTCATAATATTTTAACTATAATTTAGATTTTCTCATAACTTGATGGTCAACTATATGTAATATATACAGTATATCCAAATATATTGTTTATTGAACATAATTATTTAAATTTTATGATTTGATGAATATATTAAGCTCTATGTGTATATTAATATAATAATATTTAATCAAAAAATATGTCAAAAACTAATAAACTTGTTTTGTTATGTTCATTAACATTGCCTTCATATAATGTCTTCACATAATTATTATACAAATTGGTAAATAAAACATTTGAGTTTCTCAATGTCATCATAAAAATAATTTAATCAATATATTGATTAAAATTATCAACACATAATTCATATTGTTTGTACTGTATTTATATAGAGTATGAATTTCATTTGAATAACTAATCGATATTAATATATATATATATATTATTATTATTAAAATAATAACAAACATAAAATAATATTTTTATAAAACTGTATTGTAGTATCATAATGATAACACATTTTATTTCAAGTTTAAGAGCTTATCAAACAAAATTTAATTATTTTGTTATCAATATATCTAAAACAAAATTAAATTAAAATTATTGTCGAGTTAATCAACTATTAGATTTAGTTTCAGAAAACTTTTTTTTAAGTGTTACACAAATCACGCAATTGATCTTATAATAAGACAAATTAATTGAAATTTTTCTTAACTTAATTATATTGTTAGTCAATTTAAAAAAAAAAGTTTTATCAAAAGTCTAATTATACTATAAATAGAAGATAAATACAAATCTGTTTGAGAACCTAATCAATTACTGTATGATATTTAGCGTATTTTTAAATAAAACTCAGTTATAACTTATAATAGGTTGCAATAGCACAAAATAAGTGAAAACATAACGTTTTGGTTAAAAATTAGCCAAAAAACAAGTCATACAAAGTTCCGATAACTAAAACTTTAATTTAATTATTATTTACAAACAAATGTTTAAGTTTTTGTGCGTAAAAAATAAGCAAAAAAAGTTAAGATCAAATCATTTGAAAAACATTGTAATTTACAATACAATCACTTCCTATGTTATGTTGAGAGAAAAATATATGTAAAACATAATGTTTTGTTTTCAAAGATAATATATTTAAACAAAAACTATCCGTTTTTGAAATGTAATCAATATTATTATATTGCATATAATGCTTACAAAACGTGATTAAATAAAAACTACTGATAAAGTACTTAAATACTTTAATCATTTAATACGCGGTTTTTAATTTTCTCAATTTAATATATTGTTTATAATTATTTCGATTAGAAAATTACTTAATAATCGACAAAATTTCCCTTTTATAGATGTAATTGAAAAACGAGTAAAAATAAGTCATTAAATATTTTATACTACAATAATTGCAATCCTTATCAAACTATTGATGCGTTTGAATCATTGAATTATCAAAATCTTTTGAAATTTTATTTTTTAAAGTATTTATAACTTATTGTTATTTTGGTAAACCATATGTGATAAATAATAAATTTCTAAACTATAAAAGAAAAGTTTTTTTTAAATTGAAAATATTTTTTTAAATATTATTTATACTTCAGATAAATTCATATAATTAATTTCTCGCATATTATCAATTTGATGAATTAATTAGATTTGTAACACGCGTTTTATTAGCTGATTTTTTAGATTTGATTTTTAAAAAAAGATAAATTAGTTTTTTTATTTACTAGGCCTAAGAAACAACATTTTTAATCTAAAGTTGTCATTTGTTTAGATATCTAATACTGATTGATGGTATGGTTAAAACTAATTATTTTAATCTATAATAAACATATAAGTTATTGCAATTGAATATAAAGTTTATAGAAAAATATAAGTTTTTATATGCGAATATGAGTTTTTATGTTTAAAAAAATTAAAAGATATGGTTTTCAATTGTTTTATCTTTTTTTAGATATACTCGTTTTATATAGTATTAAATTTTTAAAAAATAAATGACAGGAAATAATAAATATTAGATTCTTTACAGTATAATCACAAAATAAACAAATCAGAAAAAGTTACAAATAGTTTTTTATTTCTATTGATATAATTTATATATAAAATAAATATGATATATATTATAATATTATAAAAATTATTTATAATTATATATTATATATTTTAATTTGCAAAAATTATTATTCAATATTTTTGTATAATTAAAATAATTATATTAAAAATATCAATATATAAAATGGTCGAGCCTTTACCTCTCCCTATGATTTATAAATGCTTTATCTTTAATTTATATAATATAATTTTTATGATAAATGAATTTATTATTTAGATTATAATTATGCTTATTAAAAAAATAATAATTAAAATAATAAAATAATATTATTTTTTAACAGTTAAAATCAGCTGCAAGTTTAGCTAAAACAAAAACATTGATTGTATAAAAACAAAAAATACAGTTATAAATGATTTAATGTTATATAATATTATGGCATAAAATCTTCAAATTAAGTATTTCCTTAGAATTTACAACCAATTATTAGAGCATTTAATACAATATAATAATAATAATCAGTTAATATAAAAAACTTGTTTTTAAACACACATTTCACAAAATATTGTATTCAATCACTTATGAAATGTTTTGTAAGTTCACAAAAGATAACTATTTTTTATTAATCGATTAAGATTTTACTTTTTGTACAATAAATATATTGTCAAATGTTTAATAAAAAATAATAAATAAATAATAATAACTTTGCGTTTAATTAAACAAAAAACTAACATTTCATTTCAATTCGTATTTTAAATTTTTTTTTAAAGATATTATATATAATATAGTTTTGTAACTGAAAGTAATGACATATCTATTAATTTAGATGTTTCACCAAAAATCGGAACAAAATAACTAATAAATCAAAATACATATTAAAAATACAAATTTAAAAACTTTAAAAAATACTTCAAATTATAGTATGGATTGAAGTCAATCATATAAATAGAGCAAAGCGTTCATAATATTTATAATAGTATTGTTATTATACCGGTATAGTACTGTACATCAGTCATACAAATATTTATTAGATTTGTTTTAAAAATTAGTTTTCATTTATGAAAAACTAAATTTTTGTTTAAAATATTAAAATTTTCATTGAACTAATTTTATATAATTTATATATAATTTTATTTCCATCCTCAGCAATCAACTTTTAAAATAAAATATTATAACAATTTTTATTAATGTTTTAAATGAAAATGTTATTTAAATAATTTATAAAGTAAACCATTTTGTCTATTTATGTAAAAGCTTAATATAAGTGCTTTTAAACAATTTATGCCCAAAATTATAAAGAAATGGGTGTTTTTAAAAATTACATTTATTTTTATTTAGCATTACATTTGCATTTAGTTAAGTGTTTGTAACTTATTATAGACTTTAAGCAAAATGACAAAAACCATGAAAATATTAAAATCTTGTTTACACTTATATAACAAAACAATTGCATGAATGGGAAGGTTATAAACCCTTAGTCTAACAATAAATAGTATTATAATAGTATTGTATTTATTTTTATATATATTGTTGTTGTTATCGATGTTTTCAGTCATTTTGATGGCTAGAGTTTGCGGTTCAAAGAAAGCTAAAGTCATTTAAATAATAATTTGATTAAACGATAATACAATACAATATATATGAACGATAGTAAAGTTTTTTTAGAGGAACTTTCAAATTATAAATGATTTTACATTAATTAGTTTTTGTTCACATGAATAATCAATTGGATCAATGCATCAATGGATGGATTGGTATTACATTATTTGATTATATCAGTTAATATTTGCTAATCTATGGCTCATTGATAATCGTAGTGATGATGAGCTTATGATCTCTGTTTTCAATAGATTAGAGTCAATACCCCATAAGTTTCATAATTCATAGATTTTATGTTAATTAGAAATTTTCTGTCAATTCATTTGTACACAAAGTAAAAGTAAAATAAAAAACAATATTATTAAAAGATTAATTAAATTTTCTATTAATTATGCTTTACTTTGAAATTATGTAAAAAAATTATTTCTTTAAATAAATAAATTTGTTATTTATAGCCCATTTGACTATCTATGAGTAATATTTCCATAAATGTAAACTAATAAAAATTTTACACAAAAAATATTTTGATAATTTGAATATTAAAAAGGATTTTTAGAAAAATAATTATTACTAAATACTAAAATTATTTTTTTATTAAAAATTTAAATAAATCATTAATGGGCGTCTTTATTATGAGTATTAATTTATTTGTATTTAAATTTGACAAACGTGTCTTAACTATAGATAATCATAGTTATTATAAACTTGAATAAATTGATAACTCAATCATTAAAAATGATAAGCATTTAAATCTTTTCAAATAAAACTTTAATAAACTAAACCAATGAGTATTAATGTTTAACATTTTGTAAGATAAATCAATTATTAAAATGTCAAAATTGTGATCAATTTTTGCCGATTAGTATCAAAATTATTTATTACAAAATGTTGCCAAATGTGTCAACAAATAACACTTTATATAATTTTATTAACTCTATTCAAAACACATTATTATCACTTTTGCAAACTATTACTAGCAATAGATTTATGGTTATTATTGTTAATATTGTTAATAAATTTATCAATAATTTTCAAAAATAAAATATAATAAATGGATTATTTGTATTAATGATATTATTATTTGATTTGATGTTTAGATTCTTGAACAGGAAAAGTATGGATTGAGGAGGAAATTAGAGACTCTTGAAGGCGATTACGACGGAAGACTTAGTGAATTGCAAACCGATCTCAAGTGTGTCCGACAAGAGCTGGAATCGCAACAACAATATACTAAACAAATTGAATCCGAAAAAAATAAGATAATTCAGGAATTAATTGAACAAAACCATAGACTAACTAATGAACTCAAACAGGTTTAGTCAAACATTTTTTAATTGATTCTTATATTTTTTAAATAATTAAATTTACGCTATATTTTATGTGACAAAAGAAAAATTCATGTTTTTATCAATTTTATCATAAAATATAATATTAATTATAATAATATGGAGGAAATATTTGCAATAAAATAAGAATAAAAAATATTAATACATTTTGAGATTTTTATAACAAATATAAGAAGTGATAATAAAATATTTTGATTTATTTTGAATCAGTCAACAGAAACGGAATCGTTATTAGAAAATCAATTGCAGACACTTCGGGACCAATTCAACGTCAGACGAACCAATCTTAACGATCATATCGACCAACTCGAAGGACTCAGAGAAGAGGTATTTAAGATTTAACGATTATAACCCAATTTATGTCAAAAATTGTGTCAAATCATAAACTTATAATTATTTGTTTATTGTTTTGTTTTTGATAACATTTAAAGATAAATTTGTTAAGCAAAAGAAAGGGTGATTTGGAGAGAAAGATCTCATCATTAACTCAGGACAGGGAACACCTCAATGTTTCCCTCGAGGAGTCCAGTGATAGGATATTCTTATTGGAGAAACAGTTACAACAACAAGAACTCGAGTTAAGGACACAACATAAAGACTTGGATGAGTTAAGACACGCCAACACTCAACTGCAAAACAAAATGGATGTATTGTCCAGAAAAACTGTGCCATCAGATCACTATCTCAATGGTCATCATTCGTTGTTCAATGAAATTGAGATGTCTTCTCAATCGTCAAACGATGAAGACTTGAGATCATTAAATGGCAGAATTGATGACAACGAAGACGAGATCTATTGCGACGAAAGGGATTCGTCTTATAGTTCATCTCAAAGCGATTCCTCAAAAGTATTACATATTTTATTATTAACTTTAAATTTAATCTTTTAATATTAAACATTTAAACATAAAGTAAACATCAAATTAACCACAATTTTCTAGTTATAACATATTTTGACAGCAATACAAAACAGTGGTTATACCGTATAATATATGACATGACATAACTTATTAAAACAAAATTTATTTTATTAAATGATTAGTTAAGACAAGAACTCGTTGAGGTTTACCAACTACTGAGACAAACGTATCACGATTTGCACCGAAAGAAGGATAATAGCGGTAATTTCAACTCAACGCAAGACAGCGGAATCCCTGACGAACAGCCAATCCATCAAATAAAGAGCGGAATGTTTAAGACTATTGTCAGAGACCTCATCTCTATTCTCAATGACTTAAATTCAGACTTCACTGAAATGGTATTAATAATAGCTTTTTTATTGTCTTTTATTATTTCTAAACCATATCTCATATTCAGTAAAATGACATTATTTTTTAAAACAATGACCTGAAAAAAGTAATTTATAATTTCAATGACATGACAATTGTGTTTTTGTTTGTTTGTTTGTTTAACTTCATAGGTTTGCCTGTCGTGTCAAACGATTGCCAACGACAGATGTGAACTCGAAAGGTTAAGAAAAGAGGCTAAAGAGCAAAGCGAACAATTAAAGAAATCATTGGATCAGATCACCGAAATGACCAAACGATTGACAATTCAAGAGTCAGAGCTGAACGCCATTAAGGAAGAGAAAGAAATACTAAAATGTGATATTAATAACTCTAATGGTTTGGCCAAAGATGAGATAGTGAAGAGAGCCTGGGAGGTCAGGGATCAAGCAGTCAAACGTAAAAACAATGTCGAAGTAGAGCTGGCAAAGACCAGGATTGAAGTAATGCATATTAATAGTCAACTTTTGGAAACTATTCAACAAAAGATTGAATTATCACAACAACTGGAACAGTGGCAGGTATGGTATGGTATGGCATGGGATGGCATATATATTATGCTATAGTTATTCAATTGTTACTATCTTACAGTAATATAAATACACTTAAGACTTACTACTTATACAGTATATACTGTACTGTATTATATATATTAGGCCATCCCTGTTGAGTCTTAACAATCACAAGTTTTATACTTAATCACACTTTTGCTAAAAAACTAAATTCATACACAAAAATAAATTACATTACTATAGATTTCAGTTTAATAATAATAATATATTATTATTATTAAAATAAATAAAATCTACTAAAAATACTGAAAATAGATTTTAATATAAAAAGTGCAAATGTTTTGTAACATTTGTAGTTAAAACCTGTTTTTATAATTAGTTTTCTTATATTAATTCATTTATTGTTTTTAAGTTACTCTCATTTCATTTATTATAATTATTATTTACTACATTTTAATTTTTTTATTATTATTATTATTTACAATGTTATAAATAGAGATGAGAATTTAAGGGAAAAAATTTGATTATTAATGTTTAATCTATTTTTAATATTTAATTTTTAATAAATTATATGTTTATAACTATATTTAAAAACATTTACTGAAAATATTAATTTAAATTAGTTTTAATACTAAATTATATAACTAAGTTTTATATATGTAAATTATTTTAATATCTTTATTTTAAATTTGTATTTTATAGGTCGATATGCAGATACTTTTGGATGAACAGCTCAAGAGTAAGCTAACGTCTCAAGAGTCAGGAGACAAAAGAAGAAATGGTGACACAAATGGCATGAATGGGACCGCAATTACCAATAATAAGACAGTTATGTCTCGCGGCAACAAATTGCTGAGACTTTTAAGATATAATAATTGAATAACTGGTCAGTGATGTGATCTTTGAATTACATTTCAATACATTTTAAAAGCAGACTGTGATATAATACATAATTAAATTTCAAGTATAAACTTAACAAAAGTGCCTCAAAAATGGCTCTTAAGTTAATTATTGGCAAAGTTACTGATTTATTTGAGAAAATGATTTATATAATTAAAAAAAATTGTAAATCAAATTAAAGTACTTGTAGTATATTTTGTAATTAATGTACATTAATGAAAATAATAATATAATGTTAAAATAAATATAATGTTAAATTTAAAAATCTGTATTTTATTGAATTGTAAAATTACTAAAACGTTAGTTTGTTTTCATCAACAACAACAACAAAATTAATAATAAATTAGCGGCAATTTAAAACAATTAGCTAATAATTATATATTTTAGTAAAACTCGTTTTTAAGATAATTTCATAAAAGAAATGACACAATCAATGAAATGATTGGGTTTCTCGATGTGGAGGTAATGTCCCGTTTCAGGTATCGATACGATCTGGACGTTAGGCATGAGTTCACGAATCGCATTGTAATCATCTTTCCTGTTGTTTTCAAATTATTATATAGTTTTTTATTACATAATTTCCTTATAATTTATTTTTTTAGATCATTTAGTTTATAATACCTTAATTTCAATAAAAATGATATTAAAATATTCAATAATTGTAAGCATAAAAGTATTGAAGCGCAAATTTTGTAATATTATTTGCAAATTTGGGACAATATTAACTTTATAATGCTTTTATATTAAAAAAAAACTTAGTTGATATTTTAATATTTGATTGAAATTTGTTTTTAAAAAAAATATTTATGTAATATAATAAATAAACATAACTTAAATATAAAAAAATATAAACAATATTATAAATTTATTTTCAATTAACATACTTGACATAATCTGATTGTTGTCCGTGAACTAAAAGTGATGGACCATTAAATGGTATTTTAATTTCAATTTTGTTGATATATTCATTTTCAAGCATATGTTTAATTGAATTCAAATTGAATTTCCAGAAAAGTTTTTCCGATTCTTCATTCTTATGCAAACTCATCAAAAAGAAGCCGCGAATGAAAGCATCCTTTAATAGTAATGTAAATAAAATAAAATAATTTATAGTTTTCATCAAAAAAAACAAACAAAACAAATTAGTTTAATTGATTAACTAAACTGTTATCAACGGTTTCAACCTATCGTCCACTTGTTTTCTGGCAGAAGACATATTTAGATCATTGGATATGTTTTCAATAGATTTGGATAACTCGTCAATGAATGTGGTTTTTGTGAAGAATTGTTGCGGTATTGTTGGCAATGGACTGATGTCTACTGCAATCAACTTTTCAACTCTTTCTGGCTTTTGTTTAATCAATATTTAAAAGACTAAATAATTATCACATAAACAGTTAAAAACATTGATAAACTAACCCAAAGATAGGCAAACTGTAAGACAGTCCGACCGCCCAAACTATCAAATATGATATAATATTATTATTATTATTATTATTTCATAAATTAAATTACAAAATTGTCTCATTAAAACTGTAGTACAATATATTACAATATAAAATATATTATATAAATTAAAAGATTATAAATGATTATAAATTAAGTTAAAAAAACAAAATGTAAAAACCTGTGACCAATAAGTGTTGCAGTCTTGTAGTGATTGTCGTCCAAAAACAATTCAATATCGTTAGCCATACCTATGAGTGTACTATCGGTTCCCGATGTGTGTGGACTCGACCCGTGATTCCGCAAATCTAATGAATATACAGTTCGTCCCGTTTTAGAGGAAATCGCTTTAGAGATGGACTTCCAGTTGTTTTTGGTGCCAAACAGTCCGTGAAATATAAGAACCGGCGGTAAACTGTCATTACTGGTAGTGACACAACCGGTAATCTTATTATAAGATAGTGAAACACTGTTAGCACTTTTACATCTTATTTGTCCATTAAATACATTTTTTATAAAACTTTTTCTACAAAACCTATTGATATTATTATTTGCTTTAATTAAAATCATTACTTTAAAAAATGTCTAATTATATAACTAATGTAATAACTAAATTAAATTAACTAAAAATATATAGATATAGTTACAAATTTAGATTTAAAATATTATGTATCAATCAATTAAATTTATGTTGAATTAAATATTTTCATTTTAATTAATTAAAACATTATCTCTGTTTAGATTATTATTGTATGACATGTATGTGAATCACGTGATCATTGGATCAATCAATTGTGTGAAATAAATGAATAAGACATCAAATGTGTGTAAATTGTATTTATTAATAATTATTAATGTATTATCTGATATTAAATGATAACTATTAGTATGAATTGTAAAAATATTTTGTAAATTATATTTTAAACAATTTTTTCTATGAATTATTTAATGAATTAAATTATTTGAATGAGTCATAAAAACTTAAGTTTTTTCCCAATAGGAGTGAAAATCATATTACTTTAAATTTAATAGAAATATACGGAAATACAATACAAATGACTTAAAATTTTAAAAATATTGAATAACGATCTTTTATTGATTTTTTTAAAAATAATTTAAATATAAATGTTATTAAATATAATACAATTATTTAAAATTTTAATTTTAATAATAAAAGTGTAAATGATTTTATCGACATATAAATATATACTGTATATATTAACATATCGATAAAAAATATATATACTGTATATACTAAAAATATATTATAATAATTAATCAAATGAGACTATTTAATAACAATTTAATGATAAAAACATTGCTTAAAAACTGTTATATAGTTTAAAAATCTATGATTTTAGGAGACAATTAACAACACTTCTTGTGTCTACTTTTATGAGCACTTCCTTTGTGTACTTTAATCGCATTGTCGCTCGAGTTTTGGCGATCTTTTTGTTCTTTCTTTGTCCTCAAAACCATTCTTGTGATGGCATTAAACATATCTTCGACATTAATGTTCTCCTTAGCGCTCGTTTCAAACAATCGGATACCCATTTGGTCAGCAAATCTTTGAGCGTCTTCTGTGAGCACAACCTTCCGGTTCGGGTCGTCGTTCTTATTACCGACTATTGTGTCAATTAATATCACAAATGAGTGGTCAATAAGTTAATAATATTTAGTTAAATAGAGACCTAATATTTTGTTGACGACATCGCAGTTCTGCTCGATTTCGTGAAGCCATCGCTTGACGTTTGCAAAGGTCTCGCCATTTGTCACGTCATAGACAACAATGACTCCATGGGTTCCCCTGTAGTATCTGTAAGACAATCAACACAATTAATACATCACATGATTGTGTAATCAAATCAATTGATTCATACGTCGAAGTGATTGTTCTGAACCTTTCTTGTCCAGCGGTGTCCCAAATCTGAAGTTTAGCCTTTTCTCCGTCCACTTCAATGGTCCGGATCTTGAAGTCGACGCCAATTGTTGTGATATAACTTCCGTTAAACATATTGTCCGCAAATCGCAACAGAAGACTACTTTTGCCGACGCCTTCAAAGAATAGACACAAAAATATAACATTTTATAGTTGTTGTAAACAACTGTTAGTTTGTGTCAACAAATATTTACCGCTGTCTCCGATAATCAATAGCTTAAACAAGTGGTCGTAGTCTTTGGCCATTTGCCCGAAAAAATTGCGGTCAATAATAATAATAATAATAATAATAATTTCAATAATCAAAGGCAATGAATGAGGCGTTCACTCAATTGTTGTCACAAATGATTGCTTTTAATGACCAATAAGTGACTCAAAAAAATCACTATTTATTTACTATTATTACAATATTGTGAACATTATTATTATTATTACAAACAAATCAATGAATCAAACAATTAATAAAAACAAATATTAAAAACAAATATAGAAAAAACTGAAACAACTATTTATATAATAAACAAATCAATCAATTATTATATGATTTCATTGAAAACAGACATCGCTTTGAATGACCGTATAATACAAACCAATTGATTACTGAATGTCAATAATGTCAACAAATGATTCATCACTTTTATACACATTTATTCGCATTCGGGGCACAAATAAGTAACAAAATTGTGACGTAATTTATGTATTATTAATAAACAGGGTTTGACTGTGAGTACAGGTATTATGTAATCACATGTTATGTTATGATATGTTATCTTAAAACACATTTTCATTACAACTCATTATAACTCAAACAATATATTTATAAATGATTTACCGTTTGATTAGTTTTTTAATGTTGTTTTGACGACAATTATTGATCCATAAAATTCAAGACATGAACCGATTGGTCGCCAAACGACCCATCGATTTGGTACACAAGTCGTGCCAATTGGTGTCACAACGTCTGGTCACTTACGACGTGAAGCCGACGGGAGAGAAAGTTGTGGTTAATATAATACCCCAGAGGAGGACCAAGAAGGAGGAGTGGATGAATGTTAGACCTATGGGTTATGAACCCACTCTCAGACAAATCAAGAACATTGAATTCGATCCCAGACTCGAGTCCGACCCGTCGGTGGCCAGACAGACGGCCAGCAATAAACTACGGTCAATGAAAGATCAACTTATGAGCCGAGGGTTGGTTTAAATTTGGATTAATATTTATGTATTTGTTTTTATTATTTATTTATTTTAATAGCTTTTGTCGGGAAATTAAACCATACGATCCTCCAGAAGAGGTCGAAAATATTATTAAAACTATTTGTTTTAAAGTATTGTCAAATAAAACAACAAATGAACGACAAAACTGGTCTCACATATCATTAGACAATAGGAATCTTAAGTTCACGGTTTGTATCAATTTTTTTGTTTGTTTGAAACATTGGACGCAATCGTAATATCTTTTTCTTTGTTATAGTTTTTGAATGAGTGTTCAAAACAACTCAATTATGAAATACCAAATTCAATGCTATATTTGATGAAATCAGTATCAGATGTCTTCAATTTTTACTCGACACCCATTCGTGGCGTTTCTTCGTATGAAAAAATGGTTCAAATGAGCGATACATTACCACAGAATCTTCATGTGATTCCCGAACCGATTCTTTACAATCAGGAAACCGACACTTTTTTCGGTGGTATTAATGCCTATCCATTCAGTACTTATAGGATAAAAGGTTTGAGAGCTAAGAAAAAATATCAATTTAAGGATCGTTTTGTTTGGCCCGATGTCTAACACATCGACAATAATATTAGTCATTTTATTAAAATCTCTAATTCATAAAAATATAATCATTATTTAGATATACAAATTAAAAATATGAAAATAAAATATATAAATAATTGATAACTTAAATCATATAAAGTAATCTATTAAATAATAATAGTGTTATACATTGTGTTTTAGTAAATTATTTCTTAAAAATTGAAAGTTTGTTGGATTTGGTTTTATGAGTGTTAGGAACGGCTATATTCCCTAATAGCATACGAGCCTTATCCTCGTCCTCTTCGGGTTTGTCCGACTGTTGCGAACTCTTATTCGGGTCTAATTCGGTTGTAATTGACTTTCCTTTTCCTGAAATATGGAATTTGTGTTTAAGAGCTTGTGATAGAAGAATACGTTTGGAGTCATTCTTGAGTGCCATCAATAAGTCGAGCCAAGTCCAGGTCCGGTTGTGGTACTCCATTGTCGGCAAAATAATTGATACGTTATGCAAGTCTTCTAAATTCTTGCCTTTATTCCCCTTATAGCTCACTCTAATGGGAACTTCTGGTATCTTAATGTAGACGAATGTCTGGTTCTTTTGAGCCCTTTCTCTCATTTTTTCTATGTGTCTCTCATTATCTTTAGTCATCTGAAGTGTCGAAGATGTCGCTGACTGTATACTTAAAGATTTTCCAACACTTGAGGTAATTGTCGAATTGGTGCCATTGCTTGACATACTTTGAGTGCTTTCATCTCTTTTCAAATTATTTTTCTTTTTATTACTTTTAGTCTGCGATTCATTGTCTTCATTAGCCTCTGGATGTGTTGTCTCAGAATTTGTTGGATTCGGAAAAAAAAATTTAAGCATATTTTTGAAGAAAGCATAGGTTAAACCCAAAGTTAAAGGTATAACATTAACCTCCAGATGCTCTTTGACTGAAATGCCTCCAACGGGTGCTCTTTCTCTACAGAAAACTCTTAATGCGATTTGTCTATCAAGTGGTATATTTGGTTGCAATTCAGTCAATTCTATGACATCTTTATAGACTTGATTTGGTAAAAGATTAGAGCAGTGAATGTATCCCAATTCAAATGAGTGTTCAACTGAATCATCATTTTTGCTGACTTTAGTGTACAAGAAATTGCTGAGAACGAGATCTGCTAAACCTAACTGTCCGTCGGCGTCGGTTAGTCGCCAAACTGCGTGTTTAAAGCAAACTTCATTTCTGCGAATGACATTAGCAATGATTATGCCTCCCGTCTCCTGTGCGGCCGTTTGTCGCTCTTTAGTTTTGGACGCACTTAGCTGTGCCTCTTTGAAACAGTTAATCATAATAGTCAAGTCTTCGGATGAAATATTCAGTTCCTCTTTGCATTCATCCAATTCAAACTCAATTTGTTGGGCGTCTGCTATAAGTTTAAGTTCCAACTGAGAACCTGATCCATGTTCTTCTACAAGTGCCTTATGTATGGTATAACTTTCTTTCTCTATAATTTTAATTTTAGCCACAAGTGATCTGACTTTGTCTTGTAATTGTGAAATGGGTTCTCTCTGGTCTTCAATAGAACTCAATTGCATTCCAAATCTAATATTTTGTTGTTTTTCAAAGAGTTCCTTCTGGTGCGGCTCAACATAAAGTAATAGATTGTTAACTAAATCCATAATCATTGAGAACTGCTGCGAATTAGTACTAATCTCTAAGTCGTGGTGAGTCAACGTAAATGTATCGACAGTTATCTCCCTATCCCAGGGTTCTAATAGAAGCAAATCATTGTCTTGAGGTAGAGGAGGAACATCTTCGTACTCATTTGGATCTACATTCTCTCCATAAGAGGCATAAAAGAACTGACATTTACAACGAGAGACTATACGTTGCAATTGAATAGGAGGCGAAGTGCCACACATTTCACTGCCACTACAGGTACCAACTTCTGAACTAACCACTCCTCCAACACTATGACCACTTCCGACAAGATCTGGTAATTCAATGATATCTTTATTATTGCATTCTTCTATATTGTCGAGTGTAAGCCAAGTTATGTCATCGTTCTGAACGCCCACCGATGCGTCCACTCTGTCAACAGTTGCATAATATTGCATACATTCAAGTAATCCCTGCCAAGTCGTCTTGGAATAGAGGGTTCGGTTTTTCCAAACGGGTCGATGAATACGTTGCAGTATTTGTGCTTTGGCTGCACTAACAATGACATAGCCATCAGTTTCACAGCCGCGCAGAACTACTTGAGAGTTGATGAGCTCAATGAGCCAATTGTGTTGAAGAACATCTTTTGTCTGACAGGCCTCCACACCATGTAATTGTGAACTCTCTGTTGTGACAGCATTTTCAATGTCTTCAGTATATACAGTACTGGATGCAGTTTCTGCTTCAGCAATCAGTTTCTGTAGCATATGTGCGGCGTGTCCTTTAGATATAGTCGAAGCAGGACTTGTTGTACTTGTTTGATGGAAACCACGTTTTTTTGGAGAACCCGATTGTCCGTCTACTTTGAAAGCGCGTAAAGCATCGGTCGATAAGTTTCGCTTAAGTTGTTGTCCCTTCATATATGAATCAAAGAGTCCGAACGCCACGTCCCGGTTATCCTTAGTCCACGCGCCTCGTAAGTCATGAACAACCAGTCTATGTGTAGGCGCTTCTGAATCAATTTCTCTTACATTTGATGGAGATTTAGTCTCTCTATTATACGATACTTTCTTAACACTTAAAAAATATTGTCGTTCTCCACACCACTCGGAGTTAGTTATTGTGGTGTCGCCTCCCAACCCCTTATAGAGCCAAATCTCAACGTCGGATAATTCGGAATTCATATAAAGCATATCCCAAACTGGTTTTGTGCTAATTAATCAAACAATTTATTAATATATATATTAAATTATAAAGTAAAGACATACCGATGTTTAAGATTATCATTGATGGGAATAAATGACTGCAAGTGTTCTGCACTATGGGTTAGATTAGAACTGATTATTTCAAAACCTCTTTGTTTATTAAACGAAGACCAATAGGAGATCTGAACAAAATTGTTGAAAATTAAATTATTGTATTTAATATGTAAATCAATACTAAATACCTGAAACTTATGCAAATAGACAGTGACTCGAATTGACTTAAATATGCGCCCAAAGGGTACTTTTCGTGGCTTTGTATTGTTAAAGAGTTTACCTCTTCGTGTCAATCGTGGAATACCTGCAATCATAAACATCTTGTTTTCCAACCATCGAAGGGTTGAATTATAAATTAAAACTTTCGGATATTCGTTCTGATCGGTGACAGCTCTTGTTTCTAGAGAAGCAGATATATTGAGATTATGTGATCTAAATGATCGATAAGAGTCATGCATTTGATTGCTTGAATATTCTGGTACTTTATCGGCTGCACACGGCATGACTGAGTGATGATCGTTCTTATGTCCAAAACAAACCCAATCAAGATTTATATATATATTAACATTAGGTAAGTGAACGATCCGTAACTCATCATATTTAGAGGCCGTGTGAGCCAATAGATCTAAATTGCCTTTTATTAGTATCTTTCCATTCAACCACTCATTATTGCTTTTATAGAGTCCTATTTCAATCAGTTCTGTAGTATTATAGGGATCAAGTGATGCGTGAAATAAAATGGAAAGTTGTTCGGCATTAATGACTAGTGGTCCGTGAAATATGAAACGCATTTTATCCCACCACGAAAGGGTCGGACTCGGGTCCAGTGAGGGCCTGAATATGTACTCAAATGATAAGCCCACCTGTTGTAGTACGGGTTCCCAACAGGCACCGTGAGTGTAGGCAAAGTTGGTCGCATCAAAAGTCACGTCGTGATAAAGCTTTAGAGTAGTCATCGAGCGCTCGATACTAATTGGTTCAAAATTAGATCCAATGTCTATATAACAAGTTCTCTTTGCTCTACTACTAGCCTCCTGTTCCGCACCCAATACAATCCCATGTAAACTAAGATCTCTTACATCAGTCATTGGCTGAGGAAAGTCTCTCAATGAGACAACACCTGTATTTATATTAGCTGATACTCTTCGGCACCAAATTGTGCTAAAACGGAGATCTTCAGGAAATAAACTCTCGTTATCGATGCGCTTCAAAATCGATACTTTTTGTTCATAAGTATTATAACTGGAATCTGCAACCACTTCCAACTCAAGTCCCTCGATTCGCACAGTAAACAGTCGTGTCCTCATTGGTGACGAATCATACAGACGTTTTGAACGTTCAATATAAGTGTCGGCATTTTGTTTGGCAAACAAATTATGCAATTCTTCTAACTTCGACGCCGGAAGTAATATATTTTTACGCCTTCTCTCTTCAATTTTTTCAGAAAGCATTTGCCATCTTTTAAGTGACTCTTTATATTCATCTTCTAATAGTTCATAATTATCACTTAATTGGACTTCAAATGGATCGTCTGCCACTTCCATAGAAGCGTTTTGGACTTTAAGCAAAATATCAGGAAATAGTGTTGTCTTTTGTGATTGATTTTCTAAATCGAAATCACTTCTATGTATTTGTCGCAACCATTTTACAATAGTTATTAACTTTTCGTTAAAAGTTTCGGCAAAATTATAGAGATATGGAAAAGATATGACAATATTCTCGATACAAATCGATATCACTTTATTTCGTTTGGTCTCTAAACTTGGATTCAAATATTTCTTTCGGTTTAAAATAGATTGAGAATCAGATTCAGAGAATTGATTGATACAAATATTCTATGAAAAAAAAAACATATTTATCACTAAAACTTGAATACACTTATTAATGAACTTAAAATATTTACCTCTAAAGTCATTATCAAGTTTTTGTCGAAATAGACGAATAGAAAATCACATTTTGAGCTAATTTTGTTTGAATGTATGGAAAGGGATAAAAATTCAGTTTCTAAAGCAATTGTATTTCCAGAATTAGACAGAAGAGCACCGATTCTGATTTTGCCGTCGAGTTTGACGGTTACGGACACCGATGATAAAGACTCGACCGTATTGTTTGTCTTTTGCATGAATCTCGATAAGAACTCGTCGTATAATTCAATTAAAGTCAAATGAAACGATGAATTCCATTGGATGAACACCTCTTCAGTCAATGTAATGGTATTCTCGTGTGTGTCGTAATTCAAGTTTAACCGAAATACCGATAAGTAGACAATGCGGTCATTTATACTGCTCTGTTCGGTCAGTTCTGCCGCACGCAAACACGACAGTGTTGCCGAAGGCTTATACATTGTACTTAATGCGAGACCATTGATACTAGTGGTCAGTTTGGATGAGTTTGAGTCAGTGGCAGCCGAATCTATTCGTAACATCAAATCAGATGTGAATAAATTAACTGAAGATAAGTTAATTTGTATAGAACTTGACAATAGGTTTGAATTAATTGAAGATTTAGATCTCGAGTATGATTTCAGATCATATTGATTAAGAAGTCTAATAAAGTGATCCAAACTTATTTGGATGCCATCCATAACACAGTGTACTCGAAATTCTGAAAGATTCATATGACGGCACTGTTTGATAAAAATGATAAAAAAAAGTGAATTCGCTTGTATTTCATAGATGTTAATAATCATTTAATTCATTTAAATTTATAGACTATATGTCATAATTAATATATATATATATATATATATATATATATATATATATATATATACCACAGTATATACCAATAAAATACCTTTAAGAAGAGCATCGATGTAAAGAGTGGTACGTGTTTTTGATGATATCTCTTAAGAGAATTAGGATTTGAAGGCCTAAGATCTCTATTGCCATTCCAACACCAAAATGTCTCCAATAAAAGTTCAAAACTATTTGAAAATTTATTTATAAAAATAATAATATTTAAAACTAATGTTAATTAATGTTAACCTCATTTCCCGGAATAATGGATCAGAATTGAGAACATAACCAATCTTTGCGTGACTTAATCCGTATGTAACCATTGAATGATTTATGGGATTGGGATTAACTGAAAACTCTAAATCATTGATGTCTAAAGAGGCACTAAATTTTGGTAAATCTTTAAGAAATGAATTATTCAATTGAGTGCTTTGTTTGTCTTCACTATTGATAATATCATTGTTTGCTTCGTATGTTTTATTAATCAAATCAATCCAATAACGAATCTCTTCGTCGTTATATATGATATGACACGACGACAGTTCAGAGACGACAAACAATTGATGTCTTTGTTGAATTGATTTTTCTCTTTCAATTTTGGCGATTAAATTGACTCTATTAATGGTCGACACCATAGCATTGGTGTCCTTTACTTTCATATCACTAACTATAAGTCGGGTCTCGAGCTCAGAGCAACTGGTTTTTGTGAGATCGGCTTCAATGGTCTTTATATGAATGGTCAGTGCCTTTTGACCGGACTCTCTCACCAATTTCAATAAACTATTATCTAATCTGACAGTTGCCTGTTTCAATAATTTATGCATTTTTTGTTTTAAATTATTATTTAATATTTTAGTGATAAATCCTTCACTATTTGGTGGGTTTGCGCGACTAATGTTTGCCATTTTGAATGACTTAATAATTGGTAAAATATCGTATAAAATAATTTCTGGATTAAGAAGTGCGACATCAGTTGAGATCTGATTGTTATCTTCGACCCGTAGACTACCTAACATTACAAGTGATACCTGTGCTAAACATGTTTCACAGTTGTCTTTATTCATATGTTTCAATAGTTTCAAAGAAATTCCCTCAAAATTAGTCATTAAAGTTAACTTATTTTTGTGGACATTTGTCATATAAATTTTAATCATTTGAATGTTTGAATGAAACAAACACTCATTATTAGTGTTTTCATTGATGAGACCTAATTGCATAAGACTTGTATTGTGTAATGATATCGATATAAATCTTAGTCGCGATAGTCGTCGCAAAAGATTTAAAAATGAGACGACTTTTTGAGGCACTTTCTTGTCGTCATTTTTAATGACATTTTCAGATTGTAATTGACTTTCATATGACTTAATTGATTTAAAGGCTGAAATTAAATCGCCTTCAAGTCTAATGTCTGAAAGTTTGATAACAACAAGAGATGCATATTTTTGATTCACTAGTTTTGTCGACAATCCAATACATTCAATCTCCTAATAAATTGATATCAAATATAATATTTAATAACATCATTACCAAAATATGGTTTTTAATTTAAAACTAATTTAACATTTTTAAAAATTTAATCAATTAATACTAGTGATAAATCAATTGATATTATTCAAGAAATTGTTATATTAAAAATACAAAATAATTAAAGAAATGTTTGGTATATTATATTCTCAAATAACATCTTAAATATCATTCAATTCATACAATTATGCAAACAAACTAATTTTTATTTACCGTATGATAACATAAATGTTAAATACTTTATTTTATAGTCATTAAATATAAACTTTTTTAAAAATGTAATTATAATTAATTGAACACATTGTCAAACTCTACTTATATTTTACTTAATACATAATAAACATTATTAAAAAATTATAATTATCGCTACAATAATTTAAACGCTAATTTATAGACCAGTGATTCAGTAATAATTATATACTAAATATATTGTATTATAATATATTAATGAGATATAAACTAAAAAACAAAGAAAAAATATAGGTTCCGTATCTAATGTTATCTATAGTGTAAAATAACATAATCTATAGATAAATATTATTTCATTGTAATATACATATAATACACTGAAACATCTATCTACTAGTCTTTGAGGTTAAATATCATGAAAACTTTAATATAAAATTTTCAACAAATTATTTTTAATACTTTGAAATTATAAGAAACTTAATTAATATGATTACTATAACTATTATAACTCATATGTTTACCAGATTAACACCATTGACACCATTAACACCATTGGACTCGACATTGATTAGAATAAATTAGAATATAATGTAATAGACTTTAGGGAACTGATCTATTTGTATGTTGTAATAAAAGTCAAAATGTATTATTAACACTCGCTATTGTTTCAAACAATTTTAATGTATAGCACTCACTATTATACATGTATTTATTGTAATTGACATAATATTTGAAAATTATAATTAATTGATTCAATCGGGTTATAGAGTTGACCAGCCATGTGCTATACACTACCCTCTCCTATCCTCGCCCACCCCACCACCAATTCCTAACCTCACACACCCACCCCACCACCAATTCCTAACCTCACACACCCACCCCACCCAAACTAACACAAATATAAGATTATAATCAATAATTCAAAGACACTGTAAAATTAAATAAAACATGTAAATAGCGTGTGCTATACAATTAAATTGTTTGAATCAATAGCGAGTGTTTACATAACATTTTGACTACAACATAGATTTTAGACCAATTTTTAAACAACATAGATTGTACTGTATCTTTATTATAATATTTCAATATTTTTCTTATAATTTCAAAAGTATTAGAAATAATTTTTTTTAATTAATAACATTTTTGGGGAAATTTTCTTATAATATTTTTTTCTATATTTATTAAATATCTGATATTTAATATTCTAAATCAATATTTTATAAGAATAACTAAATGTTATATTTTAGTTTAAAAAATATTTTTATAACAAAAGTTTTGAAACAATTATGAAAATAATTTAAATATATCGACAATTAATTGTTAGATATTAATGATAATTTCGAATTAGTTTATCTAATAATTTATGTATTTTCCCCTAAAAATGTTGTTAAACTCTACTAATTTATAAAACATATTAAAAATTATCTCTGAATATTCATAATCGTAATTATATAATAATAATAATATTTTTTATTTATAATTTTGTATAAAATTGTTACTATACTTATGATATTTGATATAATTTTTCGTTTCATAAAATACTCAATAAAATAATTTATTAATTAATTATAAATACTTATATTTAACTCAGACATAAAAGTTTCGGACAAACAAATCGATAAATAATTAGTTTTAAAAAATATATAATTACTTACAATATTGACGGCAATATCGGCTAATGTGATAACAATCTGATTGATGGACAGAAAGCCGATGCGATTCACCCGAAGTTTTATTGAATACTTGCGATACAAATACCATGAGATAAGCCATAAGATAGTCCTTAAGATTAAGACATAATTAGATTAGACATTCAAATGAGTGACCAATGGATTTGATTTTTTTGATATTAAACAATGGGATGTCATTACCTGATGAGACACAATATAATAATAGGCACTACAAGTGCCAAAACAGTACACAAATACATGACATTCATGTCCACCGATAATATCATTGTCTTCATAAACACCACACAAATCCTATTATAATCACTGAAACGTCACATCAATGGCACAGTTGTGTTGAGTCATAGTTTTTGGAGACAATTGTCACCAATTAAGTGATAAATAGTTCATAACATGACTGACACATATCTGATATGTTAAGTAACCAGAAATGTACTCAAATTATTGGATCAATTCAACAGATAATTGTCTATACATTAAGTGATGAGTTAGTTATGAGTCTACAAACAGCTGACCACAGATGACATTCAGTCACATGACTTGACTCACACTCAACACAACAACACTGCAGTCAATGCTATGAATGTAATGAATGTAATGAATGTCAAAACACTTTTGACTTTTACTGTTAAACCCATTGATTGACAGCTAATGTCTTGAGTTTGACATTTAGTTTATAATATTTGATATTAAAATCAATTTATGTTTAAAATATTTGTTGCCATCAAAACTGTATTTAAATATTCATATAAATTAAATCATAATTAATGCAATTTGTTGTTCAAATTGATTGATATATCTATAGATTGATTGATTAATGAGTGGTTAAGATGAAGATAAATGAGCGGACATTAGTACAGGCGGTGCACTCAAGACAGACACCAATAGACAGATGCGGATGGCTTTACAAGAGGGGAGAAGTGAACAAATCGTTTCAGAAGAGATGGTGTGTATTGAAAGGAAATCTGTTTTATTACTTCGAGAAGAAGACTTCAAGCGAACCAATTGGTGTCATCATTCTCGAGGGCTGTCGTATAGAAGTGGCCGAACACGAGACGGAAATGTTTGCCTTCAATATTGACTTTGGATGCGACCAACAAATGTCGGCACAAAGTCAAAGCTCAACACAATTGAGGACATATGTGTTCGGCACTGATTCACAGCAAGACATGGAGTCATGGATGAAGGCGTTGAGTTGTGCCTCATATGACTACTTAAAGATGATTGTTACCGAACTTCAGACCAAACTCGATGACATAAACCAATTGAAAGCTAAGCGCCAATCGAGGGATTGCGCCAGTAGTGGTCAACCAGCCGTTCGGGTCAATCCATTTGATAACGAAGGGCCCGATTTGCTTGACCTGAGATCAGCACAAAGTTCACAGTCGGACACTGGTATGCAATTCACGCGCCGCGCGTTCGCTGAGATTCACGAGTTTTATGGACTCAAATTTCGGGATTATATCCAACAAAATAAAGACAAACATAAAGACGAGTCAATGACTAAACATTAAGATTTGGCTACCATTTGATTCCTTTGGTTGCTTTTATTGTGTATTATATATTAAATCGCATTTTTATATATTTTTTAATAATTAAGACATTTGTTATATATTTTATATTTAATTTTATTTTAACTTAAAAATAATTGAGTTTCTCAGATATTAATGACACTCACATTTTGAATGCATCTTTGGCTGAGTTTTTAAAATTTGTTTTTAATCCCAACTATTAATATTAAATATTTTAAAAGTTATATTTTATATTTACAATACAAATAATAGCTTAATAATTATATAATAATATTAATAAAAATCTTCTATTGAAATATCTTTCAAATAGATGTGAAAATGCATTTGTTTTATATAATTATTTAAAATTTATAATAATATATATATATATATAATTGTATTTACATTAAAATTTTTGCCGAATTTCGATACGATTTCGGCGCTTGTCTTCACTTTTTTATAGTGCAAAATAACAAACAATGAAATATAAATAAAAATTGTTTTTTAATTATTTAATATATAAATCTTTTTCCTATCATTAACTAATTAAATAAACATACAATTTTGAGGCCATTTTTTTGTTTGAGTTATGGTTTGTAGTATTAATAATAATGGATTCGCATTATAAACTAAATGTTTTCTTTAAAATAACAAATATATTAATATATTTTTAATGTATATGTATTTATATTTCACATTAAATACATGTATACAATAATATTTGTGTAGCGTTTGGCAGTGGATAAGGAAAGTTAATATCAAATTAATAAAAATCCGGAAGTTTTGTCATTTTGTTAAACAATCAAATAGTTAATGAGTGCTTCAACAGTACTGATGAGTATATTATTTACAGAAAGATGAGAACCATTCCTCTGGACTCTGCCTTTGCTACCAAAATTTGTATGAAAAAACATGCAATTAATTATTGCGATACCAATATTACAATTAATATCAACAGTTTTCATATACAATCATTTTTTATATAACTTAAACTTATAATTAACCAGTTCAATTCAATTCAATTCAATTCAATTTAAAATAAATATTTATAATAATTAAATTTTAGTCTTTGTTCTGTACATTACAAAAAAAGGGAAGATTTGTTTTAAATATTTATTAATTCATTTGTCATTTAAAGGCGTTGAAAAAATAAACTAATTTTTAAATAAAATTAATAATAAAATGATTCGTTAGTATAAATCTCATGTTAATCACTGATTAGAAGAAGCCCTTAAAATCATAACTCTTAATAATTCAAATATAATAAATATATACAAATAAATTACTTTATAATTAAAATTAATTAATTAATAATTATCTTAATTTGATAACCAAACGAAAAATATGTATTAAACGAACAATAAAAGTAAGAAACTCTTTGAAATGACTGTCGGTTTGGAATTATTTCACATCAACTTAACTGACTTATCATTAATTTTTTGTATAAATATATATTCAATGAGTGAAAAATCTCAACAAATTTAGTTTTATATTATTTTCTTGTAAAACAATTCAGAGTCCAGTTTTAAAAATATATTATTGTCAAAATCGATGGCGCGTTTGGTCCATATTTTTAATAAAAATATTAAAAGTGCTTTAAACCAATGCCTGGACACTATGGTAGAGCTGCATCAATAGTTGTATATGTATTGGTAAACATGATGTACGATCATGTGTTGACGGATCAACTGATAACCACGACAAGGCATTATAACCCTCGAGAACAGACCTATTAATTGATAACAATTATAAAAACATTTGTCATTTAATTTTATAATAATTTTAATAAAGTCATGCCATACCTCAAGACATCAGTTGTCAAATTGGAATCAAGAGAGTGATAATTACGAACATTTGTATGCAATAAATCGTCACTATTTTGTTGAACCGATGGCGTGTGTATGAGTAAAGCCGACTGTCCAAATCAATACATATGTTAATAATTATATTTGTAACAAAATTGCTTTATTAATATCAAACCTTTAAAAACACCGGACACGAAGCCTCCATATGAGGACAGGAAGACCAGAACCAACGGGGAAGTGGACCTGTTTTAGCTGTCGACACGTAGAACGCTAATGCAAGAGGTTGTTGTAATAGTTGTGTCGGCTCATCCTGAATATCAACTCCGAAATTGTTGGATGTCTAACAAGAATTCATATATTAATTATAAAATCAAAAAAATTAACAAATAATTAGAACATACTTTCATAACTCCTGAACCATTCAAACCCATTTGTCGATTACTTGGACTATCAGGATGTGAGAGACCATCTACTTGACCCATACTGGGACTGGCGGGTGGGCTTTCTGTCCATTGAAATATGTCATTAACATTAATATCATCGTCGTTGATGTCCTCATTAAATGCTTGCAATAAGTCGTCTTCACCAATGTTTGCACCCAAAGATCCCAATGGATCGATAGAAAAGCTTCCGTGAGCTGACTGTGTTGTGGCAGATGTTGGGAACACCAAAATGTGTGTACACGAAGCATCTTCAGGAGTGCTTAGAGAACATGTATTACAGGAACTACTAAATCGTTCGTCAGGTGTGTAGTGATTGTTAAACACTCGGAGAGCAGTGTCTGCTTCGAGCGAAACAAGACATGCAGAGAAAATGGCCGGTTGGTCAAAGGGCGTCAAATATTGACATTGATTGCATGTGTCTCTTAACTGTCGACTATATCGAAGTAAAGATTTTTTGCTCAATAAAACAGACCAATCCTTGAGCTCTCCGTGTCCAATACGTCCAAGTCGTCCGATGACAAGTCTCCATGGAGTGACTGATTCTGACAACACTGTCTGCACGAATTGCATTAACTTATCCAATGCGAAGCGTCTTACTGACGCTTTTCGTCTTCGAGTTCTATTTGGTATACCGATGTAAATAGAAGTGGTCTCCAGAATATCTCCCTTATCGTTAGTACACGAAGCAATTAGCCATCTTTGATCTTCAGTTAAACAATAACAACAATAAAGTATTTGCGATTTCTCTCGTCGATCGCCAAACATCTCTCCCAACTCAGTCTGTTTGTCTTTAAGCGGCGCCAATATAAATGGCGGCGCATATATTCTATTCACATTAGATGACGGGTCTTTACTTTTAAGAAATAGTTCAAACATAGCGGCCGGTCCGAAACCGGTCAGACTCTTGACATTTGATTGATGAACTATTTGTTGGCGACACTGTGAGAATACTGAAAATGCTAGTTCTTTGAGCTGATCCTGTTGCGACGCTCCGTTCGGATCTTTTCCGTAAGATAAAAGTGAATCTAATGATATTAACTGTAAATGAATGTGACTCTTGAGTGAATCAGGAATATGTCGAAGTATTTGGGTATAACAACGTAGTAAACCAACGCTTGACAAACGGTATAAATCTTTGTCATTTGATCCAAAAGTAAACGGTTCGATAATATATACAACAATAGCGGGTTGTTTGTGAAGATCTTCATCCGTTTCGGTGTCAGTTTGCTGTTGATTCGGTTGTGTTGAGTATTGATTGCTCGTGTCGTTATGATTTTCATCGATAATCTTCTCACTATTGCTTTCACTGTTAGGCATCGGTGAATTTGATGGTTTGTTAGCATTGTTTATACCACCGACACTCGGGTTTAGGTTTCCATTGATTACGTTTGTACTATCGTTTGATGGTTTTGTAGTATTGGACTCAAACAATGATTTGTCAAGAGTTTGTTGGCCTAACCAGGGGGCTAAATGATATCGACAGGCCTGGGCATACATTCGTAGCTTTGAAGCAATATTTCCCTCTCCGATCTGATTAAACCATTCATCAATGGGCTCCTCTCCAATCATTCTGGCAGTTCGTGTGCCAACTCTAAGAATGCCATCGCGAAGAACTTTAGATATGGGACAATGTTTGCCTAATCTTAACATTTCATAAGTAGTGCTCAATTCCTTAAAAAATGTCATGACATGAGATAAGATGTAATCGTTTTCTGGAGAAACGACAACATATGCTATGTCTTTGGTCAAAGAGTAGGGTTCAAGAGATAACTTCTCCCAAAATTTTAAAGCAAATGGTGATAAAGCAACACAATCCCTGTCGTAACCAACCAATAGTGATGGTATTGGTTGCGGTTCACATTGATCTTCAGTGCCACGACCAGCAAGTCTGTGAAACTGTCGCCAAGTGAGCGGACCCGACACCGTATAAGTCACTTCCCACATCTTTGTCTTCTTTCGTTGTACAGACTCTTGCAATAATGGCTGTAAATTTCTTAACAGATGAATCGCTTCCTGATTGTTAACCGGATAATTGGTAGTTCTGTGAACCCATTCATGTAATGGACTTTTGTTAACTAATTGATCGTTTAAATAGTTCTGAAGCATCAGATAATTGTTTGGTATATTATCTGAAGATATTTTAGCACTCGTCAGAGCAGTCGATGCTATATGAGAGCCGTCTTTATAGATAAGTACCAATGGATTTCTCATATACTTAGTTTCAAGTAATTTATTATTTAAAGCTATACTTTCATAACTAAAGACACGTGAATTAAGTCTGTCTTTTATGACATCAAAGTGGACGGCTTTGGATAACACAGAACACGAAGAGAACACATTTGTTGATTGTGTTATTATTAAGTCGATTAATGTCTCGTCAAACTCAATGTTTTCTTTATTTTCATTAACATTGTTCTCTTCAGCGACAACTGATTCAATGGCAGCCAAACATTTCTTTTTAAGTCCATCTATTGGGTCATATAGATAACCTGTGATTTCGACCTCATCCTCATAGAAAAGACCGGCAAAATAACTTCGATGACGATTAACAACTGCACTGAAACCACAACTACACCTATATTGAGGTTCGTCATAACCTCCAGGTGCTAATGAATCGGGCAAATAAACACCGACATCATTACCCTTAATGTTCATATTACAGACACACAGAGAACAACTCTCAAAGTTATGATCTCTAAATAGATTGAGTAATGAATCTGAAAGCAAAAGATTTACTGCAAGACTGTGTGTTTCAGGTAATGACGGATCTTGTGGTAAATGGTTTGGAGATATAAATGCGTTTTGTTGTTGAGATTGATGATTGAAATGCATTGCTGGTATTGGACTCGTTGATGGATGAGGACTACGATGATTAGCAGCAAATGGATGGCTTGTATTTGAATAAAAGCCTTGAGGCACTGGAACATTGCTGTCCGGGTTATAGTTGGGATGATAATGAGGTAGAGGGGAATGGGACATATCGTTTTGTGTCATATTATACATTGGATTATGTGATTGTTGAATATGCTGCATGTGTTGGATACTACCAGTATTTGACATTTGCTGATATTGATTGATGGGCACCGGAGACATATTTGGCCGCAATCGCATTTGATTGTATGAATGTGGTGGTGGAGCGCCCATACGTGATATGGAGTGAGACATAAGATTCATTGTGTTTTGTTTAAGTGGTGTTAAGTGATTGTAATGCGCCGATGATGTCTTGGACTGAATTAAATTAATCTGTGGTTTTGATATTCCCTGAACTACTGGCTGAACATTAGTGTTGGCCGCAGGACTTGGCAGTGGCGGTACTTTTCTTTCATATTTACATTCTTTAGGAATTGTCGGTAAATTTGGAATATTTGGAAGCGGAGCGTATTTTGATGAGGCAACCATTTGGCATTGCACCGGTGGCTTATACACGTATGACCAGTCCTATTAATATATTAATAATGGGGTTTAAACATCAAAACATACATCAAAAACTATAATACATACCTTTGTATCAATCATATTAGGACTGCACGGATACAAATCATATTTCATATTGTCGTCTAATAGTGTTGCGTCGGGTCCTAAAAACCCATTACAAGGTGATGGTGCCATTGGTTCCAATGATGGTGGTGTGGGAAACATGCGGGTTAGTTCAGCAACACCTAGTGTTATACTTGATGCTGAATTAGTCTTATTGGACTTTGAATGTTCATCCATAACAGCAGTTCCCGATATAATTGAGTTTGTATTATTAGAATTATTATTAGTTGTAGAATTTCTGTTGGAAAGACCCGATGGAGTTAACGGCGCCTGAAATAACTCATCATTACTGTCTTCGCCAGAAGATGTATCAAAAATTTGATCCAAATCTCTATAAGAAGCAACTAATTCGTCCTCACGAGTAAAACCTTTCAAAGTTTGCGGTGAATTTGCAGAAAAGTCTGTTGAATTTGGCTTCAAGTCTCTATTATTCTGAGAATTAACGTTGAGATTTGGTTCTGGAGATGAACTGATTACAACATGTGTTTCCATTACTTCCTCTTTAATACTATTTTGTGCCGCTTTATAGGCGGCTCCTTCTTCATCAAAGTCACTGAATTCATAGGGATCTCTTGATTTTAACATAAACTGTGAGTCAATGTCTCCATTAGTCTGAGAGCCAGGACTCATACGCTTCCTTCCGATATAGTAATCGGTTATTAAATAACGTTTAAAATCTTTATTATAATTAGTCCTTCTATTCTTAAGCGGTGGTATATCACTACAAAAATTATTCAAATCATTGAGATGACTGTAGTCGTATAGAAAACTGTTACGTATATAATCGGAATCGTTGTCTTCACAAGAGTTGATACGCAAAAGTGGTCGCTTAACACCCGTCATACCACTTGGCTGTGTTTGATTTGAATCACTCGTTGACAATGTATTTGTTTCGGAGGCGTTTGTCTGAACACCGTTAGGCTCGATGTCAGATGATTGACCGCCAGGAGTCCATTGAGGCATTTGGATACTCGGAGAGTCTTCCGATATATTGATATTTACAGAAGCTTTAACTGAATTATTAGGTGATAATAACTGCTCTAAACGAGTTCTGTCTTTGTTAGTCATAGGACTGGATGCAACTATAGATGCATTTAGTTGAGACTCGCTGTTTTGGTCATCTTTTGCTGGATGTGGAGAGACTGAGAAACATGGATTGCTTTGTTCAACTGATGATACCGTACCATCAAGAATGAGTGATTGTGCGACAGAACGAGGTGAGTCAATTCCATTGGCACCGGTAGGTGTTGTTACGCTTGATTGAAGCGAAGGCAAACCGCCACCACTAATAGGACTCTTATATGAATAGGTGGGCACTGATGTAGGCTGTGATACACTGGAAACACTTAAATTAGATGTATTTGTAGGCAATGTATTGGGAGAACTTGAGGTCAAACCGTTAACTACTTCTAAAGTATTTAGTACTGGACTTCTTCTATGAAATGGTAAAACATTTTTAACAACTTTATTACGACTTTCTTTGTCTACTTTATCGCCCTTCTTATTAGTTGACATCGATGACGATTGATTGGGATATGAATTAGATGTGTTTGCTTTGGAACTATTTAATGTCTTCTTAGATTTGCATCGAAAACAGTTGCAATTGTATTTAATGCACGGGTCGTTAACACTCCATAACGTGGCACTGGTGTTGTTATTATTGCTGTTGTTAACACTACTCGCCTCTTCATTCAAGTCTTTAATTTTAGCTGAATTTGAGGCATTTTGTTGCAAAAGATACAACTCTTGAGTAACACAATGTTTCAATAGATAAGTGTGTGTTGGAATCGATTGCTGATACGGATACAGGTTTGGCTTAGTTTGAGTAGAAAAAGTGTCTTTTGAAACAATTTCACTAATATTTGTAACACATTTTAACTTATTTTGTAAAGATCCTGTCTTTTGATCACTTTGACTGTCAATATCAGTAGTAAACACATAACAATATGGATATTTCATACGAAATCCAGAGACTATCACTTCGACGACACAGTTTACTGAATTCGGCGAACTGTTCCCGAAATCACTGCAACTCATGTCTGAACCAAAATGTTGAGACATACCACTGGCTTGTGATGAACCGGCAGACATGTCTTTTGTACCACTAATTTGTGTCAATGGATAGATTTGTTTCCATTCATTCAATACTTTCTGTACTGATGAGTCAGAATCTTTAAAAGTCTGACCGGTCAGCACACCAGCCAAACCAAATGGCCCTAAAATCACTGATAAATAAAAAAAATAGTTTAGTAAATGTATGAGAATATAACTATAAATGTATTAAAACCTTTTATCCCATTTTGTGAGTTATGTGCTGATTGAAGATCAGCTTTAGTTAATCGGTATACAATAGGATGTTGTCTGACATCGATGTTGGCACAGACAGTGCTGTCTCCGTGAACGAAGAAATTAAATGCAAACGTCAACTGTAAGCCACTACTCGACAACCTTTTTCAGTAAACAATCATTTGTATTAACCCAACATTTATAGCATACATTTTTAAAAAATATTACTTTTTAGATGTTTGCTCAGCATTATGATTGTGTGTCGCACAGGTAGGTTCTGTGGGCTGAAAAAACCAACGACCCAAACGAGCAAACCCACGTGACAGTAGACATCTGGTAATTAATAGAATCAGTTAATAGAAATATAATACCGATTTAATTAAAATAATAAAAACATACCTTTCGATTATATTATGAAATGCTTTGAACAGTAATGTCCGGCACTCGTATGACAAACCCGTTTCCCACGAACCAGTCTCACACTCTGTAATAACATTGATATTATTTTAATTCAACAACACTTGTGTCATATCAATAATGTTTTGCTTGTTTGACATGTGGGTAAACAATCAAATCAAGTGCAATACAATCTGATAAATATTTAAAATTCTTGTCAACAATGCTTAGAGTAATCGTTGTTTAAATTCATTTTATATAAAGCATTATTGAAGCCAACATTATAAGCAAATTAACAACAATACAACCTTTTAATATTATCATTAACAAGTAAATAATGTAATTTATAAACTGTTTATTTTGCTTTATGCACCTATTGTGTTATATCATTCATAAAATAATTTTATTATTTATTTATTTATTATATACTATACATAAAGTACTAAATAGACATTTAAGTGATTTATTGTTTATATAAATATCTCTCAGATACAAATGAAATCTAATAACTCACTAAATAAGCAAATAAAATATGTTTCATATTAATTTATATTGTATCATATAATTAAATTATATAGTATACCGTATATAAACACTTATTACATCACCATTAATATAATAAAAATCCAAATAAAAATTGCTCTTTTAAAAGGCTAATTAATTATCAATCAATTAAATTTAAATACATTCACTGAAATCTAATGTCAAAAGTAATAAAAGCATTTAAATTACTATTTAATAAAATGTGAAAGCAAACATCAATCAAACCATAATTTAATCAATATTAATATACTTTTAATGCTAACTTTGTAATTATATAAGTAATATAAGTATTATCTCATATGAATAATAAATATTTTCAAATATGATTTTTCTGTTAATCAAATAATTAGATAACTTTTATTTATAATATATATAAATACTTGTTATAAATGATATAAAATAGTAAACAAACTTAAACTAGTAATGATTATCATATTAATAATAGTTTAAATATAAAGTGCTTTGTTTATATAATAAATACTTAGTTATTAATAATAATAGTAAAAACAACATAAGTAACAACATGTGTGATATAAATAATATCAAACATATTTGCGTTATATATAGTCGTGTTTGTCATATATGTAAGAAAACATATTTACATAAATCTATTCAATTTAAAGTCAATGTTACCTTTAAAAAATGTCCAATACATGGATAAACATTTTGAATAAAAATAACAAAATAAAATTATTATAAGTAAATTATATTAAGATTACATTAACAAACTGGTTAGACATTAAACAATTAGACAAAAGCATTATTAGTTCATTGCACTGATGATACTCTAATAAATTGCTATGCGATCGACTAAACAATCATTAATATAAACTTTAAATGACTTTTGAATATATACTCAAATTTGACAAAATTTATAAATTTTGTTAATAAATATTACATTTTTAGTAAAATTGCTTATTATATATAATTAAAAATCCAAATTAAATTAAACTTATAAAATTTTATTAATTATTTATTTATGTTATAAAATATTATATAATATAAATATATAGAACTTATTAGACTAGTTAAGACTATGAATAAAACTATAATAACCTCATCTATAAAAAGTAAATAAAAATAATATAAGTCTAATAGCTTTGGCGATCAGTTGTTGACAAATCACTATTTATATGTATTCTCAAACATATAATCAACAATATATATATAAACCTTTATATTATAATATATAACTTAATATACAAATATTTATATAAAAAATAAAACAAAGCAATAAGATATTTAAATCAATGACAAAATCATTATTATAAAACAGCCAAATAATTATCATTAGCTGTTAATATTATTATTATTGTAAATTACAACTTATTATAAAAATGAATCAAACTATATGTATGAAATTTATATTAAAATTATTACATTATACAAAATTATACTAAATATTCAATTCGTGTTTTTTAATTTCTAGATATATTTCATTTATTTAGTAAATTTATATTTTATGGGCCTATAAATAGAAAATTTAAGAAAATATATAACACTTTCTTCAAAGTTTTGTCAGTATATTTAGAGCCAAAATAAAACGTATGTATAATAAATAATCAATAAAAATGTTATGTTATGGTGGGGTATGGTATGAGAGCCACAAACAGCGCCCAGTGATCACAGTGAGCATAACTAGTAGTACACATGCAATCAATGAGTTTCAATAGCTTTCTAATAGTGACAAAAGCAATACTGTATTGAAATGAATACACAAAAAGTGCTCCTTTTCTAAGGTTAGCTAACAATTCACTGATATATATGTATTTAAAACAAGATTTTTCCTCTTTTTTCAAAAGCGTTTTCTAAAATATGTGATCTCAAGGCAAAGGTTGCCAAAAGTGGACTCTCGCGAGACAACAGCGCTCTGGGAATGAGTGAGAGGGAGAATACCACTGCATGTGTGTGTATGTATGCTCTTCAAGGACGGTCATCACTAGCTTAACAATTAAAAAGTTAAACATGTTTTGCTAATATGTATAGCATTAGACAAAACATATTTTAAATTATTTCCATTAAAATTAATTCTAATTTATTTATATCTCTGGTAAACAATTATATTATAACTAATAGTAAAATCCATTGCAAAAAACAACAACTTTTTATATCAATAAATCTAAACATTTCAACTAAAAGATTTCAAATTTCAATAAAATGCAAACATTTCCATTAATAAAAATTAAATCTTAAATATATAAAAAGTGAATTAAATGTTTTAAAATAATATTAAATTGGGAACAAATGGTTTGAGGAGCAAAATAAGTGGTAATACTAGCCTAACGGCTAAACAGATAAACATAAATATTAAACATTTATTTGTAAAAGTAGTTCATTTATATTGAGGTCATTTTATAGTAAATATTTTTTTTTGCATAAATTCATGAAAAAATGCATACAAACAACACATTATATATGAAATAAGYAAAAGTAGTGACAAATAAAAAAGCGTGTCTCTGGACAGTACCTGTCAATTCATTGTTGACCAGATCGGTAAAATCGGGTTCCTCTCCGTACCAAAAAACCCACAACTCTTTGGAGAACTGATTGTTGTTGCCATTGGTTTCTGACGACGATGTCTTCACGCGACGCCATACACATAACTGATCCGACGCTAAACACTTGCAGTACGAGCTGAGCACCGGGTCTTCTAATGGCTCTACCGATGAATTTTCACAGATTAGTCGTCGCCATTTAATACCACACAAATCGGCCTAAAATAAGGGAAAACAAACCATTAGATGTTAATTATATCTATAAAAGTAAATACTATAATACATAATAAAATTATGTCACAAAACAATGCACTCATTGTCATAATCGACACATTTATTAATTTTACTTTAATCGCACATTCATTAAAATATTATAATTTTGTTTTTTAAATAATTAATGATAAACTTATGGCAAAAAACACTTTAAATGCATTGTTTAGCTATTAATCATAACATTTATGTTAGAAAAATGATTGATTCATTTGGGATAACTATAAAAACGTTTTCTTAATTTGATATACTATTCATTGGTTTTTATGGCAAATAATATAATCGGTTATTAAAAATAAATAATAATCACTAATAGTTATAATTAACTGATAATTAAATAATCAAAAAATCATAGCTTATTGTTTCAAATGACATATGAATGACATTTGTGACACAAAAACAAACAATAATTCAGATGTTAAATCATCGACCACTTTGTTGGCTAAATAGTTGGCCAATTAGTGGTCAAACACGTCGGCATCAGTGCACTCAAAGTGATGCCAACGTCCCGGTGTCCGGCTATTGGCCTCTGAGGTCAAAACCCGGAGATATTCTCTTTTAAACGTAAAATGACAGCTAATGTCTTAACATTTAGATTTGGCATTAAAGACAACAAAACAATGGTTTGCCATTTGTATCAATTAATAATAATATGAGCGAATCGGCTCAAGAGTTACAAGTGATCAGATTATAGGTGATGGCAATCGGTGTGCGCTTTAATGTCATACATACCAATGCAAAGAAGTTTGTGTGACAGTCCTCAAGACTCGAGCCGTTGGTCACAAAGTTTGGATGACTCATGTCTTGGCCGTGACGGACATCACGCGAAACCGAGACTACTATTAGCGATCTGTCGGTTGACACAAATCACTGTACAGTTGACAATAGTGGCCATCAATTGGTGACACAAACACTCATTAAGTGTAAGTCTGAGTCCATTTGAGTCAACTCTAACACCAAAACTAGCAAAACATGGCGTTCACTGTGGCTAATGATCTTACAATTTCAGACATCAATTACGACACACAACATACCAGTGCCCGACCACTGCACTTACCGGTGCCCGACATACCTCACAAACAAACACATCGTTCAAACCATTAAATCACAATATCATTAATCTCTTTGTCATTAAATTTCTTATTATCTAATCTTTCGGTGTCCACAATATTAGCAATTGTTAGTGCAATAGCACCGGTAGTTTCATGAGTTGGGGGCTGGCATTCAAGTGATCCTTTTTATAGCTATACAACAATACGTGATTTGAACTCAACTGATGTGACTCTCTATTGATCATTAGTTTTCATTGATAGCTATGACTAAACACTTATACTGACATCTATTCAATGATAAACACATTGATTGTTATACCTATACATTGTATTTACAGTAAAATTTTTTTACAAAATCCTGAGACGACAACAATGTATAATAATACATGTTAATTTTAAAGTCCTATTCATTAACTAAGTTATCATATTTACAATTAGAGTCTAAGCTTTACAGTCATTGTAAGCATTAAATATGATAACTTAGTTAATGAATAGGACTTTTATTACATTGTTGTCGTCTCAGCAATTCGTAATATAATTTTACTTAGAATTGACTATAAATTCTGGGCATTCATTGCCAATTCAATGCAATTATTAGATAGTACTGTATATACAGTATATTGAAAGTTATTTCATAGGAATAACCTCTATATCTATATGTGTTGGCACTGGTATGCAATTCTGTGTAACTTATGATTACAGTAATGTGTAATCAAATGATAAGTAATCTAATTTAAAATAAGTTTTTTATTGAAATTCTACTGATATAATACAGTACTAATTGTTTTGTTAGCAAATAATGATAATTTTTTTTAATTATGAATTATAATATATTAAGATTTTTTATTCCGTATCTTTATTTAGTGATTTAGTTAGAAAAGCTATAATTTTGTTGTTATTGAAAAAGAGCATTGAATCATGTTTTAAATATTTAAAGTTAGTTATCTACAATAATTACATAAATAAACACATATTATATATGCATAAAGTCTCTATGATAGAGCTATTTACAAAGTTATAATAATTAATAAATCATAAAATAATAATTTTTAATTAAATTGAATTTCATTGAAACTTTTAATGCACTCAAAACCTTGTTTTTCCTCATCTGATAACTCCTTATTGAATGGACGGATGACTAATAATACTTGACAACCGGTAACTTTAGCCGCTTTTAACTCTATATTAATCAATTAATTTAAATATTAAAAAAGTAATTTTTAAATCAAAATGAGTTATAATATACCCTGAGGATTATCTGAAATGAAAAGTATATGTTTGGTATTTATATCAAACTTATTGGCAATCATTGTGAAGCTTTCACTACTGGTCTTAAAGCCATAAGTTTCGACATCGAGATACCCATCAATAAGCTATTGATATATAGAAAGTTATATATATAAATATCATATACATTATATATATATACATTATATATATATATATATAAATATATATAAATAAGTAATAATTATTTTTTTACAAAAGACTTACGGGACACAGATTTCCTTTGATTGTAGACGAGAACAGCAACTTCTGTGACAGATATAAACTCGAAGAATAAGTAAAAATCTTGATATTTAAGAATTTTTTCCATCTATTAAACGATTTGGACACGTCTTCAAAAACATGGCTTTTAAGTTCATCAGTTTGATAGCCATAGAACCAGACATAGAGCTGAAAATGTTGTAATGATTTTCCACGTCTTTTGTTATTTAATTGATATATTATATTATCGACAATCGATTTGATAATTGCTGGCAATTATTATTTTATTTAACAAAGTGTTTATTTAATTAAAAAATTTTATATTATTTTTAAATTTTTTAAAAAAATTTTAGTTTAGTTAATTTAATCTTACATTCTTTGTCTTTAGTTTTGTTAGCAATTGGTGGAACTGTAGAAAATGATTATTTTTTGAAAAAATATACTAAAATAATTCAATATTAATTAATATATGTAGATTATAGACAGCCAGTAGAAAATTATTTGCCCCAAACCCATCCTACCCATACCATCCACCCAACCATTTCCTAACCTCACACTCATCCCAAACTAACCTAACTAAATAATAATTAATTAATAAAACTAACATTTTATATACGTATAACTGCATAAAAACACTACTTTTTTGCTGACTGTCTATAATATACATTTAATCCAAATTATTTTTTAATAGATATACTATTTGTTTGTTCCTCAGCATTGATAACATTAGTACTTCTGCGAAGAGCATCGATCAGTTGCATCAATACCTGAGTTCCCCATTTGTTTTCAAGACATTGTTTTGTATTATATTTGATGAACGGAACCACACATTCACCCCAATATCTGGTTGATGTTGTGGTGCCTTCAATGTCACAAATAATAGCTCTGGGTTTTACTATTTTAACCATTTTGTCTAAATAGACATTATTTTATAAATTCAAATTTGCTTTCAACAAAAATACAGTATATATCATCTATTTTTGCATATTGTGCGTGAAAATCATAAATCTATATATATATTATTAGAAATACACATTATTAAACTTTACACTCAATTTAATATAATTTATTAATTACTAAAAATTATTTAAATAAAATTTTACAAATAATTTTGTGTTAATTATAAAGTTGTGTATAAGTTTATAAGTTATAAAATTATTAAATAAAAGATTATTTTGAACATTTTAACCAATTATTTAAATTATAACTATATTACAATGTTTATATTGTATTATTTTATAATTATTTGGACGGATATTTAAAGGGCCCAACTATTGTTTAATAGTTTGGAGTTAAATATTTTATAACATTATTATTATTTAAAAAAAACTAATAACTATATTACACAATATTAAATAAATTAAAATTTTAAAACATAAATGGAAGAAAATGCTATAAATAAGTTATTTATATGAAAATCAATATTAGTCTTAAATTATCATTGTTTATACAATTTTAATAATTATGTTGTTTTTAAATATTAAAATTATAAATATATTTTAATTTGATATTATAAAGCCATTGTCATTAAAACATATTTATAAACTGACTAGACATAAAATATATAAATTATCATATTAAGATATATATAGATTATTACAATAATAATTATAAAATAAATTTGACACAATTTTAATTAAACTGACCAACTTCAATAATAAAACTTGATTTTTAAACATTTATTATTTTATATTTCAAAAATTATAATACCAAAAATTTTGTTTGTTTTATGAAAAAATGTAGTAAAATTTTTAATCTTTGCAATACATTAATAGTACTGTATATATAACTGTATATATTTAAACTACTATATATGTAAATTGATTTGATCAAATAATACTATTTAATGTAATATCATTTAACTAATTGTTTATTATAACAAAAAAAAAGTTTCATAGTCTATGATATTGAGCTATTTTTAGCTCACTAGAGAGCTGCACAAACAGTACACTATTTTCAATATGAAATTACAAAAATGAACATGGTACTTTTTCTTAATAATTAATATAATTTTCAAATATTTCAGATAAATTAGTTGGTCAATCTAATTTTAATATGTCACTGCTGCCATGAATAATATTAAAATTTATTATTATTGTAGTAATAATAATTTTGATATTGTTGATAAAAAATGATCCTATCATAAAAGTTTTTTTTCTTAAATAACTAAAATTGATATTTTTAGATATTGATAATATTTACATCAATAATTAATAATTATATTAATGTAACAAAATTAATGTTTATAAAATAAATTAAGAGTTTCAATTGTCTAATATATATATATATATATAAATAAATAAATAAATAATTTTCATAGTATTTCATCCAATTTGTGTAATATTTGTTTTTAAATTAAAAAAATTTAATAGACATGATTTTTGTTGAATATGTTATTTTATGTTAAGTATAATAAATTTATGTTTAATGAGAGATATCAGAGATAAAAACACGCGAAAAGCTATATACCGTATATATACTGTATGTATGTATTAATAGTTATGAACATCTAATGTGCCGAAACTTTCTAAGTCAAGAGCGGCCGCCTCGAGAGCTGCCTTACATTCAGCCCACGGCTGCAAAGGGTTTGTGTGCTCAAAGTTGCCTGAAGTTGGACTGGAAGGTTGGGTTGATGTGGCGGAGTTTGCATTCATTGTTGAATTATTGACACAATTAGATTGCTTTATAGAAACTCTGGTAGCAATTGGTACCGATGTTGTTGTTATGTAAGCAATAGGTGGCGATGGACTTACTATAGGCTCACAGTTACCATTGATTTGTCTGATTAGTAGATCTGTGCTGTCAGTGTTGGCAACTGTTGAAAATGCTTGCCATTGATTCCAATCGGTTGTACTAACAGTGGTTGGGTTGACACACGTCACCACATTTTGTGTCGCAGATATCACATCTGATCCCATGTGTTGTCTAAGAGCCAGGCAATTAATATGACGGGGAACAGCATTTTGAAACATTTCTGTTTCTTCAAGAACTGTAGTGACCGGCGATGTGTTGGTCACCAGATGAAGGGTGTGGGGCTCTACTGCTGTCAATTGAGCGGTGGTTGTCGTGCTGTCACTCACTGTTATGGTTGAATCGGTCGCATGTATTACAGGATTTGTATAATTACTGAGTTCATTGAGATCGGCATCTGTTAGTATAGCATTCCAACAAATGTCGTTCCCATCTGTTTCTAGCATACAGGCATCCGATGCCGTCTCTGTAACGCAAACCTCATTTCCATAACCGGGATGTGAAAGATGGGTATCGGACTGTGAGCTGTGCATTGAATATGAATATGAGTCGCACTGACCAACGGGAACGGCTTCGATGCTGCTCACGGCTGTCACCAACTCTACCACATCATTGGCAGCCTATTTAAGAAAAAATAATAGATATGTGTTGATAAAATGGCCGAAATTTATAATTAAAAAATTAATTATTCCGTTTCCATACTTCTCCATATAGAGTATAGGATTCTGTAGAATTGGGTGGAGTGTCGTGTAGGAGAGGAGTCTCAGCACCGGTAGCTGTAATGCTTTTCATGTCTGTCATATTAGTGTTTTGTGAGCAATCATTCCTTAGCGCATCCTTTTTTCTCGACTATAATTGTTTCAAATAATTCAATAAATTGATTATTGGTATTAAGTGAATACAAATTTCACTAATATCTCATTAATTAGTAAATTGTGTACTAATGCACAAAATGTTAAATATCTTTCTATAACTGTATAATATTTTATACCTTCTTTTTAATAGAAGTACCGTTAGTATTGCCTCCATTAGAGCCCCTATGACTGGGCCTACGTTTTTTGAAGACCCCATCGACTAGTGTGTCGGCATAAACCGGGTCGAGTCGCCAAAAGCCCCCCTTTCCCGGCTCGTCCTTATTTCGGGGAATTTTTATGAAACACTTGTTTAACGATAAATTGTGACGAATAGAGTTCTGGTTTGAAATAATAATAATAATAAACGATTTCTATTTAGTTCATTAATTAAATAAAAATATTTAATATCATTATTTTTATTTACACACTTTTTATAGACAAATAATTTATATCAACAAAACTACTTTACACATATTAAACTCACAGATTCATAGTGTTTTATTTTTATTACACAAATATTTCTTATGCTATAACTAAATGAAAACAAAAGTTTTAATCAAATGGCTTATACAGGAATAGGCAATACTACTGATATTACTGATATAATAATACTGTTTGTATAATACAGTACTGAATTACAAAATAAGCGTTTTTTTGCTATGAATTCTACAGTATATTGTTATGCAAATTATATGATATATAGACTGTATGATAATAAATATATACAGTAGTACAGTATATTAGTACATATGAGAAATAAAAATATTATTATTGTTATACTTATTTTGATGAATATTATAATAATATTCCACATGAATAAGTATAACTAGGATTCATAAAATGGACACATATTTTGTATCGTAATATAATAGCAATCCAATAATAAATATTTTAAACATATGAATATAGAATATGTTTAAATATTAATTAAATAAATGCAAAAATAAATAAAATTGCTAAATAATATTATATATTTAGTTCTATGTAAATATATTTTTTGAATTTATATACATTTTATTGAAATGTATGTTAAATATAATAAAAATGTATCGATTACTCAATCTATTAGACTAAACTTATTAATTTTGAATTATATTTGATAATATTTAAATACTTTTTAGTAATGATTGATTTTGATGACTATAATTAACCAATTAATTTTGGTATTATGGTTAGCAATAGTCAAATATAGTAAAATCTATTATTATGTTGCATTTAATTTACATACAGTATATACTGTACAATACGGTAACATATATTTAACAGTAATCTCTATAACGAGTAAGTATTGTTATAACATACAGTAGTTTGTATAATAAAGATTTAGTCACAACTCTTATTTAAATAATATATATGAGTGAGAAATGAAAATGTGTTGTCTTTGAAATAATGAGATATATTTATACATTTTATTTAATAGGTTTGATTTGTCGCTATAATGATAATAATAATGAAATACTGAAAATGTGTGGAAAAAGCATTTTTTGTGTATAAAGTGTCATAAAATAAGTCAACGTTAGTATCGTTGGATAAACAGGTAAAGCACTAAATTTGCTGACTTTTAGAGTTTTTCTCTATTATTTCATAGATTTTTCAATCGATTTTTATATTTTTTTGTAAAACCGATTAATCAATGATTGCTTGAATTGAGAAGTCGAGTCTATCTATCTGTTCCAATGGTTCCACAAGTTATTCAATTGCTTTTCATTGGTTGATAAATGGTTATACTTTTCTATTTATTATTATTAAGCAAATGTCAACACAAGAAGTATTAGTAAATATGAAAATATGTTTTTTTTGTGAGTCTGACTCTCACAGTAGGTGTTTATATATATATATATATATATATATACTGTATATACCTGTATATAACAAATAATAATATGAATGCAAAATAAGTGAAAAAATAAATGTTTATTGGCTTTAGAAATGGCAGCGAAAATAAAAAATCTTATCGATTGAATCGACATTTTCATACAGTTTTTCATATATGACTTTTAGCTAGAAATGCATCATTAAATCGATTCGTGATATCAGATGAAAGAAAGAAAGAGATTCTCAGAAAATTTATGATTATTATTATTATTATGTTTTTAATGAAATATTACACAGTTTTTTATTATATAAACTTGTACAGTACAGTACAGTACTATATTGCAAAACAATATACAGTATATATACCGTATATAGTATTTACTAAATTACATTAATATTATACTGTATTAAATAAAGTTAAAACTTAAATACGGTACTGTAAGTACATTTAAAACTACTATTTTTTATTATAGACATAGACATCATGTCAGACAAATTATAGTTAGTTGTATTAATGGTGTAATAATAATCATAACGTACAATGCATTAAACATTATAAAGAGTTGTATTTTTTATGTATTGGTTACATATAGTGTGTAATACAATGGATATAAATTTATATATAAGTAATACATAATACAGTAAAAGCATATGACAGGTCATTGACTCAAATCTTGTTCATTGTTATATAAATTTATATATATATATTTGATTATAAACTATATAATTTCTATCAATTCTTAAATCTATCATTCAAATCAATTGCACTATCATTTTGTAATTTTTAAAAATATATTATATATACCGTATATATTCTAATAATACACTTTCGTGTAATATTTGAATACTTTATTTAAGTTATTTAAATATTCATATTTTGTTTTATTCCATAAAAAATTATTGTATTTATACACAACTTTAAAATGGCATTTTCAATAACAAATGATATATTTATATCAATTAAAATATCATATAATATTTTGTTGTGTGTACTACTGAACACTTTTATGTTGCTAAAATTACTTATATTAATTTTTAAAGTATAAAATTCTATATACACTAATATATATTAATACATTATACTGTATATATAAACATAATAAAATAAATAATAATTTAAATTTCCTACATTATGTAATTATAAATACAGTAATAATGCTAACGTTTTTATAGAATAATAAAAGAAATGGCAAACGTTTAGATCCATTACATAACAAAACCACAAATATTAATGTTATATAAACAGACAATCAAATGAATATTTCTACAGTTAAATGAAAAGGAATCCCTTATTATTATTATTATTATTATTATTATTATTATTATTATTGACTCTAACTTTATAAGTTATATATATATATATATATTATATACAATAAAACATTTGAAGCATTTAATGATACGAAAATAAGCTTTTCATAGACAGTGATCGCGTGATTTATAAACGATAACAATAAGTCATATCACACTATAAAGACTAATATTATAAGGAGAAAGCATTTTAGTCAATATTATTTCAATTACTACAATATTATTACAATTAACAATATAACACACAAACACTTGCTATCATTTTAACCACTTTATTGACGACAATGACAGTAAGTATACAACAAACTATGTTTTATATATAATATCTTTTAAATAACTTAAATTATGTTAAATATTAAATTTTTAGAATTGTTATCAATTATATATATTTTTATAGAATTTTATTATTCTATTAAATATCTATTAAAATACTGTATTTATATTTAATTGATATTAATAAAATATTATATTATATTTAAAAATAGGAAAGTGTATTGTATTTCACATTATTATGCTAATTTATATTGATAAAAATATCGTATATGTGTATTATTATGTAGACTTATTCCAATAATCTGGTTATAACATATGCAATCAAATATGATAGTTTGTTAATGCAATTAGAAATATTAATACATTATACTGTAATTCATTTTTTTATTTGATCCAATATTTTTGAATAATTAAACATAAAATTTGCAGAAAACAATATGTTTGTGACATTCGGAGTAAAGTATTACAATTAAATAGTTAGTGAATTGTATTTTTCTTATATAAAAACACTAATTATTATCATTACAAAGTTCATAACAATACAGCAAATGTTATTAAACAGAAATTCTTGTTAAATATATTTCTAAAAATTCTCACAAATAATATATTATTGCATATATTTATAGTCAATCATAGGTGGGATGGAGAAAGAAAGAGAGATGAATATAGGAATAGGATCGATAAAATAACATGAGTTGCGCAGCACAGGGATGTCAATTGCAATACTGTATGCTCTAATAGTATGCATCTGACGATTCACATAACTTAGCGAAAGAGAAAAGAGGGAAAAGATTGAGAGCCGCCCTCTCTATACATTCTCCCATTCCTTGCTCTCGCTATACATCATCAATAGCCTGTATATGATTGTATTGCTAATGAGAAACTGTATATTTGGTATATAACCGCATATTACACACAATTATTTGGCTTTTTTGCGGATGCAATCATATTTTATGAAACACTATATTAGATGAAAAATCCTATAAAATTATTAATATAATGAAAGACAAACTCCATTATATAAATAGATTTAAGTAAAACACAAAACAATTACACTAATGATTGATATGTATTGAATGGTTTATCTCATACCTGCCAACTGGGATCAGCGTTCTTATAGTACATGAAGTTCTCGCGGATCCACTTATAGATAGCACTTAACGTCATTTTATTTTTGTTGGCCTTCATTGCCATACAAATAAGCGTTGCATAAGAATAAGGAGGTTTGACACTACCGTTTGTCTTATAGTCAATCGGATCAGTTTCTTGAGCTTGAGATGACTTTTTTGACGAGTTTGAGTTTGAATGTGACTGAGACTTACCGTCCTTATGATTGTGATATGAGTGAGCCTTTTGTACACTTGTATTATGAATGTTATCCACTGTCGAGACATTGATTTTTGAGTTGCAATTGGATTGTTTATAATGATTATATGGCAAAGAAACAATTGACGAGCATATAGGACTAGCAGGAGGTGTGGGAGGCGTTGGCGCACCTAATCGTGTCATACACATATTCAGGTTCTGTAACCAACTTAAACTGGTGAGACCATCATCAACATTAGGAGATATCCCTGTATTGGCCGGTTCGTTGGTTGTGCCAGACATCATCATAACTGGTGTCTCTCTATTGCACCACCCGGTGCTCGAAAAATGGAAATTACTAGTCGTAACTGACATTTGCGTCAAAACTGAAACAAAACAAAAAATTATAAATTATTTTCACATTTATATCACATATAAAGTTGTCTTAGCATTGAAATCGATAAAAAAGATGTTGGCGTATATGAAATGATATTATATGCATATGATATGAAAAACAGGTGAAAATCTTTCAATATATGGGTTCTTACAAATGCTTTCATCCATATAATGGTAACTGTTATCAAAACTTAGTGAACAAAAGCCAGTATAACGTTATAATCAAATTGATATATCGTATGAATGTGTTGTATATCTCACGCATCTTTCATACCTGTATTGTAGAATTGCATGCACTTTGCATACATTATTGTCATTATTATTAGTATTATTAACATCATTATCTAGGTTATTGCATTTATTTTATTTTTCTTATTGGTGACTGTTTTTAAAATAACTTAAATTTATTATTATTTTTAAAAATTAAATTTTATAAATTACAAAAATTATCTAAAATTGTTCATTAGTTATATATATAGTATTAATATATAAATATCATATTTTAAATCTAAATTTACTGTATTTATGATTGTACAGTATAATATTTATTAACTTTACTTAAATTTTTATCATTTTTAAAACTATTTAAATACTATACTTAAATTGTTTCACCAAATGCACTTTAATTAATAAATTTTATGCTAAATGCATAATATTTTTTAATTCTAACATTAACAAATAATCATTAAATTCTATATTATGATATACAAACACATAATAAAAATATTTTTGTTTCACACTAAAAAACCACTAAAACATATTTAATTAAACAAATAGTATAAGAGTAACGTTATTTTAGTAGTTTTTAATAGTATAGATTAAATTAATTTCATAAAAACCAATTTTCTATTATTAATTATCAAAATTAAATTCAGAATTTAAAAATTGGAAAATTTGAATTATAAGAAATATATTAGAATTTTAATTAAATAATGAAAAAATTATTTATTACGAATATTTAACTTAGATATAATTTATTTAAGCTAAAACGGTGTGCGTTATACAGTAATAACTGTCTAATATATATATATATATATAGTACAGTATATACAGTATATAGTATATTATATATACTGTATATATATATATATACATAAAATGATTGCAAACTCACATCACGTATAGTCTATGATCTGCATCTTTTGCCGGATACTACTGTACTATACTTTGCGTGATCTCATGGATATTACATTTGGTCCAGAAATCACTTTTTACAGTCATTTCTTTTTACTGCATTCAAAGCGCTCAAAAAAGTCAACTATCGATTTGTTATAAAAATGAGCTCAAATTTTATTATTTTAATATACAGTATTTATAATACCGTAAACCAAAGTATATGATAACTGTATATCTTTATCTAGATTTAATACTAAATATTGTTTTTTAGTTACACAAAATCAAAGCTTATATATATAAATATAAAATTATATATATATATAATTTAATTATTGTCAAAATTCATGTAAATTATGATTTTTGTAAATTTAACAGAAAGTTGAATTAATTTAATAATTAAATATATTATAGTTAGTATAACCATACTCTTTTTTAGAAATGTTATTATTAAATAATCAATAAAATACTAATTTTATACTATTATATTGTAGTCTATAAATGTCAATGAATTTCTTAATGTCAATAAATTTGTTATAATAACTTTCCTATACCTGTGTATATGTATAATAAACTATATGATTATGTACTATACTATACTTATGATGAAAATCTCATTTTCTAATGTATTAAATTCATTGACCTTTTGGATGGACGTCAATAGGCATCTCTCTTTGCAAACTTCACTACATGAGCTAACTTAAGGCTTTAAATGTTATTTTATTATTACTGTCATTTCATTTTGAGTACCGGTCCACACATTTTATGTTAACTGTATTATGAATGAGAGGGGAACTAATGGTATCCGATATTAGTGATATTAATGTTCTCTCTTTCTCTCTATCTATATATATCTAGATGTGTGTGAATGAGAGAGAGAGAGAGAGAGAGAGAGAGCATTGGGAGTGGGAGACACGCGAATAGGATTTCATTACCTGAATACTCTAATGTAATATACTTTTATAATATTTAATATTAGAGCTTATAAAGCATTGACTGTATAACTATAAATATAACTATATATGATATCACAGTATATATATATTATATATAAAGAGCTGAACATTACAATCATATTTTTATTTTGATATTTGTTTTTTCTGATCAAAAGTTTGTAAAATTTTATTTTAATTATATTTTAATTCATTTAATTAAATGATATCCAATCTATATTTGTTTCAAAAACCTAAATATAAAAAATTAATTTTTGTTGTCATATTAATGAAATCTTAAAAATGAATAAACTTGTATTTTAATTAAATATATTGTTAATTTATATATTATTATTATAGTTTTATAGTAAAATTTGTATAAAATTACTGAAATAAAACATATCTCAAACTTTAATTAATTAGTTTAAATATTTAAATTAATTAAATATTTTGATTGTAACACAAGTTAAAAGCTATTAAATACGTGAAAATTAAAATTTATTGTTATTTTTAATAACTTATAGCACATATTAATTAATATTTTCATGGATTATACAGTAGTATTTTAATATCATATGATAGTAAATATATAAACTGATTGGAAAGTTATAATAAACTAAAATAATAGAAAACTTTGAACTAATAAAAAAAGAGTAACTTTTTTAGTCACTTATGACATAAATGTGTGCTCTATTTCCCACAACTTTTCTCACAAATAGTTAATTATTATTTTTGATATCATTTAAAATATGAAACTATTTATAGATGGGATGTATTGAATGTAAAAAGTCCTGTCAATTGGTTTTATTGAGCGAACCGAATGTTGATATCATTTATATTACACTTATGTCTCTAATGTTGTGATAAACTATTAGTGTTATCACAAATTCAGGTAAAATAATAATTATCGGTCGGCACCGGCAGCTGCCCAGACATTGTTCACTGCGTTACTCAATATCCCGTTGAGAGGAAAGTTTTAATATTAGGAGATAAATGAATGGATCGGATGCAGGAGTTTGCACATCAATAGCACTGGTAGGTAAGCGCGATGCCCACTCTCATTCTCCTTTTAACAGTTCAACTCTACACCAATAGCTACCGGTGCGTGAAGTGAGGTAATGTTGCACTCATTGCACACATACGTACCACACATTTGGTATTGTGTATGAAATACTAAATAATTTACTATTAAGTTATGGCAATATTTGCGAGAAAAATACCATATTATTTGGCAGATTTGGGAGAGACAGCGGACACGCGTTTTCATTCAATATACATATACTCTATGATAATAATAATAATAATAATAACAATCAAAATAAATTGATCGCAATTATTATTGAGTGAACCAATTATAAGGCCATACCTTTGGGAAACCCAACTCACTATGAATTTAATACAACGGATCACTAATTCTTTATCTATTATTTCAATTTGTTTTATATTTCATACATCAGTTTATTGATATAAATATATTCAAATTAATTCTTGATATAAATTTTATATGATATATATCATAGTATTTTATTGATACTGTATTGTAATATATATATACAGTACTTATACAAAATAAAAAGTCAATAAAAATAGCAAATAAAAAATATTTTTAGTAATAATACTTTTCAACAGTTAGTCTTTATATCTTTATAGAGTATTTTTCAATATAGACTTCTTTAAGTTTATTTTAATGCTTTAGTTAAATACAATAATTTTGAAATATAATGTCAAAATATAAATTATGCAATAGTATAGTACTTTGTAGAATAATATTGAATAACACATTACTTTAAAATGTATTAAATTTTTATATGTTGAATAAATTTATATATATATAAACAATATACTGTTGCTAAATATATGTATTTAAAATAAATATATTTTTAATATTTTCTTAAACATCTTACCATATATTCCATTAGATATTTAAATATAGTGATGGCTTTAATGAGATGATGTAGAATATGGCGATCAATAAATGTATAATTAAGTCACAGCTTTTAGTAATAAATTACTGTATTTGATATATTTTAAAAATATCTTAAATTTTAATGATAATAATAACACTTTTAAGTATCATAATACTATAATTATCAGAAGTTTACTATAAAATTTCATAAAAAACAAAAAAAAAACAAGTTATTATCTCTAAAAATAAATTTGATTTAATAAACATAGAATTATACAGAATTATAAGTTTCAGTGAAAATGCAATAAAGTTATTGAATTGAGTGCCAGAATCGGAATATATATCTAAATGTAGCGCAAGTCTGAAGTCATAGACTGTCATCACAGTTACGGTCACAGCACCTGCCATTGTGTGTTACTCTATAGGTTTTCCTTATTATAGGCCACACCTGAATGTATATCGCATTTTGTCTGTCAATGGCTAGTTTGTCGCACATGAGCTTATATTTTAATTATATTTTATCTTTGTTTAGTTTTAAGTTATAATGTGATAACAGATTATTTTTAAAAAATTTAATTAATACAAGTTAAAGTGTGTAAAATACTATTTTCAGTACAAGTTTAGATAAGTATTTTCATTCAACTTAACGTATATTTAATTTATTCAATTATTTGTATATTACAAGTATTTTGTTGTAAAATATGTTGATTTATTGTAATTAATTTGATTGCAATATTTCATGAAATTATGCTTTATTTGAATTTAAATAAATTTCATTAATAAAATGATATATTATAAAAACAAGTTTTTCAAATAAAATTTTATTGAATTTTATTTTAAAATTATTACATCTTGATAGTTATGTAAATGAATTAAACTCAAATTTAATAACAAATAAAATCTCAATTTCATTAAATATTAATTTTTAATTTTCTATATTTCTATATTCTAAATACATGTAATATAGTTACTTCCTGAGCTCAGCCATCCTATTGAGAGCACTTCCCGCTTTAAACCAAGTGAGCTGTAGGTCATTCAATGTGTGTTTCAATTCAATCAAGTCTTTAGAGCCGTCTTTATGTTTTATCTCACACTTTACCGACTAATAAACGAATATAAATAAGAAATTAATTTTTTAACATTTACCGTAAAAAGATTATCTAAAATTTAAAAGTTTATACCTTTCCCGGAGCCAACCCTTTGAGGTCGAGTAATGAAATTTTATCAGTCGGCTGTATTTTGTCGTAATCTTTTGGATCAGCAAAAGTCAGCGGAAGAAGTCCTTGTTTTTTAAGATTGGTTTCTATTTTTTCAATTTGTCAAAAAATAAGTAAAAAATGATATACAGATGATTTGTTTATATAAAAACAAACCATGAATTCTAGCAAAACTCTTAACAATGATAGCACGGCCTCCCAGATGTCTGGGCTCAAGAGCCGCGTGCTCTCTACTACTTCCTTCGCCGTAATTCTCATCTCCGACAGCAACCCATTTAACACCTTTAGCTTTATATGCGCGGGCAGTATCGGGAACACCACCCCATTCTCCCGAAAACTGATTCTTAACTTTATTTGCTTCACTATTTTCACTATTTATTGCTCTAAATATTTTAATCAAATTAAAATTATTATAAAATTAAAAATATATATATAATACTGTAAATACAAACCCAATAAACATATTATTAGAAATATTATCTAAATGTCCTCTATATTTAAGCCACGGACCGGCAGCGCTAATATGATCAGTAGTACACTTTCCCTTGACTTTAATCAAGACAACCATATCTGTCAAATCATTTCCATCCCATTTATCAAATGGTGACAAAATCTGTAAACGTTGACTCTTGGGATCGACATCTACGTTAACGGACGAGCCATCAGCAGGTGGTGGTTGGTATGTGTCTTGTCCTGGATCAAATCCACGAGATGGCAATTCATCACCAGTAGGTGGTTCAAGTTTAAATTTCTTGCCATCAGCTCCTGTCAATTCATCCTTAAGTGGATTAAAATCAAGCCGACCAGCAATGGATAAAGCGGTGACCAACTCTGGAGACGTTACAAAAGCATGAGTGGCTGGATTTGCATCATTACGACCGGTAAAGTTTCTGTTATATGAAGAAACAATGGTATTCTTCTCTCCTTTTTTAACATCTTTTCGATCCCATTGTCCAATACAAGGACCGCAAGCATTAGCCAAAACAAGAGCTCCAAATTGTCTTAATTGTTCTGCCTGTCCGTCGCGCTCTATTGTGGCCCGAATTTGCTCTGAACCGGGAGTTACAGTAAATATGGATTTTGATTTCAACCCGTGTTTGATGGCTTGCTTTGTAATACTAACTGATCTATTCATATCTTCATAACTACTATTAGTACAGCTGCCAATTAAACCAACTTTTATGTCCAATGGATAACCATTTGTTTTGGCGTTTTGTCCTAATTTAGATATAGGATGCGCCAAATCAGGTGTAAACGGACCGTTCACATGAGGTTCAAGTTCAGACAAATTGATTTCAATCACTTTATCATATTTAGATCCAGAGTCACCAGTTAATAGATTCTGGTTGTCATCTGCCATATCTGCAATTTCTTTACGATTAGTCGCCACTAAGTAATCACGCATTCGTTTATTATAAGGAAACACTGAAGTTGTGGCACCGATTTCTGCACCCATATTGCAAATGGTTCCCATACCAGTACATGAAATTGAATCAACTCCAGGTCCAAAATATTCAACAATAGCTCCAGTTCCTCCCTTTACGGTTAAAATATCGGCAACTTTCAAGATAACATCTTTAGATGACGTCCAACCACTCAATTTTCCGGTCAAATGTACTCCAATCACATTTGGACACTTTAACTCCCAAGGGATGTCTGCCATGACATCAACAGCATCTGCACCGCCAACACCAATGCATAGACCTCCTAAACCACCGCCGTTTACTGTATGACTGTCAGTACCGATGAGTAATACTCCGGGAAAGGCATAGTTTTCTAAAATTATCTAAATATTAAATGTAAGACAAGTTATACGCGATAACACTTTACTAGTTTGTTGTCACACCTGGTCTGTCGGTGCAGTCATTTATTACAATTAACTGCTTTTCTAATGTTTGGTCAAAAAATATAAATCAAATAACCAATCTTTTGATTACCGATAATTTTGATGACCACATACAGCGTATAATAATAATAATAATAAAATTATATAAACTTATAAATACCTGATGAATAATACCACTTCCAGGCTTCCAGAAACCGACGCCATATTTAGACGAAGCGGTGGCCAAAAAATTATAGACTTCTTTGTTAATATCCTTAGCTCTGGCCAAGTCTGCCTCGCCGCCGATTTGAGCTTCAATCAGATGATCGCAGTGTATGGTTGATGGGACGGCAACTCGTTTAAGTCCACTTGAAATAAACTGCAACATTGCCATCTGTGCGGTCGCGTCCTGCATACCTACCCGATCAGGTCGGAGACGCAGATAGCTTTGGCCGCGAACAATGTCTTGTTTTTGCGGGTCATCCAAATGCGAGTATAATATCTTCTCCGACAGAGTGAGCGGTCGATTCAGTCTAAAGATTGAAACATACAATCGTAAGATTTATTAAAATTAATAAAACTTCAGAAATAATACCTCTTTTTCACGATTTTTAGATTGTTTTGAAGCTTTTCGTAGGGAATGTGCGAGTCTTTGTCGAAACGACTCATCGGTACCTAAATTGGTGGCCAATCGGCGGTCAATAAACAAGTTGATCAGAGATTGTGAAGACAAACCTGTTTGGCACAACATTGTGTAGACGCGTGGATCAGTCGGATCTGACCAAAAGTGGTTGCATTCAACAGTTTCTGTGAGACAAACACACTATCAGTACAATTGTCCTTCACTTGAGTTGAGGACAAAACATTTGCAAACAATAAATCTTTTTTTAAATATGTTTTGTCCGCTAATTGTCGGTAATTAACCAACGGATCAAACCTGAGATACGATGTATGCCTTTAATTGAGACATTGTTAGCACTTCTTGTTAACCAATTGTCACCAATAGGTCTGAAATTATGATATCTTTTAGTTTAATAATAATATAAATATATTAATAGTTTTTATTAATATTTCAATTATTCATTAAATAACAGAATATTTCCAACAATTTTCAACACAAATGACGTCAAAATGAAATTCTTATCGATTGTCTGTTAAAATTAAGTTATCTTTTAATTGATTCATAAATTGTTTTAATAAATGATTCAAAAGTCAATATAAATGGAAATTTCTGTTTTAATAAAAAAGTTATAATACAGTCAAATGTTGATTAAAATGTTAACTTTGACCGAAATATAATCTGTTATTACTATAATATTTAAATAGCAAATACATTATCATATGTCTGACAAAAATATTATCGATTAAATTGGCTATTAATTTGTGTCAATTGATATTTGTGTTGATATAATATAAATGTTATTTTTAGTAACTTTTATCATATTAGTTGCCAATCAATGATAATAATCAATCAATTTATTGATTATATTCATAATAATATATATTAAATCTATATAAATGATTATCATTGATAAGTTAATATTTTTTAAACACATAACACATCATTGATGTGTAGTATAGTGTATATGTAGTGTATTATTAATATTATTAAAAAACATTAATATATTATTATAAGATTGAGATTAAAATTGAATAATTGGTTAAAAAACTATTGATAAACCAATTGATAAACCAATTGATAATAACAAACAACACTTGACTTAAGTTGAATCACCAGATAATTGTGGACACAATGTTGAAGCCGAAGACATTAACACACATCTTGAGTGAAGCCAATACTTCTGGAGTCGAGTGCACGATGTAAATGACATTATTAATTAAGACATTAAATGGGATCAAATGGATTGACATTTGTTTGTTAATAATAATTGTCTTTTAATTTGTTTGTCTATATAATAGTTTACTGAACAGAGAGGGGACACTCTTGGCGTACTCAGGATTTGGTGATAGAGACGCCCGAATGATAGCTGCCATCACATCAAGTATTTGGTTGTCATATGAGAAATACGGCAAAACTGGTCTCAATGAAGATACACTTCAGTCGATTATGTTTGAGTGTCAGGTATGGTATGAACCATAAAAAACAGATGACAAGTATTTTAGTAAAAAAGTGATATTTGTTGGACAGGACGGCAATGTTGTGGCGGGAAGTGTAGCCAACCTATTGCTCTGTCTTGTGGCCAAAAAGAATGTACCCTTAGGTATGCTTCAGATGAAAATCAAGTCACTGACCGACCACTTGGAGACACCACTGAGACAAATGTCCGCCTCATGAGTGACACGAGCTTTCATGTTATTTGTCGCCAGAAATCAATTGCAAAGAGTTTTATTAATATTTTTTTATAAATAGTTTTTATTGAGAATAAATCATAAATCAACTTAAGTTATAATTTAAATAAAATATTCTAAATATTTGTATAGTTTTTAATTGATAAATAAATCATTAAAATGCATTTTTCCCTTAAATTTCGTGACTAAGTATTTGGCAAATTTAAAGGTAAAACAAATGTTAACAAAAAGCTACCCATAGTTTTTGAAAAATAAATTAATAAACAATGATATACTAAAGCACACAATTTGACAATTAATTATTTGGTTAACCGTATAATAATCTGAAAATTAATAGATTGTATATTTCATAAATAATATTACAAATGAGTGGTTAATATATAAAAAAAATTGTCAATAAGTCGGTGATGTTGTGTTGCGCTTTGATTACATGAGAAGACACTTTCCCTTTTCAGCCCACGGATTGTTTTTCTTGTCCGGCGTATGGATCAGAGGGTCCTGAGTCTCATTCTCCTCTATATATTCACGTAACCTATCATTTCATAAAGTATATAGTTTTTATTATTTAAAAAAACTACCGGTAATTATAGAAATATATTTTGTATATTATTATATTTATTACACTAAACATGTAAATTATATATTAAATTAAAATGATTTCGTTTATATGATAAGCAATTAAATGTATTGACTTACGCCTGAATGGACTTAGAGAGAGGCCATCTTTCCATGAGTGCCTGGTATCGCATATTTTCAATTTGTTTGCGTAAAGTGTCCTTGTCCATTTTATACACAATATTCAATTGATCCCAACTAATATGCAAATTCAACTATAACTTCAACAAACAACTGATATCCAATTTAACACAAATATATGTCAAATTATTATCAAATATAGTTACAAGTTATATGCATTGATTAATACAATACAATCTATGCGATACACTATTGATTACTTGGTTGTCATGACTGCATTGCTCCCACTACTACATATCCTCTCTCTCTCTCTCTCTCTCTCTCTCTCACACACACACACACACACACACACACACAAACATTGTGGTCGCATCTAATACTGAATAAAGGGATGTCATAACTACTAGACAAATATGCCGGTGCAAGTGGCATATGTTGTATTACATTTTTGATACATAGTTTATTATAATACTTTACTTTGAAAAAATTATTAATTTAAATAGTTAATCATAAAAATAACAATTTATTTATTTAATAAAAGTACAGGAAATTATTTATTTTTATAAATATAATCTGATTTGTTGTCAAATTTTAACTAATTAGTCAATTGTTGTAATAAATTATTTTCGATGCATTGCTTTTCACCTGAAAAGTCACTTCACTGTACTTCACTTCAAACGCTTTATTGCATTTAACAATTAAAAAGTATTTTTTAAGTATATATATATACCGTATATTATAATAATTAATTTTCCTCTCAAATTAAATCATAAATATATAGTTTCAGTTTAATAAAAAATTAAATTATTTAAATATTGTTATAAAGTATAGTTTTTAAAATCATTAAAGTTTTAAACTCGTAAACACTCGTAAAGTTTTGTAAGTAAGACATAATTAATGAGATAATATATAATATGATATTAATAGTTAATTACAGTACAGTAACAAAAATAAAGTTATGTTAAACTTAAACAGAAAACTTATAAATTATCATTTTATTTAATTTATACAAAAATTGTGAAAAGTAAAAAAATCATTAAATTGCTATTAATTATTATAACTTATATTTCAAGTTATAATATTATAATAACAATGTCATCGGTGGTCATCAATTGGTTTAATAATTATTTGTATGAATGAATACATCAATTGATGTATTATTTAGACAGTCCTTCAATTCTGAATGTATCAAAACATATGTAATACAGTATTAATATGTTATATGTATTGTAATATTGAGCTGCACTTGGCTTTTGAGTGGACTGGTATGTGATGTGATGGGATGGGATGGCAGCACATGTAGACTATAGTGTGTCAGTTTTGTCAACCATCTTGTGTTTGATGTGTTGTGTCTATTGAATAGTGTTTAACATTATATTGAATGCTATAATACAATGCATTTGAACGCTATATTGAATACTAATATACGAATGAATGAGTGATTTATTGCCAACAATAGAGTGATATACAAGAACTCTGAAGCGATCACCACATCTGATCCAATATCACTATATTATTACCTTTTACTACATCAGTGCCACTTATTAGACGGACATCCAGTGAAGACAGTAATACTAGTGATTTCAAAACAAAAGAGCTATCATTTGATTAGTTGACATCTCATCATCAGATCAGACACCACGAAGAAGGCGTTTTGCTTATCTTTAGCGCAGACTATGCTTCAGACATCATTGCATTTGATCCACATTTTATAGCTATGGCTGACAGACGAAAATTACAAGGTTTGCATCAATTAGTCAATTGATTGATTGATTGATTGCAATCAATACTTGAGTTTTTCAAACAAAAACAATTACTTTGTTTTTGTTTGAAAAATTATGTTTCAAATTGTGTTTCAAATTGTGTTTCAAATTGTGTCAGTTCTTAGACTAATATATTTGACATTTAGTTTGAAAATATATTTTACTTTATAATTAACTGACATAAAGACCAAGTGATGTATTGATAATTTAATGTTTTTTTTTTGTGTTTTTGTTTATTATTTTCAGAGATCGAAAGGTGTTTGAAGAAAGTGACGGAAGGCGTTGAAACGTTTGAAGATATTTGGCAAAAGGTTCACAACGCCAACAATAGCAACCAAAAAGAGAAATATGAAGCTGATCTCAAAAAGGAGATTAAAAAACTACAGGTTTGATGACAATTAGATTACCACTCGATTTATAATTTAATTGCAACTTTAATTCAATGTCAAACAGAGGCTTAGGGATCAAATCAAAACATGGGTGGCTTCGAGTGAAATTAAAGATAAACGATTACTCTTAGAAAATAGAAAATTAATAGAGACTCAAATGGAAAGGTTTAAAATTGTCGAAAGAGAGACCAAAACGAAAGCCTATTCTAAGGAAGGTTTAGGCGCCGCACAGAAGTTAGATCCGGCACAGAGAGAAAAGGATGAAATCACCAATTGGTTGTCTGCATCTATCGATTCACTTAACATACAATTAGATCAATTTGAAAGTGAATCGGAAGCCTTACAATTGGCACAGAAAAAGAGCAAAAAAGATCGCGAAAAGCAGGACCGCATCGATGAACTTAAAGGTTGGGTAGAAAAGCACAGGTATCACATAAAACAATTGGAAACACTGATGCGAATGTTAGATAATGAAACCGTCGAAGTCGACCAAATAAAGAAAATCAAAGATGATGTCGAGTACTACATTGAATCCTCTCAAGATCCTGATTTTGAGGACAACGAATTTGTTTACGAAGACTTGGAATTAGAAGATATCAATCAGTTCTTAATCGCGGAACAGACGAGAGCCAATCATACGGCATCCTTTGATAGCGGAACAACAAAGAACTCGAACGCAACGGGCGATGATGACGGAAGCGTTTCGATTCAATCGAATAGTCCGTCGTCGACACCGAGCTCTCCGGCTCCGAGTCCAGGGCTCACAAATCATTCCAAGTCTGGACTGACTGAAAACAACGCGTTGAGCACCTCTTCTAGTTTGAGTACAACTGTTAATAGTAATACCAATACTTGTAATAACTCAGTTGTAAATAATATGTCATTGTTGTCATCATCACTGTCCGGCCAGTCATCGGCACCACAAACACAGACTTCTATTGTAAAGCCATTGGCCGTGTGGTCTCAAAACACATCAATTAGTAGCTCAACAAGTTCAACATCATCGACGACATCATCAATCAGTAAAGCACCGGTACCTCAGACAACAACAGCTACTACAGTGACAACTACCAGTGCAAACAGTAGCAATGCTTCAAGCAGTAGTAGCAGTCCATCGGTCAACTCATTGCCCAACCATAATGTGACGAATCAAACATCAGCCTATGCTCTAGCAGTTGGTGTCAACTCATTAAATAATGTGAACAATAATTCAAACACCAATTTATTGAATCGTATCAATCAAATGCAACACTTGGATAACAGTTTAGGGATGAATCAAATGAAGACAAACGAAGTGAATGCTGAGACACAGTTAATCAATAGATATTTGAATAGTTCTCCCAATTCATTACAACAAAGAACAACAACTCCACCGAATATGGGTCTGACTATGACTCCCGACTCAGTGCCTGTTAACTCGATTCTCTATAGTGTTACCGCTGCCACGTCCACCACTTCCCTATCATCGGCAGTATCTGCCGGTCCTTGGAATACGCCTGTTGTCACGTCACGACAACAACAGTTTCCTCAATCGACATCCATTATGATGAACGGTCCAGTGATAGGTCACAAAAATGTGAACCAAATGTCGGTACTTGAGTCAGATCAGCAACAATTATCATCGCTGAAAACGATAGCACAACAGGCAGTGGCCAACGCGGGTCTTGAAGATCACATCACTATTAACAGTCATAGTCATAGCCATAGCGAACAGTCCTCTCAGTCTCTCTATGAGCCATCAGTTAACTCTTCAATGAATTTACTGACCAATAATATGGTGAATATCTCATCGTCGACAAACTCAATGCTACACAGCAGTGCCTCTATTAAGGCTTTATCACAACAGACACAACAACTTCAGTCTGTTTCCGCACCTGTTTTGCCTATGCCTTCAACAGGACAGCCACGATCATCAACTCCTGCCACCGGTAATCAAACAAATGAGGCTCATGTACCTCCTTTATTAGGCGTTGCGCCCCTCGGACCAGTGAGTCTCTCCAAACAGTGCTACTATCAACTTCATATGCTTGAGGCCGCATCAAGACATCCAATACATCCCATGGATTCACAAAGACTTAGGTTTGTTACTATTTAAATGATAAATTTGTGCATTAGTTAATAATTGGTATTATCGACAGACCTTATTTGCCACCGAACCCATGTCCAGTTCCGAGTTATTATCCACAACAATGTCTGCCTCACAGTGATTCCATCGAATTCTTCCACCGGTTGTCAACTGAGTCGTTATTTTTTATTTTCTATTTTATGGAGGTATGTATTAAATTGGAAAATAGTTTTGTCATTTATTGTAAAATTAAAATTAATTATATTTTGTTATCGTTTAAAAAATAGGGGACAAAAGCACAATACTTGGCAGCTAAGGCTCTCAAGAAGCAGTCGTGGCGTTTTCACACCAAATATATGATGTGGTTTCAGAGGCACGAAGAGCCCAAAACCATTACCGATGAATATGAACAGGTATTGACTGACTGACTGACAATATAATAGCTAATTATTATATTGAATGGTATTTAAAATTGTTTTTTTATTTCAGGGAACATACATTTATTTTGATTATGAAAAGTGGGGCCAAAGGAAGAAAGAGGGCTTTACATTTGAGTACCGATACTTAGAGGACCGTGAGTTGAACTGACAACTGATCCAATAAACTCATCAATTATAGCTACCAATAAAGTTTGAAATACGATTGAAATAGCATTGTATTTGTTATGACACTACCGATCACTAATTTTTTTAAAAAATATGTTGACAAACAAAAACAAAATATATAAACCCAACTATAGATATTAAACAACAATTAAAACCAAACACATTTGATAAATAACTGTAGGTCTCCAATGAAAATCACTGTAGACATCAAATTAAAACTGCTATCCAGGAAGTGATGAAAGTGTGCTGTCTTTCATTAAAATAGCACTTAAAACTGTTTTTCTGTTTCAGATATTGTTTTTTTTATACTAGCGTTCATTTAGCTAACATTTGTATTAAAAATTATATATAATTTAAAATTATTTTCTATATTGTATTTGCTTTTGTTTGATTAGATGAGAAATACTTTATATTTAAAAAATCTCTAAACAGTTGATTCATTTGCAATTACTGCCATTATTTTATTTTGTACTTATTTAGTACTAAATTACATTAAAAATTATATAATTTTAAAAATAATATGTTTTTAACACAAACATTTACACAGAATTATTTTTTAAAAAAATAAATACATTAAAAATGCAGAAACACACACACATTGTTTTCACTTCCAACATATAAAACTGTTATATATGAAAATCTGTAAATTTTAAATTATTATATAAATTAAATTTTTGTGTTATTTTATAAGATTATAAAAAGATCTAAAGATTTACATAAAATATTAATATTAAGTATTGTATATTTAATATCTAAAGAGTGATAATAAGTTACAAAAACATTGAAATAACATTTTTTGCTTATTTTTTGACTAATTATGATTGAATGAGTGAAGCAAACAAAACTGTCTGTAGTTTTTATCTTTTCGTTGATTTATTTTGTAAAAATTGTATAATTTTAATAATAATGATTTTTCTTAAAATTTAATTTTTTTTTTGTATTTTCTATTTGCTAATTATAATTATTATTTTTTTTAACAAATTATTTATTTGCGTAATGTTTGAGTTTATAATATGAATTACAGCACACTTTCTGTTTAATAATTTTTACTACAATATGTTTAAAATATAATTAATTTTACGTATGATTTGTCAAATGAATGCTAAATTATGAGAGAAATGATGTGAAACGGCGAACACACAATTTATATATAATTATTAATTTTGTTGTTTTACTTATATAAATATATATTTAACATATATATTGTGTAATAAATAATATTACAATTAGATAAGATTTATTTAATATAGTTTATACATTTTATTCATTTGAATTTATGACAAAAATTTGTTATATTTAATATATTAAGAGATCATTTGAGTCATCGTTAATAATGACAATCAAAATATCTGTCAAACAAGCGGTTCCGCTATTTATGTACTAATTGTATATATGATTAAAACACAAAAATCTCATTTAAAATTTATAATTGGCTTTGTATCGCAATTTAGATGAAATTGAATGAAATTGCTATTGATTTGAATGTTTTGCATATATTTTATTGTTTAGACTCTTATAGTCTACTAAATTGGAAAAGTAATAAATACTTTATCAATTAATGTTATTTATTCATTAATAATGGTTAAAATATTTTTGACTAAATAATCAAATGGATTAACCCATAATTCAGTAACTTTTTATTAACAATCAAAATATATTATAATAAAAACATTATCTTATTTTTGATGGTTATATATGGTTGTTATTTAAAGGTTTGTATATTAATCAAATACTGTATTATATATACTGTATATATGTTTATATTTTATGTTTTCAAAAAAAAAATTATTGTATATTTAATTTTAAATTAATATACTATATATTTATAAAACAATTGGCACTGCATTTATATCTCCGAGTATTCCGAGTAAATAGTAAAGTAGTATTAGTAGTGATGTACCCATAAAGTCGGTAATCGCTGTAAGGATTGGTATGACATATAAGTTTGGATTAAATTTGAGTTTCCAAACCAAATGAGTGAAAATATATGCAAAATACAGCATAATTATGAGCTACAATATTTTTGAAAGCAAACAATTTAGTTAAATATAATAAATAATACAAATGTTGTTTAGTTTTACCTCAAATAACAAGACTGTAATAAATAAAATTGCAAACAAATAAGTTAATTGAAATTTTTCCAATTCTTGTGTTAAACTTATTAATAATATGAATAGTATTTTGCAGGGAATGGCACTCACTATTAGTACACATGTTGTCCTCGAGTTTACATTTTCTAAATATAATTTAAATATATTAATAGAAATTAAAATAAAATAAATAAAAATGTATTACTTTTAGAACAGAAGACATAATATGGAGAAACACAGACATCGAAGTCGTGAGAAACGGTTCCGATGTCTCCCATTCTATGCAATGATGTGGCAATTCTGGACGCTTGTATAGCCACACAATTACCTATAAATCCATTAAATAATGGCTGAAATAAAATAAATGATTTATATTTATGACTGGCTTTCTCAAGAAGTAAACCACTTGTTTCTGATATAATCATTGACACTATTATTGGAGTCCATCCGTATAGCAATATATGACGAGTTGTGCTATTCTTGAACGACAAATATAACAAAATCGGTTCCAGAATTAAGAAGAAGAATACAGCAGTTATGGCTTCAATTGGCAATTCGTCGACTTTATGGGTGATTTTGAGCAAAAATGCAAAACATATTATTACTAAAACAGTTACCAAATCTCCCATTGAAGAGGCAACGGGTCCACTGAAATCATCCGGATCGTGACCTGGAGTATAATTAATTAATTAATTAATTAATTAATATTTCTATTATTTTACCAAAGTTTTTTGTAGCTATAATTATCAATGAGATAAGTAAACCTAAAAATTAAAATTTATATTAATTTTTTGAAGAATGTTTTTTTATATAAATACAAACCCAATCCAAGACATGTTGAATTAGATGTCAATATACTTAGCGTACAAATAGTTATAATTTTGTTTGTATGCCATAAACCTTTAGTGACTATTATATAAATTGCTGCTATTATTGACACAACAGTTGCTTGACTTTGAACCAAAACCATATCATTGACGATCTCAATGGTGACCTCTTTCCACGAAACCGAGTCATATCTAATGTTGAATAATGTGGACATTCTTGAAGCCATTGTAATCTCAAGATTACCTTTCAAACCCATAAGTGCCGGAATCAAAGCTACTAATCCTTCAATTGATTTGAACGACTGGTTAGTTATAGCCAAATCCAATATAAATCCGGTCACAACACTGAATAATCCCGAAACTAATAATATGAGGAACTGTAGCACATCTGTCTTCATTCGTGTCTTATACGAGTATATGATTACAATAGTTATTAAACAAATTGAATATATAATCAAAATTATTGTTTCAATCATTGCCTTTGCATTCAATGTATGGCTTGTATTATCATTACTACTATTAGAATAATTCATTTATGTATTTCTCTATATTATATATCAATTAAAAACTTTATATAATTAATGACAAATAAAATAAAACAAAATAAAATTACATTTAATTTAATGACAGTATTAACCAATTGAGACCAAATTAAGACAAATTCAAATACTGTTTTAAACATTGTATCGGTTTGTAGACAAAACAATAGTTTTAATTGTGTGTCAAATAATTGTTTCCATGAGATATCATAAAATTGAAAATTGATTTTAGAATTCAATATTTAATTTATTTAAGTTATGATAAATGAAAAATGTATTATTGTTTAATAATTAATTTAAATTTAAATTTTCTAAACAATTTGTCAGTTAAATTGAATTCTCAGAAAAGGACAGTTAATATCACTTAATATCAGAAACAAAATCAAATCAAAGACGATAACTATGGGATAGAAGGACAAGAATAAGGCTAATGAAGACAAGTCTAAAGCAATGCATTGGACAACACTAGAGGGACACTGTTCTCACAGTTAAGACATAAAGACAACAAAAATGGATTAAATGATCCGAAAAAGACTTTGACCGACAGCAAGAAAGGGTCGACAGAAGTCAAGAAGTCGTCGAGCGATCTGAAGAAAGCATCAGTTGATGTTAAAAAGTCGTCATCGGACCCAAAGAAGTCGTCATCGGATCCAAAGAAGTCGTCATCGGATCCAAAAAAGACATCATTAGACCCAAAGAAGACATCACCGGTTCCTCATAAGACATCATTGGATCCAAAGAAAAAAGAGGGAAGTAGTAGTTCGTCCGGAGCTCAAAAGTCATCGAGCGATAAGAAAAAAAGCGTTTCAGAACCAAAGTTGCCAACAAAAAAGCCGTCCGAACCAAAAGCTGTCACTGTTTCGACCGATAATTCCAGTACTAGTGTCGGCGCATCTGATTGGACGTCCGGATCTACTTCGACCAGCAATAGACTGCACCATCGGTTAGTAGTACTGCCAGTACTGGGGACAACACTTGGCAATCGTCAGATTCTAACCAAACGTTAGAACAGTTTCCACCGCCACCTGAGTCCTATGCTTCCACTTTTGACGAACAACAACAACTGCAACAACCGTTTGAACAATACCACGAAGTAATTGAAAATATTCCACCAGTTGTTGTTTATCGTAGACGACGACGAAAGAGAAGGCATAGCTCGGACTTTGACTCAAAAGGAAGAAGGGTAGGGAAAAAAAGCAGAAGATCAAGAGGAAGAAGAGGTGGCAAACTTTGCAGTTGCGGTCGACATACAGTGAAAGGCCGACGAAGAAGAAAGAGTGGCCACAAGTGTTCACGTCGTAAGCGGCGTTCGGGACAAAGGAAACGACAAACTTCAAGAAGAAGAAGCAGAAGATCGCCAACCAATCGAAGGCAACGCAACAATGACTGAATGATCTGATGTAAGACAACAACACTGACCAGTCTATCACCAAAAGTACTGTATATACATATTGGTGTCAAAAAACAAAACAAAAAAATATTGCATTTATATATCATTTGTAGGATTTGTTTGATTTAAAGTAAAATAAACACTTTTTTGTCCAACAATTTCATTGATTTATTTTTTCTCTTTTCTTAATCATTCGATTTTATCTGTCAAATCAATTATTTATAAAAAGTCAAATAAATAATTAACTAATAATTTAAACAAATTTCAAATCGATTAAAATTTTTTATTTTACCATTTGTTTGACAAATTAAACTATTTATATGTATATACAGTATTATTATCTGACTTTCCAAACGATATAACATTCATGACATCACTTACATCGTTGGGATTAATCGTTGAGAATTTTGCTTCAATTATTTCCATTAAATTAATATAATTAAAATTATTAATAATTAATTAACAATTGATAAAATAATTAATTATCAAATAAAACATATGCAAAATTTATTATCTATCAAAAGCTAATTAAAATCTGAATATTCATATACAGTACTTATTTGTTATTTAGCTGTATATCAATTATTGATTTAATAATGTGACTATAATTTTGAATCATCAAATTATACTGTATATAATAATGAATTTTAATATTAAAAGCTAATTATTTATATATATTTTCTATATTTTATAAAACTTTATATAATGAAAATTGCTTAAAAATTATAAATATGGTATAAAAGATTAAATGTACTAATAATTTGTATAATAGAAAAGTTTTTCTAATTATTTGCGTAAATATGCATTCAAATTATCATTTGTATCGTTATTTTCGTCCAATTCATGTCTTAAATCTGATGTAATGACTTGCAATTCGTGCCATAAAATCCAAAGCGATGTAAACATCGAACAACAGAAGAATGTTTTGCTAAACCAATAAAATGTTTCAAAAATATCATAATTTATATCTCTGTCTACAATGGCTTTGCTTAACATTAATGATATAAAAACCATTATTATATTTATAAGATATCGCAGACACCAATAAATAAGCTTATTTTGCATCAAAATTTGTTGTTTGACTTGTTTTTTATAGATAAAGTTGATGACCATTAAAAGGAAAAAACCGATAGTTTCACCGACGGCCAGACACACAATCAATGAGACCATAAAATTGACAAAAACGTTATCAAACTTATCGGTGAATATTTTAAAACACAGAAAAGCAAACACTGAATATATTGTCACTAAAAACCAGATAATTTGATAGAAATTTATTTGACATCTGGTCAGCAAATTTTCGGACATTTGATTAGAAAATTTTATCAATTGTTCACTATTTTCATACGTGTTTTCCACTAAATTGAGGGATTGTTTGGAATTTGTAATAAACTTTTGGACCAAAAACTCTTTTTCATAAGTCTCGGAGTTTTTGGTTTTTTTGGTGGTCCGTACAGTGATTCCGCATAAATAGATTACCAGCGGTTCCGCTGCTGAATGACTACAACATATTCTGTCGATTTCCGACAAGTTTTTCATACAAAACAAATTAATTTTTATATTTTGTATATTATTATTATTAATTAGTTCCACTTTGAACTTCAATTCACGACCTGAATTAAAATAAAATTTTTATGAAAAATCATATAATAATAATAAGTTTGAAAATTTGCAAAAAAATACCTAAACTTTCTTTGTCTGAATTGAAAAACATTACTGAAATGGTCTCTGAATTCAACCGTTTATTCTGTGAAATACTGCAAAAACGTAAACTTATTTCATAACAAAACTTGGCGTCATTTGAAGTACAAGAAGAATATATGCTTAAGGACTCAATCATTCGGGTTTTGACGGCTCTGGATATCTGAGGAATGACTACTATGATCACTACAACCAACCAAAACAATATAATTATTATTAATATATAATTTTGATGATCATTGCAATTACAAGACAACTGTTCATTTATATATTTTGGTCGACAGTTGTCTAACGAGTAATCAAATTGTTTTGACGACTGTTTTTGTTGAGCACAGAATATTATATAAGAATCGCTTAATGAAACAGAAATGTCATGAAATCCGAAATTATGTGTTTCATTGTCGGCCGCTATTGTAATATCAATGGTTGAGTTTGTATGAAACCAATGATTCATAACAAGTATTTCTCTGGATTGYGGATTTGGTTTGTCTTCAATTTCAACTCTTTCCAGTAATTCAATGTCGTCGTCATCTTTATCCTCATCTGTTTGGATAGAGATCTGGTATTCATAGTCTTCCGAGTGTACGGTTGACGTCTCCTTTAACCAAATAACTAATGAAAACTTTGCGTTCATGTCTTCAAAGTTAGTGTTTTCAAAATTAAAACTATATTTGCTATACTGTTGTGTCATTTGTTTGGTAAGTGTTATAAAAATAAACAAAAATTGATTGTTTTCTGTCATAAAAGTGGATAAACTTTGTGGGAACAGTCTGTCTGTCATATCATACTTGAAATGACAATAACTTGACTTTAAATGAAATCTTCTTTTCCAATGTCTTGACGTAAGAATTGCTAGATTTGTAAAGTTGTGTTCAGGAGTCCAATAGCCATAACAAATGCTTTCAATTAAATTATAATATATAAGACTTTCATTTAGACACAAAACACTGGTTACAAACAAAAGATATTTAGTATATATTACTCTTGAGATAAACATTATTAACGACTTAAAGAGAGAACTAAATTTTTAGATAACATTTTGTTTCAAAAATTTCATTCATAATTTAACAAATCATTTATTTAAAAATGTCATAAATAATAGTCATTACACGTGATTTAAATTAAATTAACTATTGTTACATTAAAAGAAAATTTACATTATTTAATTGAGCAATTTTTTATTGGTTATTAAAAATACGTTTACTTTAAAATACAACACTTAAAAACACTTAAGTTATAAATGGCAATAAATTCGTCGGCAGTTAGGACTTAAAATTTAGATTAAAGTTAGATATCCACGTAATGTGTATCAATAGTTAGCTCAAAACACGTGCAACAATACTTACGCGCTTACAGTTTATTATAAACAGTATATATTTTATTCATTAATTTTTTATTTAATAAATTAAGGTATAAATGCAGATTATAAGGACTGACTAATTTTGCATTAAATACGTTGTATTAATATCATTGAATATTAGGTTAGGTTGCGATGCGAACTCCAGGTTAGGTAACGCGACAAACAATGATTTAGTTATTTTCAACAATACGCACGTGTAATATATATTTAATTTAATTAATTAATACAACGTATTTAATGCAAAATTAGTGAGTCCTTATAAAATGCATTTAATCCTAAATTAAAATTATTAATAATCGCGCGACACATTAAAAGTAATTGTTTGCGTGACATAAATATGACACAAACATACAAACATTTCTAAATTATATAGTATTAATAGTATAGATATAGATATAGATATAACGAGACAATAGATTTGGTATATTCTATACAACAGTCTATAATAGATATATTCAACAAAATGATGTCAAATATGAAGAAAAGTTTGCTTTTATTAGTTTTGCTAATTATCATCACATATGATGTCTCTGTTGTTGTTGTTGTTGTTGCGGATGAAGAGACAACTGTAAAGGAAAACATTAATAATACGATAGAAAGTGTGGACATTTGCCAACAGAAGAATATTGAGATCAATGAAGCCTTTTATTTGATTTCAAATAAACAGTTGAATATCTATCCAAAAGGCGGTCAATATTACTATAGAGTTCATGGATTTGAATACAATAGAGAAAACTTGTCGTTTAAATTCAAATCAATAGATAAAGTGATCGACAATAAGAAGGATTGGGAACTTCAGGAGATGCGACTCATCTTTAAAATAGACTATCCGTTGAATGATAAACACCAGTTACGAATACTATGGATGGGTATGTCATTGGTTTGTATTGATTTTGTTTGTTTGCTAAACAGTCAAAGATTTTTGCATAAAAATTGAATATATCTTATTTGACAGAGAGATGAGATCCCAAATGAACAGATGGTCGCCTACCTGTATGACTACAACGGCGATACCATTGCATCGAAATCCCCAATTAATATCAATTATTACAAATACAAACCCAATGATGAGCCGTTAAACATACAGACAATGTTGGCAAAGTTTCCGGGAATCAATCTTTTCGACCACTTGTTATCGGTCACGAGTTTTCCGTACTCACCCGATCTGCCCAATCGATTAATTGTTTACTACAAGGGTTTGTCATTTAAATGAAATATCATTTTTTCATAAAAATATTGTTTTATTCACAGAAACGCCGCCAAAGAGCAAACAAGACAAATGTGTTGACTGTTATCGATCCAAGAGGTTTGTCTTCATAGAGCGTATCATTGATTACAATGATTCTAAAGAATTTGATTGGAATCACGACAACACCGGCGACGAGTCGTGCACTGACCTCACCGGTCGTATTGTCAACGCATCGGTGGCACTGACAGACTATTTGATTAATGAAAACAGCTATCAATTTGATTGGATTGAGTTCTTTGGCAACAAATTCCATGTCAACAGAATGCTTGTCACTAAAGACAATGGATTTAAAATAGTTAACAAACGGAGTGACGAATATATTATTCATGATATATTTGGTTGTGAGGGCAGACCACCCACTGAACTAACCACCAAACCCACCACAACTAAGCTCACGACTAATGATAATAATGGTGTTAACAGTCATACAAGTTCTGGCAATAATTCTAGCGCTGGTCCTGATTCTGGTTCTGCCATTAGTCCTAACAATGCTGTTACTGTAGCTGCTTCTGGAGATGAACCTCATCGTAGTGGTAGTCAAAGTAAAAAAGGAGATAATAGCAGCAAATGGCGTACTATTGTTTTGATATGTGCTTTAATTTATAGTTTTTTTTAATTTAAAGTAAAGTTACCTCAAAAACAACTCAAAAAAGTAAATGAAATTTCAAAACATGTTTATAACATTAAATTCATTGCATTTTTAAAAAATATTTATTATTTATATAATTATAAATTTTAATAATTTTTAATTAACATACATTTAATCTACAAAATAATACATCAAAATTACTTTTGGTATTTTGTACTTTTTATGCATAAAATCTTTGTATTAATTTATAATAAATACTACAAATAAACTATTAATTCAACAGTTTTTAAACTACATTAATTATAATTACTATTTAAATGTTATTTGTAATTAATTTATTAAGTTTGATAACGTTTTTCTAAATTTATAGTCTCTTTGAGTGTGTGTCTGGCCGTCGGTGAAATTATCGGTTTTTCCTCTTAATGGTCATCAACTTTATCTATAAAAAACAAGTCAAACAACAAATTTTGATGCAAAATAAGCTTATTTATTGGTGTCTGCAATATCTTATAAATATAATAATGGTTTTTATATTATTAATGTTAAGCAAAGCCATTGTAGACAGAGATATAAATTATGATATTTTTGAAACATTTTATTGGTTTAGCAAAACATTGAAAACAAATTCAAACAAAAAATTTTTAGATTATGTTTGAGGAGCAGATCCACACTTTACCAAAAACATATATTGATAATTATAATGTCACCAAAAAAATTTGATTAAAATTGATCCCAGGGACGGGTGTTTTTTGAGGGGTTAAAGTTTAATTTTTTTGTATACCTCCCATTATAATCAAAATTTATTTTATTTAATAACTTTAAAATTATTGGTCCGATTAATCTAATATTTAATATATTTATGTAAAATTATAATATATGTTAAAATATATCAATTAAAATATCAATTTCCAAAATTTGCTTAACCGCTACTTTAATCCAAACTTATATGTCATACCAATCCTTACAGCAATTACCGACTTTATGGGTACATCACTACTAATACTACTTTACTATTTACTCGGAATACTCGGAGATATAAATGCAGTGCCAATTGTTTTATAAATATATAGTATATTAATTTAAAATTAAATATACAATAATTTTTTTTTTGAAAACATAAAATATAAACATATATACAGTATATACTGTATAATACAGTATTTGATTAATATACAAACCTTTAAATAACAACCATATATAACCATCAAAAATAAGATAATGTTTTTATTATAATATATTTTGATTGTTAATAAAAAGTTACTGAATTATGGGTTAATCCATTTGATTATTTAGTTAAAAATATTTTAACCATTATTAATGAATAAATAACATTAATTGATAAAGTATTTATTAGTATTTCCAATTTAGTAGGAAGAGTCTAAACAATAAATATATGTAAAACATTCAAATCATTGAAAAATTTTATTTTACTAAAATTTATTAAAAATATTAAATATATATAATTTATATTGTACATTATAACAAACATGTTTAACTAAATTTTGAATATTATATATTATGACTTGTTTAAGATATCTGTAAAATGCATAAACCATTGGTTTTTAGGTATTTCATATCTATAAAACAAAAATTAATATTTAATTTTTGAAATAATCAAAATTGCAATTAAAATCTGTACTCGAAATCTGTTTGTTGTATTAATTCCGATATATCAGTGAATAAATATTTGGTTTTAACAATTCCGATGACAACCGATTTGTCTGACTCGACATTATTGGACAACCATTCGGCACATTTATAACCGAGTTTTATACCAAATATACGATCAAATGGTGAAGGAGTCAGACTTTGCTGCAAATGATTCAAATCAATACAATGTGTGGTAAAGATATCATTTCCAACTTCTGTATAAATGTCTTCAATTGTTTGATTGTCGAGCTTTGTATTGGCTCTACTGTTGCTATAATAAATTATTAATAATTTAAACATTTAGACATTCAAAATACAATATTATTATTATTATTTAACTAAAACTTACACAATGATTAGTCTATTTTTGTGATTTTTTTTCATTTTATCGGTCATAATATTGGCATCATTTTTGACAGATTCAGTACTGAAATTGCTTTCATATGGATAACAAAAGTCTGCTCCCGAAGCCATGGCTGACATAACAGTTAAATATCCACAAAAGCCGGACTCTATTTTTACAATATATAGTCTCCTTTTTGTTCCTTTAATTTTTATAAAATATTTAATTAAGTTATTGTTTTAAACAAAAATTATCGTAAATACCTTTGAGTGAAATCATAATCTTAGTGCAGATATGAGTTATTTCATTGAGAGATGAATCGGTTCCCAATGAAAAGGCAGTTCCCGGAATATTATTATCAATAGTGGCCGGAATGATACAAATGGGAATTTTTAAATTATTGCCATTTTTACTAATTTCTCCTAAATTAATGGCTAATTGAAAAGCTCTGAAACCACCAATAATTAGAAGACCTTTAATTTGAAATTGATTGAAATAATTTGCCACAAAATTCAATTGTTCGCCTGTCATTCTTGGAGGAACTTTACTCGTGCCTAACAGTGCTCCGCTTAGTGATGTCCAACCATTTACATCCGACCAATTGAGTTGTCGATAATCACCTGCAATCAGACCATCAAAACCATCTTTGATTCCGAAGACAATATTTTTATCATTGATAATATGTCTGACAAATGAAAGGACGGCCGCATTCATTCCGGGAGACGGTTCTCCCACTTGAATCACTGCAAAACATTTGGTTCCCAATTGTGTGACATTTTTTTCTTTGTTTATTCCGTAAAGGCTTAGAAAAGTTTCAATATTTATTTGAAAACTTCTTCCCCTCAACTCAAGACATTTGGGCCAATCTTTGTTTTTCATAGCTGTTCCCACTTCACGCGTCTATTTTTAGCATAATTTTAATTTAATTTTAAAAATGTTAAATGAAAATATAAGATACAACAAGTAATTTATTAATTAATGTAAGACCTGTTCAACTGCTTTAATGAGTGATGTCTTCTGTATTTGATTGCCACGAATTGTTAAAACATAAGACTCTAAATTAGGTTTTGCATCTTTAAGAGCCTAAAAACAATTAAACTATTTATATGAATATATTTTAAAATTAGTTGACATTCATTTAGATGGACCTCAATGGCTGCATAACCCATACGAGTGCCCAAAATGCGGTCATAGGCTGAAGTTTCACCGCCACGTTGTGTGTGACCTAAAATAGTTATTCTAACGTCTCGTTTGGCTTTTTCAGAGATGACTTTCTTGACCTGTTCTGCAGTAATAGGATTTCCATTGACATCAAGTGCTCCCTCCGATACTATTATCAGATTGAGTCTTCGTCCTGTTTTTCTCTCCTTTTAAAATAGTTGTTTAATTTCAAATATCTATTTAAATAGATTTTTAAAATAATAATAATAATAATTTACAAAATCAATCTTTTTAGTCAAATATTCGGGCCATTCTATGTTTGGAGGTTTTTCGGGAAAGAAAGTAAATGTAGCCTCAAGTGCCAGAGCAGACACAAGTGCTAAATATCCACAGTTTCTGCCCATAACTTCAATTATCATAACTCTCTTATGACTAAAAAATACATACAATAATTTAACAAATAATAATTAATTAAGAAATTTAAATTGTCATCAATGGACACCTGGTCGCAGTGGTGGCAATGGCATCGACTGCTTCAACGATACGATAAAGTGCAGTATCGGCTCCCGTTGTTATATCAGTCATACAAAAATCATTATCAATTGAACCAACGATACCAATAATATTCAAATCACTATTATTTTCTTTCATCTCTTGTGTTATCTTATCTTAAAATTTAAAATAGATTTAAAATAAAGTTTTCTATATTATAAAGATTAATACTATTCTGTAGTAAATGCTTCAAAATTTTAGGCCATTCCTCTCTCAGAATATTAGCTCCAGTAAGACTTCCATCACCACCGATGACAATCAAATTCATAATACTTTTCTCAATAAGAGTGAGGGCCGCCATAACTCTGCCCTCATAAGTCCTGAATTCTTTACAACGGGAACTACCAATAATAGTGCCGCCCTTTTCAGTAAATAGACGACAAATTTTATAAAACAATAAAAATAAGTTTTAATTAATTAATTTTTAAAACATTACAAATCGATACCTTATTTATGATGTGATCTACTGATGATGTCTCAGCTTCTATGATAAGACTGCTGTCAATAAGTCCATTATATCCTTCATAAATAAAGTACACTTTGAAGCCATTCAAGTGTCCCATCTTTACAACTGCTCTGATAATAGCATTCATACCTTAAAATAAAATAAAAACAAATGTTAATTAATAAAACCTAATATAAATAAATTTGATGTCAACCCTGGGAATCGCCTCCACTGGAGAGGATCCCAACAACTTTGCACTGATTTTGTGTTTGTATTGCCATTGACTGCAAATTATCACAAATTCAATTCAAATTTAATTCAATTTAATAATAGTGTGAAAGCACTTAATAATCACGGAATCGATTTATTTGTTGAAAATTAACAACCATTACATACAAAAACAATGTCAAACATTAATTAAATTTATCTTAGATTATAACTTGAATATAATAAATTGTCAAATATTTATAGATAAAGTGCTTTTCAAATATAGCTTTTGTTAATAAGTGTAATATTTATTTGTATTGTAGTTTATAATTAGCCAATTGATTATAATACACAATAATCTCATATAAACTCAGTAATAAAAAATGAATTTTGTTTATTAATTTTGTTTCCAATTTTATCAGTTGTTGTAAATTTATTTTTAGTTTATTGACAAATAAGTTCTCAATAAATATTAAATTTATGATTATATAATTATGAATATACTGTATAATTAATTTAGTATTATAAATTTATCAAAGTTTATTTAAGATTTAATATACAATGATTAAATCATCTTAGTTAAAAAAATATTATCAACTAATATTATATAATTGTATTAATAATTGTGTACAAAAATTTATATTTAATATAAATAAAATATTATCTATAGATATTCAAGGTAATTGATTATACAGTATTACCGGTATATCAATATTTATATTATTATAAGTGTTTAAAGTTGTTTATATGATTTTATCAAATAAGCGATTTTGTGATAAAATACAAATTAATTTTCTAAATTAAAGTTTAATTATTAAACTCTAATAAATATTATTATTATTTTTAAATACTTGAGTATTCAATTAAAATGTTATGTCTTATGAATATAGAGTTAACGCTAAATGCATTCAAAAGTTAGAGTAGAAATGTCTAGAAATGTTTGGACTATTCGTGAATACATTGAAAACATATAATACAGTAATACTGTACTAATAATGTGTTTAATAATAACTTGTGTTTAGTTCGCAAACTCAACACAAACACAAACATTTGGTTTTGATGTTTGCATTGATTGTAAACAATAACTGAAAACCTGTCGACAATTATTGTCACACTTTTCAATTGATCCTATCATTTGTGTCCACAGTTTTTGTTTTGTTTTTGTCCATCAAATTACTACTCAAATGATTTTAAAACTAATATCTGTGACCAGTTTTATATGAAGAAGACATCAGTGATCGATAACAAAATGTTTTATCAAAACCAAAGGTATGAATCAAATGGTTTTCTCAAACACTTAGACTTCAGTGACAACACTCTGAAGAGTAAACAAACCTTTTTAATTGATTGACTAATTTATTTAGTAATGGTTTAAACAGTTGGTCTCAAGTAGTTCCCTCACCTATGCCTTGGGCTCACAGTCAGACCAACACTACTACCACCAACACCACACCCGTCGGCACTGTTTGGCCAGTGAATAGCACGGCGACTTTTGATCCACATATCATGCAATTTACGGCAAACACGACGACACCATTGAATTCTGTCTCTTCATTAGATAATGAATATATTGGACCAAATCCATTGATAATTAACAATAGTTCAGTGCTGGATGTGTTGTGTCCGGATCCGTGTACTTCACAAACTGCCACTCGTTGGGAACTTTTGCATAATTTAACGACTGATAGTCAACGGCGTGCATCACATCAGCATTTGAAGCGACGAAGTGATAGTTCCGACGATGATATCGATGACGACGGTCTTCGAAGGCCAGCTAAGCAATACATTAGTGAAGACAAAGTGTCAGCAATTTTTAATAGACTTCACATCACTAACAGTGACTTTAATAAAAATGATGGCATAAATGCTGTCAACGAAAACATTGATTATGAAGACTTAGATGACGAGTCAAACAATGAAACAATTGATGCCAAGCATAACAATACATTAGTTTTTGCTAATGAATTGCAATCTGCATTCAAAAATAAAACAATAACCGATAAATTGGTCCAAAACGAGATCGACAAACACTCAAAAGCATTGATTTTATGGCAACCAAACACTTCAATATTGACCACAATATCACTGAACTCCAAATCTAGTATTGATAACGACAATGACGTGGAGGACAATGACAATAGTGAATCGTCTAAGACTAATGACAACATGAGTGATGCCATTGAGATAAGTCAAGAAGATTACGAAGATTTTTATGATGATAATGACATGATATTGGACTAACATTTTTAAACAATATATATGACATCATTTTATATTCTGTATATTAATGTGATTTTATGATATTTTTTAATTTACATAATGTTTCAAATCTAAAAAATATTTAACAATTTATTAACAATTGAAGCAATATATTGTAAATTGTTTTCTAACAAATTAACATATATATATATATATATATATATATATATATATATATATATACTGTATATATATAATGGTAATACAATTTAAATTGTAAATAATTTTGCTAATATGTCAATTTATTTTAATAACATATATAAATAAAAATAACATCTAATTTAAAAAAAACTTTTTAATTTAAAGTATTTTGAAATAATAAAATAATTGAGTTTAATAAAGTTATAAAATAAACTAAAGATGTTTTACAATAAAATTTTGCAAAATTAAAAATATTTTAAACAAAGTAATAACAATAATAATTTGAATATTGTTAATAAAATGAAATGAATTTTGATATTAATTTCATAAATGACTAGTTTTTGTGCTGAATTTATGCACAGAAGATATGTCGATGTATTGCATCAAAAGGATGAGCAATAGAGCCACTCCTAAGATAAGAGCCAACAATAAGAGTGTCACCAAAAGCTCTTCACACGAGTCAAACGTGTCCGTAGCGTTGGAGCAGATTTTGGTGACGAAGTCCATCCAATTTGATGACTGATTGTCAACAGAATAATCCGAATCGTAAATCATCGGACACTTCAAAAAGTCTTTCAATTTGATGGTAACCTTTGAAAGTCTTCCATAGAAGCGACCCGTCTTTTAAAGAGAAATAGTTTAAACTTTTAAAAAATATAACTATTATACTGACCTTTGGATCGATGTCCGAGACCCTGAAGACATGAATCAAATCAATTGAAACAAAGTATATTTTAGCTGAATCTGTGAAAGCCGTTGAAATTTTATGGTCATTGCTTAGACCAAAGTCACCAATACTTCGGGGATAATTATCACCCAACAGTTTACTGCCTTTTTTCCAGTTCTCAGTTAACTCATAGGCCCAATATTTGGAGCCTTTAGTTAAATAAAATTACAAATTAAATCATTAAATAAAATAATTCTTTGAAATACAAACCTTGAATGAAATAAGCAATCCTTTTATCGGTCCAAACAAATACCGCATCGATTGGTTTCTCCAAATCGGTGGTCAAGCCTTCAAACACATTGGAAGCAATAAAGTCTTGACTGGAATTTGTTCCGTTGGATGAGATCACCTGAACTAGTGTTCCGCTAGCCTTTAAAATATTACTTATTATAAAAACTTGAACAACAAATGCATTACATATACCGAACTTTTGCTAATGTTATTAAAAAGTCAATTAAAACTTACATAAATGCTAACCAACTCGATATCTAAATTGTTTGTGAGGACAAACATATCCTGAATGTCGGTGAAAGCCAATGAATGCTTAAAACCATTTTTTCTTTGATTTAGTTGTGGTTGAGTCGGATCAACAATATAAGCGCATTGACCGCTAATTACCAACATTTGTGGCGTTTTATCAATAGGTGATATAGCAGTGATTGGTTGGCTATCGGAGCAAAGGGAAGGACAGTCCACACTCTCTTCTAATGATTGAATCAATTGTTTGAATGAAATGCATTTCACTTCAAAACTAATGAATAAAGTAACGAATGCCAAGAATATGTAGTTTTTGGTAATCATTTTCCAAACTAACCAGACTTTAGGATCTAATAAATTACTTTTTTACGTTAAAAAAAGATTTAAATTGCAATTAAATCAAATCAAATCTAAAATTTATTAATTATTTATTCCATTCAAATATTTTTTTATAACGGTTTAACAAAAAATTTTAATAATAATTGTTGCGCGCATTGCAGCGTTTGTATCAATAATGTAGAGAATAATATAATTTAATAAAATAAATAAAAGTAAATTAATAATAATAATTTTTTACTATATGTAGAATTAATAATTATCCAATTTTTAATAATAATTTTATTACTACATTTTAAAAATTTTACTAATTTCCCATTAGTTATCAATATATTATTAGAATAATAAAATATTTTATAACAATTGTCAAAACATTTAATGTTAATAATCAAAACTCATTTATAAGTTTACTAACAAAACAAATAGATTTATTTGGCACTAATTGACAATTTAATTATTGTTAAAAAAATCAATTTTGACACATGTATTGATCTAAAAAAAAATACTTTTAATGTTTGTTCACAACTTGTACTGTATTTACAATGTTATTAAATAATAAATATTTGGCTAAATTTTATTTATTTAATGCAATGTACAGTAAAATAAATAATTTTAAATATTAACAATTATATAAACAAAACTATTTTTTTGTAAACTATTTTGTGTTTAATAATAATTACAATTTTATTAATTGTTATTTTTGTAAATTATGTCAATAATCATAATGGTAATTTTAAAAATTTATTTTATGATGCTTATAAAGTATTTTAATGTAAATGTATAACAGTATATCTGGTTAATACTAAGTTTAAAGTTTTAATAATAATAATAAAGTTTTTCATAACATATACAATATAATATGCTATTTAATGGTTTCTAATGAAACAAATGTTACAAATAATGATTGAATTATAAGTTATCCCTTAATTTAATCTTTTGCTTTCAATTTACTTATAGAGAGCACTGATAGATATGGAAAACACTTGCGCACAATAAATGCCAGAATCTGCAAAAAAATTAAGTTAGAGATCATTTTGGGAGGCATTCAATGGTATCGACTGTTGAGCGCAACTCAAATGAATACCCAAATATACTAACATTTGTAACACCAGTTTTAGCACTCAATTCACTGGTTGTTATGATATGATATAACAATGTAATACATTATATATAAAATTTGGTTTTATATTATGAATTTAGAAACCATCGTATTATTAACTGTTAGATCTTTGAAATAAAAAAAATGTAACGATATTTTCGTGACTTATGATCATATTTTACACTTATATAGACTGTATATACATATAGATACTATATATATATATATATATATAAATATCTAAAATTTATGAAATCATTGTTATATACTATTATGAGCTAAATTATCATTAAAATTGCTAAACACTTGCTGTGTTATTGAATTAACATTACTGTGTCAACAATGGGTGACAATTCTGGTAAGCCATTAATTTTAATTAGTTTTTAAAATTATATTTACTTAAATCAATAGATTTTAAATAATGTTAGAATTTATTAACTAATAATTGACTAATTGTTTGTCTAAATTGCAATATTTTAGAGAAGGAATACAAGGAAAAGTTGCTCCGTATGGTTAAGAGAGAGGTCAGTGCCCATACATTTGATTATAATATTATTAATAATAGTGCCATTATTTCTAACAAACAAACAGTTAAATCATGCAATGACTGTGACATATATAATAATATCATAGAGTATCACACAATATTATTTGACCACAACTTATATAATTAGATTAAATAATTTATTTGAGTCAATACAAAACATACATCAGTTGTTATTTTCAATTGTTTATTCTTGAATTGAATATATATATAGTAAGCCATTGAGTTGTATAGTATTTACTGTCGTTACTAATATTTAGTATAATAAATTAATATTCAAATATATAGTTTTAATGAATATTCTGTATATAATTTTTCTATGAAAAGATTAAATGACAAAATGATTGAATGCAATAATCAAATAGATATATTGATTTAAATAGTTTTATTTAACGATTGTATTGACTGTATATTCAGGTCAAACAGATAATGGAAGAGGCGGTCACTCGAAAGTTTGTTCACGAAGAAAGCAGTTCCATAACATCCCTCTGCGGTAAGTCATTTGATTTATAAATTTCCAGTATTTTGTATGACATTTATTGTATAAGTTTTTAAAAAACATTTGGAAATTGCGATTATAATGGAAATAAAATTTCAATTTATTTATTTTAATAAATACATATTTGATTTATAGAGCTAACTAAGCAAATAAGTGAAAATAACTTAAGATTTTAAAGTGATATTTTGTAATTTAATATTTTTATTTATTTTTTCACTAACTCTTACTTATAATTTTGAAACATTTAGTAATAATAAATAATTTAAGTCAAATATAATTTAAAATATTACTTTATTTTCATATAACATAGTTTCCGATAATAATTATAAAAATAAAATCTGTAAATATAATTATTGTAAAAGGAAATGCTATATATATAATACAGTAATTGTAATTATACATAAGGAAATAGCAATATTTTTATGTTTGTTGTATTGTATTTACTGTAATTACATTGCATCAAAATATTTGTTATATTGTGTTTAAATGGTTTTTAAATGATTTTTAAAATTTAATGTCAATGTAATACAATAGACTCTATTGTATTACATTGACATTAAATTGAATAGACTTTTAATAAATAATGCAAAAAATATATATAGCTATTAGTATATATATATATATTCTGTACAGTATATTACAGATAATGAAAATGACTAAAATATTTTTATTGTTTGCATTGCTGTCAAATATCTTTAACATAATGAAAACATATTAAAGAAAAATAATTTATTACTATAAAAGTTATTTAGTTTTAAAAATTGTTTATTATATAGAGAATAGATAATTTAATTAAATAAGATTTGATAGATAAATAAAAATTTTATTATTTATATTATACATATACTGTAGTAACTATTATATTTATATTATATTAATCTGTGATATATTAATTTATCATAATTTAAATTTATAATACACACTAATTATTTGTTAAAGCAACAAATTAAACAGTAAATAATTAAATATTTTGTTAATAATTAATATACCGTAAATATTGTGTTAGTAAAAGATTAAAAGTTAAAAAATCAATTGCAAAGTATTGTATTATTTAATATAATAATAACAATAATAATATCTTAAAGTATTTGAAATTTTGCTGTTTCTTCAAATGGTTTTCACAGTTTGAATGCAAGTCATACAGTGAAGTGTTATTTTTTAGTGAAATGTCATCTCATTTGATGTCAAATGGGATGTTATGTGAGAAACTGTATGACAGCGGGTCTCACAACACATACACCACAACATTATTAAAGCACTGAACAAAACATTTCTGAAGAGAAAGAGAGAAAGTATTTGGCTTTAAATCTTTGGATTTTATTACAAAAAATTACTAATAACTGACATAAAGCTAAATATTATTAGCTTAAAATGCTTTCATGTTTTCCAGATATTAATGATTAAATGCAATCACTTTAATATAATGTTTACTTATTAAATAGCTTTAAAAACAAAAATTTTATCATTGCATTTATCATTTATTGACTAAAATGTCACTAATCACTACACATATATTATATATACAGATTATATACAGTAAATATATATATATATATATATATATATATATATATATATATATATATATATATCAATTATATTTGATATATATATAAAAAAAATAAGATTTTTTGTTAAATAAATATAATTTAGTATAAATTTAATTATATTTGTCAAATATTGTTGATAAGAACTAATTATTTTTGATGACAACTAAATACTGTATTTGATGTTATTATAAATTCATTTTATTTTTCTACAAAATGACAACATTTTATTCAAGTTTTTACATTTATATTTGACATATTTTAAAGAAAATATAGAAAATAATGGAAATGATTTAATTGCAATATTGTATGCTTTTATCAATTTTTAATTATGTTTGCAGTTTTGCAATTTTACAGTCTCATGAGTTAGTATTGTATATAATAATACAATTGAAAAAATATACAGTAATTTAATTCAATACAAGTAATTCAATACAATACAATTTAATACAATACATTATGTTATACAACATTATTGCAATAAACTGTATTAGTGTACAATTGTTGTAGTGTTGTGTAGAATTAAAATTCATATATAAAACACTATAACATAAATCATTACAATATGATTAACTAAAATCTAGTTGAATACTAAAATTTACAATTTCTAATAATTCTATAAATAAAATACAAAATAATATTTAATTGAAAAATGTTTTATAATCTTTAGCTGCTGTCGAGGCCTGTCTATCATATGGTCTAAAACGTCGAGCTCTGGGACTCTTTAAGACCAACTCGACGACTGCTTTACTACAAAAAGTGGCCAAATCTTCCGAACCGGCAGCTATTGTCTTGAAGATTGTCACTGATTTGGAAAGTAATGATCCAAACAAGTAAATTAATTTATTTAATACATGCCTTATGTTTAGTCAAAACTAAGATTTGTATTGATCTCCAGGCGCTCGTCATCGAGTAGTGATAGCATTAATAAGAACCGCATAACTAAAGCCATTAAACAACAGAGCACTACAACTACAAAGCCTGTCGTCCGTTATCTTTGGATCAGAATTGCATTGTTTGAAAAACATTTAGTTTCAATTGTCGATCATTTAGTATCAAATAGTAACAAATATTACGAGAAGGAAGCACTGGTGTCTGATCCAGTGGCCGGACAAATATTAGCATCACTATTGGTCGGTCCCTGTGCTCTTGATTACAGCAAAATGAAAACTCAAGACCACTTCTGGACTGATCCACCGGCCGATGAACTCGTTCAACGACACCGTCTCTCTGGTTCAGTAAACGGACCGTCGACTCCTCCTATCGGCCGAAAACCATTAGGACTTTATTATAAGCGAGGAGTCGATGGATCAAAATCATCTACGAGTGCCGATGAAAAGAGCCCACCCGTGGGTCGATCGTCTATCTCATGGTCGCCAAGAGATTATGTCGAATCATTGCATCAGAATTCCCGATCGACACTATTATACGGCAAAAATAATGTGTTAATTCAACCGGTAATGTATCTCATATTTTATTGATTAATATTAATATTTTATATCTTTTACTATTTGATATATAATAAATATATAACAACATTGATTTGTAAATTATAATATAAATTATATTAGCGCGAGAATATGGAAGCCATTCCCGGATATTTATCATTACATTCAACTCATATCGGATTAATTATCAAATGGACACCCAATCAGTTGATGAATGGCTGTACTCCCAGTTTTGGAGAATTGACTAACGATTCAGTTAATAGTCTCGACAAAAGGTATAATAATATATTAAAAAAAAAGATTTCTATTGCGAGACAATAATAATTATTTTAGTTTACTTTTATAGTTAATTATTGTAGATATAAATTTATATATCATATGAAGTTTATTATAACTTAGTTTAACATTAATGTACAAGAGCTTCAATTTATACATTATATTATTACATTAATTAGTTATACACAAAACAAATAATAAAATTCTAATTTTATTGTTTAATATTTATTGATAAATAATTCATTTTTATATCGTAGCTTAATATTTGCAGTATATATTGTTTATTACTAAATATTTGTTTTTATGAAGTATACTGTAAATAATGTGATATTTTATTAATATATTAATGCTTTTACAATAATAAATATTATAATACTACATATAGTATGAGTTTATATACAGAATATTTAAATTTACTAAATTATAATCTCATGTTTGACATCAAGAATAACGACAAATATAACAGAATATTCTAATAAATTATAAATATAAAGATTTTTATTCAGTCATTCAAATATACACTTATTGTGCACTCGATTAGAGACACATTACAACATACTATAAACGTATAATCATTATATTAATAATAGTTAATCAAACTTTATATATGATATTTTCTTTTACTTAATTAAAGATGAATGAACTTTATCTGCTATTAAATTCAATTTACTGTTAAACTCTTTGATCTGCTATTTTTGATTCAAACTTAATTTAACAAATTTAATATAAATTATTTAGCAATAAAAATGACCATTAAATAAGTTGCGTGAAATTAGCTGTTATTAATTGAGATTAATTATATAATTTTTAGTACATTTTGGGAATATGCTCTAAGTTTAAGTGTCGATGAAATAGTATATCTTCATTGTCATCAACAAGAAGGCAGTGATAGCATAGTCCTGGTTGGACAGGACGGTGTAATGCAACCACCCATACGGTTCCCTAAAGGTGGACATCTATTGTCATTTTTGTCATGTCTTGAGAATGGTCTGATGCCATACGGCCAATTGGATCCACCACTTTGGTCACAAAAAGGTAAAGGTATGCTTAAATGGCTAATCAATGATTGATAACCTTTTTTTTGCTATTAAAAGAACTATAATATACTGTACTATTTAAAACATATATATATATATTTATATTCGTATATTAGGAAAAGTATTTCCAAAACTAAGACGTAAAGGTCGCGGATCAACAAAAAATCGGAAAACAATTGATGCAAATCTTGAGGAAGAAGACGACGAACCCTGTGATTATGTCTTCAGAATAATTGCCACTTTTGAAAAACCAGAAACCATTCGTAAGTTTAATTACTATTGAATGTAATGTTAATTATCAATAAATTAATTGGGAATCAAATACTCAAAATGTTTATTATTTAAAAATAGCACAAGAATTGATTTATCCAAACACAATAAAGGGTGCATTTTATCTAAAGAGACCATTCAATGGTATGAAAAGATCAAACAATACATCGCCACATAAGTCACCAAACAAAACAAGTGATGTCGACGATAGTGATAAAAAATCTAATGAATCGCTTAATAATGAAGACAATTGTGAGCATAAATTAGAAAAAGAAAGTGAAGACAAATCCAATTTAAAGCAATTATGTGTTACTATGAAGAGACAAATCATTTCACGTGCTTTTTATGGTTGGTTAGCATATTGTCGTCACTTAAGAACAGTTAGGACACATTTAGCTGATTTGATCAATACTAAGATCACTAATGCAAATGAACCAATTGATGCTTTTGATGGTATCACTGAAGAGTTGTGGAAATCAATCAAATTAAGTGATGGAAAGATATCAGATGCCAATGAAGTTTATAGATATATATATTTCGGCGGAATTCAGCACAGTTTGCGCAAAACTGTTTGGCCATACCTTTTGGGTCATTACTCGTTTGATATGTCAGACGTAGACAAGTCTGAGCGCGACAAAGAAGTGCAACAAAATTATGAACTCCTTATGTCTGAATGGCTTGCAGTCGAGGCAATTGTAAGACAAAGAGACAAAGAGATAGTGGCCGCCAATTTGGCCAAATTGTCTTCCGAAAGCAACAATAGTGCAGACATGCCATTGACGGGTCCCAAAGATCATAATTTTAGTAATGAAGTATTTGAGGACATCTCAGAAGGCGATGAATCAAAACCATCGAGTCGTAAGTCTTCGATGCAAACACCGGAACAAATCAAAGAAGGAGCGATTGCAACAGCGAAACGTCAACTTCAAAGACACAAACCAGTGGAGAGTCAGAGCAGCTCTCAAAATATAATAGTAACCAATTCATCCATTGATATCACTAATACATTAAAAAGTGGACAAACCGTGGATAATGATACCAACGAACCCGACTCTCAACACTTGCCTATCGCCGGAAATGGAGAATCCAATTCTCAATGTGTGTCTCCCGTCTCATCCAATGGCGGAGTCTATACAGTAATTATAAATATTTTAATGATAATTATATTATATTTTCTAATATATATTTAATTTAATACCATTACTGAAGAATGAGTTATTAGACTTGTTTTCATTGAATATTCATCGCATTGACAAAGATGTTCAACGATGTGATCGCAACTTCTGGTACTTTACAAATGAAAATCTTGAGAAACTTCGAAATGTAATGTGCAGTTACGTCTGGGAGCACCTGGACATCGGTTATGTTCAGGGAATGTGTGACTTAGTAGCACCACTTCTAGTCATATATGATGAGGGTATTGTTGTTATTATTTAAATTATTTCAAATTAATTTTTATCGCAAACCTATATGTCATACACTCAGAGGTGTTGACCTACAGTTGTTTCTGTGAGCTAATGAAGCGAATGGTAGCCAACTTCCCACACGGCGGCGCAATGGACGCACACTTCGCTAATATGCGGTCATTGATTCAGATATTGGACGCCGAGATGTTTGAATTGATGCACCAAAATGGAGATTACACGCACTTTTACTTCTGTTATCGATGGTTTCTCTTGGACTTCAAAAGAGGTAAGTCTAACATATAGTTGGTTAACTGATCGCATCTATTGAAAGATCTATTATATATATTTTGCAGAACTAGTTTACGACGACGTGTTTGCCGTCTGGGAGACCATCTGGTCGGCCAAATATATCTCTTCTTCGAGTTTTGTATTATTTATTGCATTAGCTTTGGTTGAATACTATAGAGATATCATTTTGGAGAATAATATGGACTTTACTGATATCATCAAATTTTTTAATGGTATTTATAATTATTATTAACTATTTAGTTATTAAACATAATTTCTTTTCAATCAGAAATGGCTGAAAGACACGATGCAAAAGCTGTCCTCAAGATTGCAAGAGATCTTGTTTTACAAATACAAACTCTTATAGATAACAAATAATTTGATGATCTCTTAAATTTATATATCAAAATATATTTTAAAAATTATTATTATATATATTGAATTGATGTGATTATGTATTTTTGATGTCATATTTTAAGATATGCTTTTATTATATATATAATATATATATATATATTTTAAGAAACTATTTAAGAGCTGTTAAATTATTAAAAAATATATATAAATTTATTTGATTGTTAAACCAATTTAATATTATTATCCATTTGTTAAACATTCCCAGTATTTATAACATATAATAAATTTATTCAAATATTATTATAATTTAACCAAAAGTGATATTATATCCTATTTTCCGTATGATTTATATAACAAATTACTAAAATACCATAAAATTGTTATTCAAAATTATTACAAAATAAAATCAAAACTGCGATAATAGTCATCAAATTATATCAAATAAATGTTAGACAAAAAAGAGATCAATTAGTTATTCAACGATTGTTTTATTAATTTATATAAAAAACAATATTTTAATCAAAGAGACCGAAACCCATGTCCTCGTCTTCATCTTCGGACTCATCCTTTTTCTCCTCTTTCTTGGCCTCCTTTTTGGGTGAATCAGCGGCCGCTGCAGCAGCCGGTGCTGCGGAGGCGGCAGCGCCTCCTCCGGATGGAACTGAGGCTAACTTTTCGGTTCCTATCGACACACAAGACATTACAATATAAAACCATTGATTGACCACAAAAAGTGTGTATCAAATGACATACCCTTAGCGATCACTTCTTCAATACTTTTACCGCTCAGTTCTTTGACAACTTTGGCAGACTTTTCTTCATCGACTTCGATGCCAACACTACTGAGGATTCGTTTGATGTCAGCAGTGGTGGGACTCTTATTGCCGCCCAAAGTGGCCAACAGGTAAGCCGACACATAACGCATGGTTTAAGTCTTGTTGGGTTTAAGACACGAAATGTGTACAAAGCTATGGATTAATCGCTAGTTTTTGTTGAATTGATTTCAATCACAAACTCAAAGCACGACTAAAGTCAAGACAGGAAAGGGATATCAAAACCAACGGTGCGATCGACGCATGCGTTCAATCACTACAACAATGTTTGTGTTGTCGACAAAACTGTTCGCATAAGACGTAACACTCATTGTTGACAATCATTATATCTGTCATTGAAATTGAGATCTAATTGTTTTGGACACCGATTATCACCGCATCTGATCCGTAGCGCTGACTAAAATGGCCGATAGATTGACTCAACTTCAAGACGCTGTCAATCAGGTATTGATTCTGATGTGTCTTATCGTAAATTTGTCTTAATGTTTGTGTTATTTTCAATTTGATCCCATGTGTGACCCAATCGGCCAAATTGGACAGCAATCGGAAAACTTCTGCAACAGTATTGGCGTTTTGCAACAGTTTGCGAAACCAACGTTTTTCCCAGAGTTTGACAAATCTTCGTCCAAATCACCGACAGCTCAGCCACAAAATACTGAAGGTTTGGCCAACGATTGTAATTTATGACCACTTTTTAAACCGATAATATTATCTCTTATTGTTATAGATTTTGCCCAATTGTTCGCCACATTAATTGCCAGAACTGCCAAAGACATCGATGTACTCATCGATTCTCTTCCCAGCGAAGAATTGACGCCTGAATTACAGGTAATGACTATTTAAATCATTTCTTTATCGAGTGATCATAATTGTTGTCATTATTTTTTGTGGTTTTTTTACCATCAATTTGATGGTAAAGGCCGCCGCTTTAAGACGTTTAGAACAGGAGAACAATGATTCGGCGCAAAGATTGACGGAAACAGTGAAAAGAGGTGAAGAACTATTGGAACAAATTCAGAATGCATTACAAGATATCGCAGAATCTCAACTAAAGATTGAATGTTTGCACTCTACCACTGATGACAACAATATTATCAATGGAACCGCTAATAATATTAATAATTAGTTGTTAATATCTTTTATAACATAATATTATTTATTTGTATTTCATAAGTTTTGTGAATAAATAAAAAAAATTATAAATATTATATAAAGTGACAATAATTATAAATCTCTTATCGTTTGCTATAAATTACTCGTTGGTTCATAATTTTAAATTACATAAAATAATAAATTTCTAATAACCATTCATTGTTTTATTTTATATATCCCATTGTATTTTTTGTATCATTTTGTTGTACAATATTATCTAAATTGAAGATTATGCAAATGATAACTTTATCAGTATATAATCGTTTATAAGTTATTCAAATATTTAAATATTCCCAAATAGTTATATTATGATTAATTTTGTAATTCACATTTTATATTTACTAATATTATTGTTTTTAATATATACTAAACATAACATAAATAATACATTAACATTTAGTAAATTTATAATTATATTAAAATTTATATATTAGTTACTCTCAAATAGCAATGCGTAATGTAAATGAATATCAACTACAGTACAGTATATAGTAGTCAGGGTTTTAAGGAAATATTATAAATGCCTGGCATTTTGGGCATCTATTTTATTTGCCTACCACATTAAATTGCTAAAAAGCAACTGTATTTATAAAAAATAATGTAATTTACTGTTTTTAGCTTGTTAATTAAATTTACAATTAATATAATTATTTCCAATGATATTACCTTTTAAATAAAAAACAAAAATACAAACAAATATCGATAAAACAATGTTTTATAGATAAATTAATAATATAAAATTAAAATAATAGGTGTCACCACCTGAAAATAGATGCCCAGGGCATGGTAGAGGCAGGGCAGGCATTTGGCAAAATAGGCATCTATTGTTTATGCCTGCCATTTTTAAAACCCTGATAGTAGTACACTATGTATACTATTGTATCAAAAGCTTTATTCCGCATGTTTTGTATGTTTTACTGTATATTGTATTCAATCTATGATTATATCAGAGACAATATTAGACTTTATTTGTTACACTTATAGGAGACATACTGTTGTTTAACAATAAGCAAAAGTTTTCTTTGATTTTATTGGTAAAAAAATACTCAATTATTTTTACAATTATTAACTATCGATAATATTAGTCTAACAAATATATTGACGGATATATATGTTTTTGTAATTGTGTTGTTTATATTTTTGTTTTATATAAACTTTACTTATTTGTGGGTAAGTAATAATAAAAATATTTATTTATTAAAATTATATAATCTTTTAATATTTTATATAATTTTTTAATTTTTATTACATATTTCTATTAAATTTACAAATTAGTTATATTTTTATTGAGAAACTATTAATATTGTTGATTAAATAAAGATTATGTGTTAATTTTTAAGATAAATTATCTAAATATCTAATGATAAGGTCATAACTTTTAAATAAGTTTTTATTGATAATATTAATTATTCTTTGTTAGTAAAAATATTTTATATATTTATAGTATAATAATAATAAAGAAAAACATTAGTACACTATATTGTATATATAAATTAGATAATAGGATACACTTAATCATCTTATTATTCAATTATTATTTAATAAAAATATTAACAAATTAGAGGTTCTGGTCATAAATATAAGTCCAACAAAATAATAAATTTACTTATTATATGCTAAAACATTATTTAAACTTTATATAAATAATGTGAAACTTATTTTATTATTTATTATTTTTTAAAAATTCTGATATAAATGCCATAAAATTATATGTTTGTATTATTTAATTAAATAAATAATATTTAAATTTTAAATACTACCTTTGGAATTGAAATTTGATATTTAATAATAGGATTTAATGTATTTTTTGTTGTTATTAATTTATAGTATTGTATAAAATAATAAATAACAAATTCACATTAAAATGAAAATGTGATTAATTTTCAGTAATATATAAAATAAATACATTAAAAATTAATGTATATATAATGCATGTTATATACTATTTAATCAATTATTAAACTCATAGATAATATATGACACTATTTTTTACTATTGAAAAATTATATAATTATTATATTTGTAATTTAATTTTGTATTTTAGTTACAAAATTTTAATATAATTTTTATAAATTTGTTTAAAATATTTTATTGGAAATGATTATTTATATTCAATTTTTACTATATATCATATTTATTAATAAACTACTATATAATAAATTCTTGACATTTTAAAAATATATGTTAAATGTAAATTTGATAAAATTAGATTATGTCAGTTTATAAATTACAGGGACACCCACAGTTAATAAAATTTTAGATATATTATCAAATAATATTATATAATTTTATTAACTTTTATAAAGTAAATATACAATAAAATACAATAGTTTTGCTTTTGACATTTTTTGAGTAAACATAATAAAAATATAAGACTTCAAAATAACATTATAAATATAATTATATAATATTATTTGACACCCTATTTGTTTGAAACATATTGGAGACAACTATTTATGATTATATACAATATCACTATCACTACTATGATCAACATTGTATTATAATAATCATAGCCTTGATTTATCAAACATTTTTTAAAAGATAAAACTGATTAACTGATTTTGATTAAAAAACTACTTTAATAATTTTTAATATATTTTGATTTGATTTACTAGAATATCATTAATAATTATTAAATATAACATTTTGATGACTTTGAAGAGTCATAGAATAATACTTATGTGAAAAATAGTGGCCATAAGTGTGTAAAACTAGAAAATATCATATTTTAGATTCATTTACTTTTTATTAACAAACTATTGGACATCAGTTAAGTGTATATATATATATACTGTATAATACGTGATGAGACACTCAACCAATTTTTTAAAATAGTTATTTCATCTATTTTTAGAATAATTAATCAAATATATCCAAAATTTTATATAATCATTGAATAAATTAGTGCTTTATTAATTTAATCTTAAAGATTAAATTAATTATAAATGGATAATATTATATTATATAATTTACTATTAATTGTATGTATTTGTAATATGAAATATAGTCAAAATAATACTGAATATTTCATAATTCAAATTACAAATTTTGTCAAAAAATATATGATAATTTATTTTAACTTTTTTTACATTTCTACACTTATAATTTATTGATACTTTTTAAGACAATTTTATTTTTAAAACTAAATTCGTGTGTAATATGAGTTTAAATGAATTTGTTTTAAGTTATATATATATAAATGTATAATTTTTAATAAATTTACTAATCAAAAATTAAAAATGATATTCATTTAAATTTATAAACATTGCATCCTTGAAAGTTTCTCATAAAAGTAAAATATAAGTCAATTTTTAAAATTTTAATTAATAAAATAGTATTTTTTATTAAACTACATATCTTATATCTACAAACTGTATATCTTACTATTTAAATGAAATTTAAGTTTTAATTGATTTAAATAAACAAGATTTATGTTTTTGAAATATAACAAACAACTGAACATAAAAAATAAATTACAATTGTTTGTCTACTTTTTAAGTTATACTATTAATGACATAAGTAATAAAACTAAAATTTGACTAAAAGTAGTAATATTTATTGACCGACATTGACATTGATATTAATATAAACAAAAAGTTTGACACTTATATTAAATTTTTTTTGCAGAATTTCTTGACAAATATCATTGTTATTCTTGAAAATGATATTAATATTATTGTGAAATTCAATCATATGTTTAATCAAACGTAAATGTTTTGTTATTTTTTGGGTTATATTTTATATATAAATATATATACTGTATATATATATGTAATGTATTTGTTTTTATGGAGAGATCTATAGAAAAACAAACTTAAAGATTAAACAGTGATTAATGAAAAATACATGACTGACAGTTCATAATGAATGTAAGCACTGGTGAAACGGAATTTCAATATTTGAAGTTAGGATCAAATCAAGAGCCACTTCTGTATACATTAGTCGAGGGAATTGTAGCCATCGGTGCTTTCATAGGCAACCTATTGGTCGTTATTGTGTTTATTCAAGACAAACGATTAAGAAAAGTGACAAACTTTTACATAATTAGTTTAGCCATCGCTGACATGTTTGTCGGTCTCATTGGCATTCCGTCAGCAATATTGACACGAATGGGAATACCTCGCGATTCTTTCAACTCATGTCTCGCTATGTTATCATTACTGGTCGTATTGTGTACTATATCTATACTAAACCTGTTGGCCGTTTCACTGGATCGGTATTGGGCTATATTACACCCATTGGATTATCACCGAAAAATATCCGGTATAATATTCAATTGTTTTTGACAAATAATTATTTTGTTATTATTATTATTATTATTATTATTATAAAACAATTAACAGAAACAACAGCAATGATAATAATAATCAGTTGTTGGATTTTGGGGGCATTTATTGGATTTTTACCACTTTTCTGGAATAATGGGATTCAAGTTTACGAAAGAGAAGACGGAAAATGTCTGTTCATACCTGTCATGAGTTATAACTTTCTTGTATTTATCTACTTCTCAACCATTGTATTGCCGGCTATTACAATGGCTTTCTTTTACGGACGAATATATTTAGTTGTTATGAAACAATTAAGCTATAAAAAGGTCAGAAGTTTATTATATTAAATATATTTAACTTTTTATATTATCATTTATATTGCTATTTAATTACTGTTAATCTATTTTTACTGAGTTTTAATTATAAATAGTAATATATTAAAAGTTTAGTAATAAAACATGAACGATAATAACAAAAATAAAACTTATTATAATATTTGTTTAAATTTTTAGTTATTAGTTTAATAAATTAGTAATTTTAAAATATAATGTAAGAAATTTTTGAAATCAATTTCATCATTTCCTAAAATAATTTAATCGTAACTTTCATTAGAAATCTATTCTAGAAATTAGTAAATTGACTTTTTCCACAAAAATTTTGTAATTATCGCAAACAATTGTCAATATATTTAACAGATTATAGTATTTTCATTAAATGTTTTGTCATACTGTGAATCAATTACCTAAAAGTGGATTAACTTTATTAACAATTGATATTTCAAAGTGAATGTAACTTCGGTTTAATTTAAAGGACAAAAAACATCAAATTATCATTACATTGATAATAGATTATTGAATGCATTAAAATTAAAATTGAGTAAAAATATTAAATTATTTTAAAAACTTGCTTTAGTTTATTATAAAAAATATTTATTAATTATTTTACATATAACTATAATATACATGAAAAGTATTATTAAAGTATATTTTGAAATATGACATTTTATGTTAGAAAAAATAAGAAATTTGATTTTGACGTAAATTATATTTTACATAATTTTTAAAAATATTATTTGAATAATTAATTATAAAATAGTTTTATATCATATTATATGTATAATGATCAGGGTTTTAAATGTGGCAGGCATAAACAATAGATGCCAATTTTGCCAATTTTGCCAAATGCCTGCCCTGCCTCTGCCATCCCCTGGGCATCTATTTTCAGGTGGTGACACATATTACTATGATTTTATATTATTTATTTATTTCTAAAACATGTTTTATCTATATATTTGTTTTGTATACCTTTAATTAAAAGGTAATATCATTGGAAATAAGTATATTAATTGTAAATTACATTATTTTTATAAATACAGTTGCTTTTTAGCAATTTAATGTGGCAGGCATTTATGGCATCTATTTGAGCATTGCCAGGGCAGGCATTTATTTATTTAAAACCCTGATGATGATTAATATATATATATATATAATAAAAGCGCAATTTTAAAAACTTGAAAATTATTTCTAACAAATAAAAAAACATGATTTTAGTCAATATTATATACAATTATTGTGATAAACAATTAGAAAGAAATCATAGGGTTTTGTTGTTAACACTAATTTAATTTTATTATATGTGAAGTCTATTATCAAAATAAGTTACTTTATCCACAAAACAATTAGTTTGTATTAACAACAAAGTGAAACTAATTTAATAAAAACAAAAGTAAATGCAATATTTTATATTAAGCATAATATAACTTAATATATTTCTATACAAAGTGAAACAAAATTGTTTCGGGTAATAGTCATGTGTTTTATAATGATAACTATTCTGTTAAATAATGATAATTTATTACAATTATTTGACTTGAATTTTGTCCATAATTATAATATGCATTGTTTTGCATTTATAGATTAATTGTATTTGAATCTGATAACAAAAATTATTTAAAATTATATTAGTAGTGAATAAAAATGTTATCTTATATTACTGTAGATATAGTCTCCTTAAATATTTTTAGATTTTATTTTATCATTTAAATTGTAGCATTATTTGAAAACAATTTACTTTATTATTTTTTATTGGACACAAATAATATATATCATATATTCTGTATCACATAAAATATTAAATTTCAGTATTTGACTTACGATTATTGTGTTTAATAAGAATAATTAAAGTAATAAAGTTTTGACCAGAATTTGTTGTTTAAAACTAATTGTTTTACTTTTTTGTATTATATTATAATACAGCTGAATATTCTTAATATTACCAATTTAATAAACCATATTAGTTAATTAAAAAATATTTTTTTCATAATAGTTTATAGCAATTAGTTATATAGCAAATCAAATTTAAATGAAACCACATTTTTTGAAACATGAAACATGAAACTCAATTAATAAAAACTTGTTTATATCTTTGATGTTTAGATGTTATCATAAATTTTAGTCTTATATTTATAAATTAATTAAAATCAATATTTTTTTCGCTTATATTATATTATATTATTAGACAAATATATCACTTTATTCTATAATCACATACTTTTTGCTTACCGTTATATTTGTTACAGCAATTATTAAAAGATAATTACCTGTAATAAAATTTATTAAGTGCTAAACTTATAGTGGAAATATTGTTATCGAAATATATATTATAATATTGGATGCAAAGTGGTATATATTTATATGAAAATTAAAACATTTAATTAAAATATTTGACAAATTGCACTATTTTTTAGCTCATTTCATCAATTCAATGAAGTGATGAATTCAATTAAACTTTGAATTTTCATAGTATAGTCAAAATTTTGTTTATTTTTCTCAATATTTAATCCATTTTTACTATATTTCAAGCCAATTAAGTACAAAATAATTATATAAAATATTTATAAAATGTATATATTCAGTCATTAAATATAAGTATAGATATAGTAGTGCTAATATTAATCACTTAATAATATAAATATACTCTCTGTTGAAAGTTTGTACACAAAAATTTATTGGTTTATTAAATATGTTTACTTAATATATTTTTTAATATCAAACGTTCAATAAGTTTTTTTCTCTCTCTCCTCCCGTTATAATTTTTACAAACATAAAATACAGTATAAGTATACACAGTTTAATAGTAAAAACTTACAGTAATTCAAGCTTATAATTCATTGTAATCTTAGTTCAATCAAAAATGTTTTTGACAACAAAATTAGTTTATTGTTTATACAGAAAAAATACAGTATAGCTATAATATTTTTGAAGTTAAATATAATAAAAGCATCATTTCATAACTTAATCATACATATTTATTTTTACAATATATTCCGTATATCTATTGTATTATTACTAGTGATACACAGTATAGTTTAATACAGTATATGGCATAAATAAGTATTATAAAAATAAATTGCAAATATAAAATACACACACACACACACACACACACACACACACATTTATAGATTTAGGTAAACTAACTTTTTCAAAAAAAGTTTGTTTGAATATGTGTTAAATTTATTATGTTATATATGCTAATCATTTATCAAAAATCTATTACTTTTATCACAAATGTCAATCCTATGCCATATAAATACTTTATGGTATAAAAATATACAGTATAGTGTAAATACAGTAAAGTGTTTAGTAGTATTATATTAATAAATTTAATACGGGTATATATTTGTTTTATTTATTTTTACTCTTTTATTTTTATATCATTATTTGACAGATACTGTAGTAATATTAATATTAATAAAAATAGTATAAAAATTTTTAATAAAGGAATATAATTAAAATTGAAATAATAAATATGTTATTAATGTATAGTTTTCAAAAAATATTAATTATCAAACATATGATTAATGTCATCAAAACTAGTGATATTAAAATTATATAAATTAAGTTATTATAAAATTAATTATATGTCTTGTATTAATTGATGGTTCCTTTAGGTGCTTCAAGTGTCAAGTGGTCATTACAGTCAAAGATCTGGTCCAAGTAGTAGACAATGTAGTGACAGAAGGAGGAGTCGTTTTGAATGCAGTTCTTTGGATTCAATCAACAGTCCTTCAGATAAATCTGATAATAACAGTAACGTATCGCCAGTTCTTTCAAAGTCACGCTCTTTGGCGACACTCAAGAGTTTGAACCATAATTGTAGTCATTGTATAGTAAAGCCAATCAAATTGAGTTATAGTAAGAGAGAAGTGAAAAAAGCACAGAAACTCTTCATTATAGTCGTCTTCTTCATGTTGTGTTGGATACCATTGTATACAATGAACACAATTGAGGCGTTTTGTCAGCAATGTAGAGCACCGACCAGTATTGTCGACCTCATGATCATACTGTCCCACTTGAATAGTGTCGGCTCACCCTTTCTTTATGCCTTTCATATGAAAGACTTCAGAGAGGCTTTGAGACGACTCTTATGTGAATGTGTTATACGTCAGCGACACTTACGAGACCTCAGAAGACAAGAACTCTTCACTATTAATCTCAATCCATACTCAAGACGTATACATAATAACACTCTTGAAATGTATGGAAATACTCCAGAAATGACACCACAATTATCACCACAACATTCACTGAAGATCTCAACAGTTACCTAACTTTTTAAACTTAATTTATTACATTATTAATAATATTGTATTATCATTGATATTGTATAAGTATTATTATATTTTTAAATTTTCATTTTTATTATTCTAGTGCTAGTATTTAAATATAAAAAACTACTTTAAGTTTTAGTTAGTTTTTTAAATTGTGTAAAAATATGACAAACATTATTTGACATATTATTATTTTTTAGTTATTTCATTTTGTATTTATTTTTTAAATATATTAAAAATAAAATATTTATGAAAACTTAATCCTAAGTGTCATAGTGTTTAATAATTTAACTCAAATAAAGTATTTAAACATTTGTTTGCTGATTGTTGTATTTTTCATGCATTAGCATAACATATGTTTTAATTGAAATAATAATATTTTGAGATTAATAAAAAAAAGTCGAAATATATCCTAACAATTATACAATAATTAAACAAAAACAAACAGTTTATAATCATAACATTGTATTAAATAAATGTTTATTATAAATTATAATAATGATTTTGATTATAATTTATATAATCAAAATCATTATTAGGTTATCCTTTAAAATATAAACCGTATTTTGAATATTTCATAATATACAGTATTAATAATAATCTAAATGTTTTATTTGAAATACAATAGTAATGTATAAAACCTCGATTCTTATACTTTTTTTTATTTAAAAAAAACTATAATTCTTTATCTCTCTTCACATATTAAAAACTGAACACAATTTGCATATAACTGTATGTATTATATAACTATCCTTAATATATAAGTGGCATTACCTGTTCATGTAGTGCTATATATGGACAGTGACACCAATAACTGTGTAATTTGTATGACCATTAAAGCCTGAAAAAAACAGTATCATAGTTAGCAAACATTTCTAATAATTAATAAATAAATTATAAAGTGATTAAAAAATATTTCTAATATATCCATAAGTAATAGGGTATTAAATTTAATATCATTGAACAGTCAAAATACAACATTTACAATAACTTTAAACATTTTTGGGGACAATATATTTGTGACCACTTTGTGTTTGCATTCAGTCGTCACTGTATTGAATACATAGATATTGTGATGTTATTTATGTTGTGTTGTATTGTTGTGTGGAATATAATACTGTATTAATAATATACTGTACAACACATACAACACATACAACACATACAACACATACAACACATACAACACATACAACACATACAACACATACAACACATACAACACATACAACACATACAACACATACAACACATACAATACAAACAGTGAATTACAGTATATTTTTCAGACATTATTTGATGTTTTGCTTTAAAGTCATAAAACGTTAAAAACAAATATCAATAATAATAATAATAATATAATTGATTTGTCATTGAATTAATTGTTTTGAAATATCTATTGAAATGTTATTTAATTGTTTGCATTTGTGTCCACAACTTCTTTGATTGTCAAACACACAAACTATTTAACAAATATCATATAAATTGTTTGGTTTTGTGTTTTTTAAGTCAATTGTCGTTTTCTCAGACCAATGAAGAAGTACCGAATTAACGATATATTGGCCGACAATAGCGGTTCCCAACAGAATGGTATCGACAGACAGCTGTCGTCATCACATTCATCGCAGAGGTTTCAGATGAACCAAAATCTACAGAACCGTAACCAACGACGATATGAGGCCGACGGCAGTGAAGAGGAAGAAAATCAAAGACAGAATCACTTATTGTCGATTTCGCAGTCATCTCAAGCGATGCCACCATTTGTGCCATCGATTCAGCGAAACATGAACTCTGGTTCGGGTGAAGAGACCAATTCTGTGTCCAATATGGCCAACATATCAAACATTGATGCCAACAGTCTTTATAGTAAACTTAAAGAACTACAAGAAGCAGAACAACGACTCAAACAAGTAGAAGATCTGATGAAATCTATCGAAAAGATGGAAAATAACATAAAGGAAGCGAAAAAGGAAACCTCTGTTAATGACACGCGAAACACATCTAACGAAATGCAGACAAAGTTTACGACAAGAAATAATGTCACCAAACCATCGATTAAGAGCGTTGTCTCGCATTCAACTCAAACACAACCTAAACAATTGTCTCAGACGTCTGCAAACAATATAGTAAACAATTCACAGAAGAATGTAATTACTCGAAACATTGAAGAAAACAATTTGGAGATAAATGTTAATACAAACAACACATCGCAAAACTTGTTGTCGCAATCAATGGATTTTTGTGACAATAACTTGGGATACAATACTGATATCGATGAAAGCGAATCCAATAGCGAAGAATCATATAATCAAATGAATGGCAATTTGATCCGATCTATGAGATCACAGTTTGATTCAATGCGTTCTCAATTCGAGACAATGCTTCCAGTATTGGAAAACCAGTTCACTAATGGATCGATTAATTCAAATATTAATACAAATATAAATTATAATCAAAATAATAGTCATCCAAACAATATAGCTATTAGTAATAATTACATGAATAACCAGTTTTTTCATTTAATGCTTCTTCAAAATTATCAGATCCTTCAGCAACAACAAATGCTTTTGCTATGGCTTCAGAACCAACAAAGTCAGTGCCAAACACCACAAACAACACATCCTACACAACCAATTACCCAACCGTCTCAAAGACATGTGAATCATAATTCGCAACATTATATGAATGGCATTAATGGCAGACATAGCAATGTTTCAACTGTGCCTCAAAACCTACTTCATTACCGAAACCCAACTCTAAATTCCACGAGAAATAATGAGGCAAATGCTCATAATATGACAGCCCTTAACAATCAAGTGGTTCCCGGAGTTCGGGCCAACAATTATTGGGATAATTTCAAGAGCTATTCGCGACAAAACAAGTTGAGCGCTTCGGCTAATAGTAAGACCAATGAAGATATATATTTGACACACAATCAGATGGTAATGGGAAACGATCAGCAAATGATACACAACACAAACCATTCACCAAATTCAACATTAGGTCGACATTCATCCAAAGCAGCCAATGCTAGTCAAGTGGAGAAACAACAAAATTTGTCGCAAAAATTCAATGATTTAATACAAAACAAATCACAAAATTCAGATTCAAATAATTTTGCTGCACTTTTCTCTATATTAGAGAAACTAATTGAAAATGAAGATAAAATTTCTTCAAAAGTCTGTCCAAAGAAAAAGTCAACAAATTTAGTTATGTCTTCAGATAATGACGAAGAATGCGGTGCAGTAGGAGGTGTGGGCATCACTAATGTTGTCAACAATCAGGTCCAGACCGATGACCTTAATGATGGTAATAGTAAGGCATTGCAATCAAATACATCCGTACGATCTTCTATGTCTGGTCCGAATATATCACTGCCTCTGCACATACCTGCTAGTAGTGGTGCAATTAGAAAGAAACCTCGAAATCAAGAGATTCTTGAATTTTCATCTAAAGTCGATAACAGTGAAAATTTTGCGTTTTCTTTAGCTATTGGATCTGAATTGGTTAGACCACTGATGGCAGCGGAAGGTCGTTCATCTGAAGGATCCACTGCTAATGCAATGGTCCCACAGAAGCAACAAATACTTTTAGTACGCCCTCCAACTACGGGTGCGCCGCCATATGATTGTGATAGCAATAGTAATGTTTCATCTGATGATCAATTGGCTGAAGCGGATCAAACTGTTTCTGAATTAATAGTTTCTGAATCTGACACACATCTCAATAACAATAATGTTAATATTAATAATGTTAGTATAATTAGTACAGTTAATAATAATAATAATAATAATAGTACTATTACATGTACTACTACTACTACTTCTACTAATAATAATAATAACATTAATACAAACATTAATCAAAACAATCCAATGAATGGACAAACATCGGACATCTCCGGAATTCCACGATCTCTTGCAGAAGACAACACTGTTGTCGCTATTGATAACAAAGTTGAAGACGAGGAGGAAGAAGAAGAAGAAGAAGAGGAGGAGGAGGACGACATTATGGGCAACACATCTAATGAGAGCGCTATACGCCTAAGCGGTGATGGAGAACAAGGACTTTGAAGTGATTGCCTAATTGTCTTTGTCCTCATATTTCATCAAATATTATCTAAAAAAATAATAACTAGACTTTTCATCTTAATTAACAAATTATATGCTTTTAGTTTTTTTCTTAATTTAATATTTTTTATTTATAGAAAACAAATATTTATCATCCGATTTAGTTAATATTTAATGTACGGTAAACTTTAATTTAATGTTTCGTATAACTATTATTAGTTAAAGAAATACATGAGTTATTTTTAACAATTATTTCACTGATTAAATAATGCAATATTAGATGCTTTAGATGATTATTATTCATTAAATAATTGATTTCATTAAAAATTCAATATTTTCTTAAAGAATGTTTTTTTTGATTACTTTTGAAAAAAAGTTGTTTTTTGTTAAATAACACGTTTGACAGCATTTAATAAATATGAATAAATGAAAGGATGTAATGATGTAATGAATTTGATTGGAAATACTATTAAAAATATTTGTTTATTTATGTAATAATAAAAATTCTTCAAAAATAATCATTTTTTTGTTATAATTTTATTTTATATTTAGTACTTTTATAAAATGCATTTAAGATTTAACTAAAAAAAAGTCATTAATATTTAAGGAAATAAACAAAATTAATATCATTTACAATATGTAATACTGTATTTAATTTATAATAATAATTATTGATAAAAATATTTTACATATAAATTTAATTTAGATATTATTGTATTTTCACAAATTAATAAAATATTAATAACTTTATAATAATAATTAAAAAAAATAATTTTCACTGAAATTATTTATTTGATGTGACAATTTTGAATAGTATTAAAAGTTTACTAAAAAACTAAATATAACTAAAGATATTGAATATTAAAATTGTTAAAATCATAATTTAAAAATTGTCCATGAGCATTTTGACATTATTATTAAGTGATACACTGTATTATAGTGTAGAGTAGAGTACAGTACAGTATTGCCGCTAAAACGATAACATTATTGAATCCCCTATTTGTTGACACAATGGATACACCAGTTGTCTAAAAATATTGTACCTCTACTTTCAATGCAATCATATATAACGTTATGGTATTGTAGGGAAAGGGATAGCTATTGGTATTACTAATATTGTGAGTGTTTGTGACTATACTATCATTAGTGTTGTCTGTATTGAGGGTTGTATTGAATATACAAATCAAAACATAGTATAAATGAGTGTAACTTTAGTGACGTCTGAATAGTAAAGCATTTGTTCATTAATGAGACAAATGGCGGACCAATTGATCGACCAATTGATCGCTCACTTCGGCCGACGATTTGATTGTTTTCATCACTTAGTGATCGCTAATAAACGCGTCAACACGTGAAACACAAGTAACGCGTGTGAAGAGACAATGCAGACCATTGAATATGATCTCAACGTCTCCGGAGGTCTTATGCCTGTAAGACAATCAAAGACATGGCAACAGTTGTCTCCTATTGTTATTAATCAACTTATTTATTGCTTCCGATTGACAGCAAATCAACGCTTTGACGGCTCCTCCGGCTAGTGAAGAGTCGACGCGAAAGAAGAAACTGAAGAAAACAATGGCCAGACAGACACCGATCAGCAACGACACCAACAATAATAGCAATTACAACAATAGTCGGCCAATGCTTTCGCGGCAAACAAAGACAGGCAAAGCACCAAATCATGAATATTGCGATTCATGTCGTGAGGGCGGAGATCTGCTTTGTTGTGACCGCTGTCCAAACGCTTTTCATCTTCAATGCCAGTCTGTTAACGCATTATCACATATTGTCACATGAGTTCATTGAAACTTTCATTTATTTAGTGATCCACCACTCGATGAGGAGGATGTACCACAAGGTGAGTGGTTATGTCGTAAATGCAAACAATTGGTCAAAGAAGAGGTCGACGAATCTGACGAGGAGAGCGATGAATCGGAAGAAGTACTTGAAAGCAAAGACAATATTCAAAAGCCATTCTCATTATTGATAAGAGCGGCGCAAACATTGAATCCCAAACAGTTTCAATTGCCTAACGATTTAATGCCATCGATTCAATTGGTCGGAACTTCAAGGAGAGGTAATAACAAAAATGGAAAGAAACAGATCCATGAAATGGACAACAATATAGTGGCATTTCCGGTAAAATTGTGTTATCAGTGCTCAAAAAGTTGTCGAAAGGCGCCATTAATTCAGTGTGATTACTGTCCGCTATTGTTTCATCCCGACTGTCTGGACCCACCCCTAACAGTGTTGCCAACCGGACGCTGGATGTGTCCAAATCATTCACAACATATAATTGAACAAAAACTATTAGATTCTGTTAGTTTAAGTGAGCGAATCAAACTCTGGGATCAGTTTTCAGGTTCTGTATCACACGATGTCATCCAAATGGAGTTTTTTAAGAAAGTGCATCGAGTGAGTCCACCATTTCGTACGAAAATAGGTTTACCAATCAATAATAAAGTAGTAGTTCCCGAAGCAATTAAACAAATGTACAAAATTCGTCCCTCACTTCTACCAAATTCTAACCAATTGGCACTTAAAATGGAGAACAATGAGTGCCTCACAGCTTCTAAAAATGATAGACCAACTGCTGAACAACAAGAGGAATGGCTCTCGAGTTTGATTGCATTTCAATCAAGTGTTGCACAATACCTGAGTTCATCAAAATGTACTAATAATAAGCCCAACTCATCCATTGCCATCTCTTCAAGCAAAGACATTAGTGATTTAAACAGTAAATTGACTGAAAACTCTGTGAAAATCAATTCTCATACTTCAATGAATGGTCCGATAGATCAATCATTTGAAGATAATATCTCTCTAAAGAAAGACACAAATAGTGATCTAAGAAAGGATACGAGTAGTGATAAAAATAATAATAATAATAATAAAGAGTTCATTCAAATGAATGGTAATATAAGCTGTTCATCGCCAGTATCTTCTGACAAACGAATCTCTATTTCAAACAATCATTTTAATGCAATCGCTATACAAAACATAGAGAGTATTGCAGACTTAAGTCGATTGGACGACATTATAGTCCGACAGTTAGCTTATCAGCGGATACAACAAATACGTGACCAGAAAGCTATTGACGTAAATCATAATATGAATGTCATACAGAACCAGAGTTCACTATCATCTTCATCATCGACAACACCATCATTTCAGACAACAATTCGTAGAATAGGTTTAAATGATGTCAGAGCTCGAGCTGTTTTATGTCCAATTCTTATTAAATCGAGTACAGGATCATCAAATGGTCCCACTATTGTCATGTCTTATCGGACATTAACAATCGGTACGAGTTGTGACAATGATGTAGTATTAGGTGATTACGGGCACTGCAACTATGTGTCGCCCAAACACGCGTCCATTTTTTATGATGAAGTGAGTATATGATTAAATTACAATTAATTTAATTTAATAAAACTAATTTGAAAATTGAATTGATTTGCAGACGTCACACAATTATGAGCTGATAAACTACTCAGAACACGGAACTACTGTCGACAATGTCTTGTATTCGTGTGATTTCTCGGACAAGAAAATTCATAATACAAAGCACATCAACTCTCATACTGTTTCAACGGTTAAAGATTTGATTGATAATAAAAAGAGACGAAAGTCTATACAAAATAATAAGAAAATAAAAAATTCTGACAAAGAGTCGAGTCCTGAGAAGAGAAAGCCAAACACAAATGGAAACAATAATAATAAGAAGAGAAAGACTACTAAAATTGAATCGACAGAAGAAAGCGCACAAAAGGACAACGATTTCAAAACAAATAAAATTATTTTCAGAAAGGATTTCGACTCTGAAAACATTGAAAGGGTTACCATCCAAACAAAAAGCCCACTGACTATGAGTTCCCGTTCCGGACAAACACATAAGCCCTGCGCTTGTAAGGCAAGCTGTTCGTCACTTATTGGACCCAATGGTGCCGGTTGGGAAGGAACTGCACTTCTACATCATGGAAGTCACATCAAAGTGGGCTGTAAAGAGTTTATATTTAGTATAACCAATAACGGCATTACTCAAACACAAACCAACTCATCGATATCCTCTTCACCTAAGAATGCCATCAAAATAGAGAAATGACATCAATTGGACTCATAGTTATGTTATTTCTTGATTTTAATACACAATACTTATCGTACAAATCATAAATGAAATGATGGCACAACACATGTATAGGAAATATGTATTTTTTACCATAAACCTAGTCTTGAGATGAAAAAAATCACTAGCATTTGTGACAAAATGGGAATTGATTTGACTTTTAATTTATTATTATTATAAATTAAATTTACTCATGAATATGATATAAGAATAATGAGTTAAATTTGGTGTAAATAATATTGTAATTGTTGTATAAAATTTATGTAATATCATGAATCCATTTGATTCAACTCATCCAGCCATAGATTTTTCGTTTGTATAAAGAATTTAGTAATTTATAATTTTCAGTTTGTTTTTTAAGCTCAATATTAATCCATTTATTCATCATTTTTTATTATTATTAATATAATTGTATGTTTTTAATTAATCACATTTAAATTATAATTGAAATGTTAAATATAATGAAATATGAAATCTTTTACTATTGAGTGTTACAACTTTATTTATGACAAATTTGCTGTTTTTAATTTGTATTTTACATTAAATTTTAATTAACTTAACAAATAGAAAAATAAATTGTTTTGATTTTTATAAATGTTTTGCAAATGTTATTTAAATTAACGGAAACAAAAAAAAACAATTGATTTATAATTTAATTGAATATTAGGGAATGTATTGATTGTTTTTTATAACACTGTATATAAATCATATACTGTTATAATATGATATTTATGTATAAAAAATGCTATCATTGTGTTAGACGTTAAGTACATGACATTAACTTTTTGAGGCAATTAATGAACACTTAGTTTTAACTCAAGTAATAAATTGTTATCAAAATGCTATCAAATTCCTGTTTTTGTCTTTTTCTGTAACTTTTTTAATCGTTTAAAAATCAATGAATGATCTGTTAAACGACTGATAAGCATATATATGGCTTCCGGTGTACAGCCCTTACGCAACAAATTCAATAAAAGACTTTTTTTAGACAAAAAAAACAATATATCATAATTGTTAGTCAATTTTTTAGCGATAATAATCTTATCAAATAAAACAACAATAAATACCAGAAGACTTCGTAATTGATCTCAATGTTTGTGGTCTGAAGCAGAAGATATAGTTTGGCATTGATGGCCGACACGTCCTCTTTGGTTGACTTGAGAGCAACCGACGAGAGTTTTGATCCGCCGTTATGACTCTTGGTCTCTACCATTGTTATTGACCGGCGATCTCTTAATATTAAGAAAATCTCCAAACAAATGATATGCCAATTATAATGACCAGTAGTTTGAAAAAAAATCAACTGAAGATATGTTTTATTATCAAATGATATATCGGTTTTGATGGCAAACCAGTCATTCAATTGAATCGATATTTTTATTCAAAAGTCAAAAACACATTTTGTTTTTCTAAATCGCTATTTATTTGTCAATAAGTTTGCCATAAATAACGTCTTTGTATTGTTTGTTCCCAACCATACCATTCATACAGTCGTTTGCAAACAAATGGCAAACGTTTTTCATTGAAAATCAATTATTATTATTATTATTATTATAACCCAAACATTAGTTCAAATGAAAACCAGTGTAAACATTAGTCTCTAAATATTAGTCAATTGAAAACAGTTGTGCAATACTTTCAATAATAATAATAATAATATATTATAACGATTTGTTGCATTGAATTGACTGTTTTGTGTGTGTATTATATGTGTAATACATTTACCGTAAGAGTGAGTGTATGTACTGTAATGTTCTGTAATGTTATGGCAATAATAATAGTAATAATAATACTATAGCTGTCATAGCCTAGCATTTAATGCAATCATTTGTTTGATTTGACAAAAAATCTTTAAAAATTCATTACATTTGTATAATAATTATAATATTAATAATTATTATTATATCGACGGCTATTTTTATGCATATTAATAGTGAGATATGCTTTCCTCTCAAACAACCCAAAGACTAAACAAACGTCTAACACATCATTAGTTTGTATTTTTTCATTCAATAATCAAATGAGTGATTCATTCAATGTATTTGTAAAACCAATTGACAACAAATCGCCCAAAAGATTGTCAATAAAAAACATAACAAACAATACATCGATTCGTAACATATTTTGTTGTTTTATTGATTAAAACCTATAATACAGTTGACTGTAATCACTGTCTGTCATATCACACATCCGATTGGATTTAGTTGTTGTGTCAAAACCATGACTGAAGTGATTCGCTTCCAACAGACGGATCACGAAATCAAGGGATGGCTTTACAAATGGACTAATTATCTCAAAGGTTACCAAAAGAGATGGTTTGTCCTCTCAAATGGTTTGCTCTCGTATTACAGGTATCTCTTTGATTGTTTATTACTTGATTTTCATTGTAATACTGAATGATGTGATCTCTTGATGGTAAGGAACCCGATGGAGATGAGTCAGTCGTGTCGCGGATCCATAAGTCTAGTATCAGCTGTGATTCATACAGAAGACTCATGCAATTTCGTGGTCGCAAACGGAGGCACTACTCAAACGTTTCATTTAAGAGCCGTTAATGAGATTGAACGACAAAAATGGGTGACCGCTCTTGAATTGGCCAAAGTTAGGGCCATTAGACAACTCGACTCAGAAGACGATGACGTCTACGATATGAATAGCGACAAAAATGAGTTGCAAACTGTGCTCAAATGTTTGGCCACCAAATTAGACACACTTCATACGTGTCACGATGTTATCATAAAACATGGATCAGCTCTTCAGCGATCGCTTATCGAAATGGAACAATTAGATAATCCTAATGATGCCATAAATAAAAGTAAAACAGTCAACGAAAGAGCCACTCTTTTTCGTATAACATCTTCGGCTATGATTAATGCCAGTGCAGAGTATCTAACATTAGCTCAAACTCAGGCCAAGAAATGGCAAAAACTCTTACAACACGAACACGAGTCACGTCTGAGATTAGAAGAACTGGTGGAACAGTTGGCGAAACAGCACTCACATCTGGAACAGAGAGCTATTAAACAGGTGGCCAACTCTAACACATCTAACATTAACTCCAATATCAATTCAGATGATGATGAATTTTATGATGCGGAGGAAACTACCGCTGACTTCATCGTTTCTTTTCCGGGAAAAGCGCACCGAATCAGTAACGCAACAAACGTCCAAACGATATCTAAAGTAAAACAAAGTTCAATCACTTCATTACCTGCTGAGCACAACCACTCTGATGAATCTTCTGGCAGTGAGGTGAGTGATGGCGAGTGTGAAGAGTCAGCCGCCGGTGTTATTACGCGCAAAAAATCGCGACATAAGAGTTTAAATTTTAAAGATTTAAATTCAAGTAATATTGTAACAAAAGTAGTCAATGATCCCAATGATGGCGACTCTACAAAGTCTTCGAGTACACCAACTACTCCTTTATCGACAGTTGATAGAGTAGATCAATTTGGTGGTGATAATGGTAGCATATGTAGGCGTCAGCGACGCACAACAATACCTGAGCGCCCAAATCAAAGCTTAAATTTATGGTCTTTTATGAAGAATTGTATCGGAAAAGAGTTAACCAAAATTCCAATGCCTGTTAACTTTAATGAACCACTTTCTATGCTTCAGAGACTTACTGAAGACTTTGAATACGCAGATCTATTACATAAGGCTTCCAAAGTGAAGGATAGCTGTGAACAGTTGACATACATTGCAGCCTTTAGTGTGACTACTTATGCTACCACTAGTAATAGAACCGGAAAACCATTTAATCCTCTTTTAGGAGAGACTTACGAATGTGATCGAACTGAAGATCTTGGATGGAAGTGTTTCTCTGAACAGGTTTGTCTTATTTTTATGAAATTGTTTTATATGATACATATCCCCTATTTATTAACAGGTGAGCCATCATCCGCCTGCTTTAGCCTCACATTGTGAAGGAAAAGGTTGGACATTATGGAGAGAGTTCTCAATTTCGAGTAAATTTAGAGGAAAATATCTCCAAATAACACCTCAAGATATAACACACGTTGAGTTTGAGGCCAGTGGTAATCACTATACTTGGAAAAAAGTTACGACAACTGTTCACAATATAATTGTCGGAAAACTATGGGTTGACCATCACGGGGATATGACTATTACTAATCATACTACTGGTGATAAATGTCACCTTAAATTTATTCCTTATAGTTACTTCTCAAGAGATATTCCACGAAAAGTATTATTATTATTAATTATTTGTTTAATTAATAAAATGGTACTAAATATTAAATTATTATTTCAGGTGACGGGTGTTGTAGTAGATAAAGAGGGAACTCCTAAATGGGTCCTTCAGGGTACGTGGGATAATAAAATAGAGTCGGCCAAAGTCATAAATAGTCACGGCTCGGCCAAAGGAGGCAAACCGATCATTGAGACGGCAACTCCTAAAGTGATTTGGAAACGTGTATTTCCTTCGTAAGTATAAAATATAAATTTATAATTATAAGAATATACTGTATATGTATCGATAATTTTTGATTATAATTATAAATGATGAATGAATAGCGCCGAATATGATCGCATGTATAACATGACTCTACTCGCTGTACAACTCAATGAACCCGAACCGGGTGTCGCACCCACTGATAGTCGGGTAAGACCTGATCAGAGGCTTATGGAAGAAGGAAAATGGGACGAAGCGAATGCTGTTAAGGGAGTTCTTGAAGAGAAACAGCGAACTGTTCGTCGACAGCGCGAAGAGGAGGCAGAGAAGGCGACTAATGAGGGCCGACCTTATATGCCTTATGATCCCATTTGGTTCACTAAATCTAAAGATCCCATCACTGGTAATCCGGTTCACATGTTTTCAGGAGAGTATTGGCGCTGTAAAGACAAACAAGACTGGTCTCGATGTCCCAAAATATTCTTAGAGTAAAGTCTTGTTAAAAAAAATATAATTTTCAGTGCCTTTGCTTTCGTTAAAAAAATGAATGGATGTTTCAATTGGTTGTCCGTTCATCACAACATAAAATGAAATAACTTTTTATTTTAAAAAAAGATATACATTTGTTGCCAATTTTCGATCTAAAGAGTAATTTTAACGAATTTTGTGCAATTATTTGCTTAAATAATAATGTAATAGTTATATAAATATTGATTTTTAGTATTTATTTCCTATTTTGTTGATAAATAAAAACATTTTATTAATTATTAACTAAAAAATAAATATATGATTTAATTAAAGAAAAAATATATTACCAAATTGTTAAGAAAACTTAGCGGTTTTCATTTAAATAACAATACATCAAATGTGATCAAATGAGTAACTGTTAGCTAATTTTTAATATATTGTATTTGTTAAATGTATTTATTAGCAAAACTATTGTATATTTTATAGAAATCTAAAAATTTATTTTAAAAATTACTATTTCTTGGGAAATAATGTGAAGGTGTGGGGGAAAGCAACAAAACGGGGAGTGAAAAACTATGTACAGTATGATCGGTCCAATGCAACTCATTTGTAATAACCATAAGATTAATGACAGAAATTTATCTAAAATTTATACGATTTAATGGCAATGATTATCAAATTATTTTTTTTTATTTTGTATTAAAAATATGACTTAATTTAAAGTTCACTTTTTTGTTGACTTTGTTGTTCAGTAGTGACAAAACTGAACAGAATATTAATTTTTCCTTTAATTTGATCCCTCTTTTCATTTGTCATTTTTTGCAAAACAATACCATTAAGCCTTTGTATCTCATTCTGTATGAAGACATTTCCATTTTGCAGTATTTTCTCCATAATCTGGACATAAATCTGAGCCAATTTGTGATGTTCTTCATTAGTCATTTGTTTCATTTGTTGTTTGGTTTGTTCCAAAAGTTCTAATCTATTCTCATTAGTGATAGTCTGATCCATAAATTGTTCAGCAAAAACATCCAACTCTTCTAAACACATATTTAATGGTATTTTTATACCCGAATGATATCTAACAAATCGTTTGATGTCATCTGCAATGTAGTGTCCATTATAACGAATACCATTTTCGACATTTCCGTTGTTGAACAATAAGAGTACCGGAAAGTCATCGCGAATAATGGCAAACCTTTTGGCTAAATCCAAGTTTTGTTTGTCAGCAAATTCATTGACACCCACTTCAGCCATCAAAAGATCACTATTTGTGGCCAATTTTGCCACTTTCTGGAACTCTTCGTGTTTTTCTCCATAAGGATATGGAATGTCAAACTTGATGACAGCAGTCTTGAATTTGGCGATAATCTGTTCAAAGATAATGATAAAGAAAAAGTTTTGTGAAATTTTTCAAAAACAAAACATATATTAATTAATAAATAGTTTGTTAATCACCGGAAACCTTATCGAAAGTTATGGAATCCAAGAGAACAGTACTGCTGTCGACTTGGGATGTGATCAGCAGTAAGAAGACAAGTGGTGTCAGTGTATGTGATATGCAGACCATGTCTTCTAAGAGTTGTAATGTTGATGTGGCTGTAAGTGATGGATCACATCATGTGATTTACATGAAACCAATGGATCGATCGGTTGTCTGGAAAGTTGTCAAACTTGTCTTTGCTGTCAATATGTTGTTCATGTGATGACAGATGGCATTAGTGGTGTTGTTGTGTGTGTCGTCTGATGTGTTGTTTCATTGATAGGCGGATTCAAAGATGGATGTCATGTATGTATGTATTGAATGACTATTACAGTAATGACAATACATATCACTATTACATACAATACTTAATACACATATAAAGCATAGAAATTATTAGTTAGACTTCTATACTGTATGTGTTGTGTGTGTTATAACTCAAGTGATAATCACTTTCAAAGCCAAACCATTTGTTTTCAATTTGTCTTTTAAATCGTCGCTTAATTGTCTTCATTGATGACCTCATTTTGGTGACCACACCGTTGTCTTTGGTGACCACCAATTATCCCAGCGATGGCCACACGAGTGGCGCTCCTGTGATGGACTGAATCCGTCAGTAAATTTGTTGACATATAACTAATAATATGAAGACAAATGAAAACAAACAAACAATGCTTTAACCGAAAAGCCGAAGATATTTCTTAAAATTGATTTTTTGATTTGAAAACTATTTGTAAACAACCAATTGATGACTGAAATGATAGACAATAGCAGCTCCTCTACCACTGAGATCGATGTCTTTGTAAGTATTTTATCTCATATTTGTAATGAAAAAAAATATAATAAAATAATTGGTTTTAATTATGTTTAAAATATATTCATTTATATAACTGTTTTATTATAATTTAGAAAAAATATCAAAACATTTTTAGTACTTTTTTTCCTTAAAAATAAATCTAATTTTATGTACCGTTTAATAGTCCTATATATAAACATATACAGCAATGTTATGTTTTTTAATAAAAATAATAATTAATTATACATATTATTATTATTATTATTATTGAATAGATTTTAATTGCATTCACACAACTAATGTATTATTTACACGAAAAGAGGTTTTTGACTAAAAAATATAAATTATTGTCGCTTTTAAATCTTAGGTTTTATTTTTTCCCGTAATAACTATTGCAACAAAATGTACATAAAATTTGTTTCTCATATAAATTAGTTGCTTTCGTAATGTATTTTTATTATAAATAGATATCTTTAGGTAAAAAATTGTTTGTTATAAAAGCAATTTTATTTGTGCTAATATTGATAAAATAGTGACAAATATTTTTTTCATAATTTTTAGTATAATATGTTTAATGTAATTGTATGTATCATAAGTAAAATAATGACATCAAGTTTACCGTATTTTTCTATGTTAACTGTATTTTGTTTTTTATTATTATTAAATTGGTTTTAATTTTTATTTGTTTTAAACTACACTTTTTGAGGCCAATTATGATGTCTTTTGTTTACTTATTATACTTAATGGTTAAATTGATTGATATGTTAGTTAAAGTGGATTTTTTATGTAATAAATTTTTAAGTAATTGATATGAGAGAAAAACAAATAACTTATTTATATAACAAAATTATGTATATTATGCTCATTAATGAAATATTGGATATTGTAATTAATTATTAATTGAATATCAATGAGAGCTATCATATAATAGAAAACTTATATTTTATTTTTATTTTAAAGAGAAATAAATTGTAATATATTTTTTGTTTTAACGATTGATTGACGCAAATGAGTGTCAAATATAAAGTGCTTTTTAAATCATATTTTATTTGTTGCAAATGAATTGATTTTTTATATTACTGGATAGCATAGTATTTGTTAAATTATATATATATATATAAATGAAATAATAATAATAATAATAATGCAGTTATAAAGCAATGAGTGAATGAATGGAAAATTGTGTCAAAAAAGTCAAAAAAATCCTTGAAGTTTAGTGTAGTTTAGTGTCGAGTGAATTGAGTTAACATTAGATGTATTTGAAGTCCTGAACTCAAGACTAAAAAAAAGTGATTCAAAAAGTCAAACAAACGTTTTGATGATTAGTTGTAAGCGTTTTCAATATAAACTTTATTATATATATATATATATATATATATATAATTTATATCTGTTGTGGTGATTGCCTCCGTTTTTATCGCAATTTGCTTTTTTTTATATAAACCACTGTTTGATGCCATTATCACTAATTAACTCCTCATTTTCAGTGTTCATTTAGAGAGAGAGCCTTTTTCAAACAATTTGTCGATAAAATGACTGATTTAATATCAAAATGAAAATCATTTTTATTTATAATACTTAATAGTTGATAATGATTATCAAATATAGCATTGATTTTTCATAGTATAGATTTCTATATATTTTGTATCATTTATATTAAAAATTTCATTTTCTACACATGTTTTCCAGTGTTTAGTCTCAAACCAATATAAGTGACCTCTATTTAAGTCGATAATCAGTGTTTAATGATTTTATTTTTACCATATCTTCTAAGTTTAAACTTATTATAATTTTATAATTATTATAAGGTTTATATTGTTTACTGAATTATGTATTTTATCAACTATTTTGTCATTAGGACAATCTCTCTGAGGATCAATTGAAGGATGTGTTGGATCAATTGACAGATCACAGTCGCCCAAACAGCGAGAAGTGCCCATTAGTTCGTCGTTTAAAAGAAGAGAATGCTTCTCGAGAAGAGCCCGATTTGGTGATAGCTTGTCGTCCTCAGAGACTTTCGACTACAACACGTCCTACTCGTAAATATCGTCGCAGCGGTTCTAAAGAAGCTGAGTTTGCTCGAGAGAAGAGTAATGGATCAGTTATAAACTCAGTTTCTTCCTCAAAGTCACTTCAAGACTTAATGAGTGCCAATACCTCTGAGTATGACATGCGAGCCATCGGTGCAAATAGAGGTGGAAAACGACTAAATAAGGACAGTCGTGCCAACTCATTAACTATGCCGCCTGTGTCTACTCAGCACTTATTTAATAATAATAGCATCAAAAACGATGTTTTTAATAGCGATGTCCGCAATAAGACATTAAAAGGACGTGTTGTTGGACAACACCCGAAAGAATCGGGTTGTAATGAATCAACAAATTCTAGTCGCGTTTATAATGAGTGTCCAACCACTCATACGGTTGTTAACCATAATATGGATTCTTGTGATAAAAACTATACTCCAAATTGCAATAGTTGTGCATCTGATGATCAACACATACATCCCAAAAACGAATACATAGAGATGCATGATTTGGGACGTCGAGTCAATCTGGTTCAGGTTGTCGACGGAAAACTTGTTGATTGTGAGCAACAAATCAAGACTAATGAGTCAACAACATTGCGATCCGCCAATAATGTGGACACATGTCCCGATTTTGGGCTCAAAGCTATCAACTCGAGAGATGCCATAAAAAGTGGTTCCGAACGTGTTGTTAATAATTGTGATTACAATTCAAAAGAGTCGACAAATGATATAAATGAAGACAACAAAATGATGTATTATCATCAGCCGGGTATGTGTACAGTGTTTTCTATTTGTATGTCTTGTATTAACTGCTTTTGTGTACTATTGTATACTAACACTACATAATATTTAACACCGAATGCCGTGCTTAGAGACGGGCAAACCCTACGACCCGACCCCGACTTACCTAACGAATACATATCATGATTCAGGTATTTATACCAAATAACTAATATGTAGTGTTAGTGTAATTCAATCGACACGTTTATGTACAATGAATGACAATTAGGTGACATTTGTTGGCTTTTAGATGTATCGTCTGCGTCGCCATTCAACCCGATCTACCAATCGTATCAATCGGCGACAAAATCGGAACCGACCAATAGGTAATTGATTCAAACTTGTATCACAAAAAAGACAATTTAATAATCATTTAATATATAAACTCAATTACAGCCGAATTGCGAAAAGCAAGAATAAGAAGCGAATGACAGCCGAAGCCATAAAAGCTGAAGACATTGCCGGTCATATTGGCAACAAAGACCTCGAGTTTTTAGTTGAATACGTCAACTCTGCGGGTGGAGACTCGTCAATAGATATCAACTCTAAGAATGGAAGCATTTTAGCAAATAATTCAGTTAAAGAAAATGTAAAAAAGAAAAATCAAATGACGAACAATAGTGTCTCTAAAAGAAAGAACGGTTCGAATGTTAACTCCAATCAAAGTGCATCCCATAAGAGTAATAGTGTTTCGGCAAACATTCCGCTGTCATCTTCATCCTCAAGCAGTAGTGATGAGGGAAACAGTGTCAGCAAACACTCAGACTTTGCTCAAAGAACTAATTCTCAAACACATGAAACTACTAGTCCTCTAAACTCTAGTTCTGAATCTAATGACAAAAAATTGAGTCGTGAAGACTCTGACTTTTTAGAGGAGGAAACGCTATCGTTGTCGACACACAACTCATTTTCTTTGATTGAATCCAACATTAGTGCAGATCTTCTTTGCACAGCTTCTGATTCAGAGATGGCCGACAGAGAAAAAGGTTTTGTTACTCCTAAGAGTAAACACTTTAAGAGACGAATGCATCGCCAAGAGAACCAAAGGTTTAATAAGTCACAGTCAATGCAGTCATCGACTTCAACAACTCCTTCGTCATCAACTGTTTCGGGCGCCGGTGTTTCATACGAACGGTTCTCAGGAATGAGAGGCTATGAGAGTGAACGTGAGTATACGGATGACTTTCGTCGCTATCAAAGCAAATCTGTTTGCAGTCGTCGCAAATCAGTGCCTCATTCGGAGCACAACTCAGCCTATAATTCAGACGGAGAAATGTCTTGTCATTCAATGCCCATTCGAAACGACTCTTTAAAAACCGAAAAGATTTACTCTGAGTCACGAACCACTCCATCATCGATATCATCGACACCTAAAGCTTCATATGCAGACATCGCTAAGACTGACAAAAAGTCTTCAATAGACACAATTATTTCACATATAAATAAAGTGCAATATCCAGCGTTTTCTCAATTGGATTCATCGTTGTCACTAATGGTCGACGACTTGACACCATCCACATCACAGAACAACTCACAACTCATCGAATCAAATGAATCACTGCAACAGAATGTTGTGGTGACCGACAAACAAGATCTGATTAATGACTCATATAGTGCTACTATCACATCAATGACCAATACTCCTGAACCGCAAACTGATTCCCTAAATAATGAGTGCCTTTTAAGTGAGACAGTGAAGAACAACTCAATTGATATGGCAATAAATTCATCGAAAAGTGATTCAGTGGTTCCGCCTGTAATTATGTTAGACTATTCAGAGTCCGTTCCGACCAAAGATTTGGATAATATATCTTTTGGTTTCTTCGATGACGTGATTTTATTCCCAAATAATATTAATAACGATAAATCACAAACTAATATACTTAATGAAACTCTAGAGGAAAGACCAGATTGTGAGGTAATTATTTAATTAAATTCATTGACATTAAGATAAAGATAATGGTATATACTGTCCATATATAAAACGATTTGTGTATTTAACAGGCAAAGAGTCCGTTCAATACTAGTCTCGAATCGGAAAGTCAAATGAATAGCCCTATAGTGAAAGCTGATCCCATGGCGTACATCGATGTCGACAAAAGAAGCTTCAATTATGATCATATACTCGGTTTTATTAAAAAGGGTATATTTATAGCTAAAAAATCAAGTAATTATTTTAACTAACTGTTGATCTCTTGTATTAAATTTCAAATAGCGTGGGATAACGCCAAACGTGATAACCATTACCAGTGCTATGAGTCACGCCCTAAAGTCAAGTAAATAGTTTGTGCCACTTATTGCAAACTTATATAATATCATGTAATATGAAAGACACGATTTTAATCACATATTATAAGTGAATTTTTATCTACAAAAAACCATTACACACTAAAAGCAATTGATAACTTTTTTAATAATAATTTTCATCCATCAAAATCATAAATGAAAAAGCGATTTATTATTTTTTGTCAACATTTGTATTAATTTGTGAATCATTGATATCAAAGCACGAGAAGAAATAGTTTTGAATGTTTTTTCTCTGTCTTTAAGTGTCCTTTAATTTACTTTATGATGAAAATGTTGATTACATCTCATGTTTCACTTAAACAACTGATCGATAAATTTTTGTCTGATTTTATATATATTTAAAACTGAAATTTATTTTATTTTGAATTCTGTATTTAAAAAAAGTGTCGCTATTATTATAATATCGAGTGAACTAAAAGACTCATAGATTCTTTTAAATATAGATTTATATAAATAATATATATATATATATATATATATATATATATTTTAAAGATTATATATTAATATCTATTTATTATTAACATTCAAACATTTTGTTTTTCATTTTTTCATTTGTTTTTTGTTTACAAATTGTTAGTGATGAATAGCTTAAAACTAAAAAACAATTTGAGTTCACAAACAAAACTATTTACTTTATTTTAGTATTTGAAAAAATTACTTATTGTAATAACAATTATGTTTTTTTTAATTATAATTGATTGATATATTAAGTGCAGCCATTAGTTTGTGTCGACATTTTGTGTCCATCACATCAAGCATACCATTGAAGACAGACTGATCCATATGTGGACACAAATTATCGATATTTAAAAGACTTATTATTTTGTTTTTTTTGACATTTATATCAAACACTTGTTTTATGAAATGAAATACCAAATGGAAAATATAACATTTATTAGTGAAATATATGGATATTATTAAAATAATCAAATTGGAGGACAAATTGATGACAACAAACATTTGGAGTGTTTTTATTAGTAGCAAATAAACTGATTTTGTGTTTGTGTTTTTAACATATTATTATTATTATTATTGATTAATATTATTGTTAAAAAAACTTATTAATTAATATTATTTTGTTGTTTTATTTGTAACAAAAAATATCTAAAGTATTAAGTTTTGTTTTTTCAAATTAAGAATATATCAAAAAATTAACTTTTAATTTCAAATTTATGATAATGTAAACTCTTTGTGTCTTTAAAAATATTTTTTATTATAAATTTACAAAAAAAAAATATTATTATTATTATTATACAAATTTTATTATATTGTTTTTACTTAAAAATGCCAATACATTACACTTTTGAGGTCTGAGTTATAGACGTGAGAAGTCAGTGAAGATATAACTATATAAAGATTGAATGAAAACTTATAAATATATGAATAGAATTAAACTTTTGGTTAGAAAATGACATAAAAGTGATTGTTTTAAAACATTATATTTTAATTTAAATGATAACAAAAAACCAATTAATTGTGAAAAAATATATAATCCATTTGTTATTCATTATTAGCCTAAATAATGGTTGTTAAGAGTATTTAAATTTTTTAATTAAATAATTGTTATTAAAAGTTGTTTTCGTATATATTACTGATGTTTTGTTTTGCTAAATGAAGAACAAGTGGATTATAAGTTTTTAAAATACAATGTATTTATCATTCAAATTGAAAATAAGTGAATTAATTATGATTTTAACACTTGATGTTTTTAAACTTAAACAAAATAAAATATTAAACAATATTATATTGTTGTATAATTAAATGATGAGAATAATGATAACAAAAAAATGTAAAACAAACAATAAGATCTGTTTGACAATAAAGATAATGAAATGTCATATCTATTACTTATTTTTATAATTATATTATTAGTCAATTTAAGATACCGGTAAGTCATAATAAAAACAATCTTTTTCCTAATTTTTAGATAAATTTATAACATTAAAGAGAGAGAGAGAGAGAGATAGAGATCATTGTAAATGTTTGATTGTAATGTTTAGTACTAAATATTATAGCAATACATACACACCAAACATGTATTGCTATAATATTTAGTACTAAACTTTGCAATCAAACGTTTACAATGAATCTCTAATGTAAGAAATGGAGCCAATAATTGTGTAATATATTAAAGATCAGATGTTTGTAGACTAAACACAGATAAGAGATGACAACAACCCTTACCATTGCTGACAACAGATAAGTAGTACCGGTTGAACCACCGGTTGGATCAGTTATCGTTGATTAAAGTACCGGTACTTCAAAACCAAATGATTACAACAAGGATTACAATAATTTGGAAAACAATATCCAAATGACTTTCAAGACAAACCAGTCCTAAAATAATGATAGCAGTCATCAAAATCAGATGAAATTGAAATATAAAGAAACATTTGCCGTCTAATAACAAATTTCATTAAATGCATCTTTTTTTTGTATACTATTTTCTCGAAATAAATTTTTTTTTAAATAAGTTAAAATTCCAAAATTAGGTCATAAAAACTTCAGTAAAGGTTTCATCAAATAATTTGTTTTTATTATTTTATTATTTTTTAATAAAAAATCTATAGCTAAGTGATTGATATTCATAGAGTTGTCATATTTTTAACACAAAAACTATTTCAATATTTCTCAATAAAAGCAAAACATTTACACTTTGAATCAATGCAATTGATATATAATTTTTTGTAAGTTAATAATAGCATCATTTTCTATGATCCAAATGATATCTTTTTGAGCAAAAATTATATATAAATTATAATTTTATTGAAAACATTTTATTTCTAATAAATTTATACCAAATTTATCGTTAAAAACTTGATTTTTTTTATAAATGATAAATAAAAATATTTATTATAAAATTTAAATTAAATAATCTATTTAATTAAGTAATTATAATTATAAATAACCATCGTTTGCCAATTTAGCCTTAATTGCGAAATCGTTATGAAAAGTGACAATTTTCAGCATTAAAAATAAAAACAAACATAAATTTTAAATATTTACTGTAAATTATAATAGATTTTTCAATTAATATTATAATAACTTTATAAATATGAAAACCTAAATAATTTTTTATCTAAAACTATATTACTATGTAAATTATCTTTCGATATAAACTTAAATCTTACATTATTGTAATTATTTCACTAAATTATTGTTAAAATCAATATTTTCGTACAAATAGTTTAAAAATACAATAAACAGTAATAATTTGTATTATTTTTTGTAGGTTAGGGGAGGCGATAGAGTAAATGATTAAATGGTTTTGTATTATATAACCAGTGGAAACAAGATTACAGATTTACAATTAGGTATTTTTCAAGTTATTAATAATAATAATAATAATATACATTAATTATATATAACTTATTATATTCATTACCGTCTCTTTTAGTGCAAAATTCATTTTAACTAATTGTTTGTCTCAATGATAATATCAATGGAAAAGTTCTATAGTTCTCTCTTTTCATTATACAAGAAATGTTTATAAATTATAGAAACTGTTCCCAAAAGTCATTATTTATACATAAGTTATAAATCAAAACTAAATCGTGTTTTTATCATTAATTAGTGGAAATAATATATTAATTATAATATAAAACAGAAGATAATTTAAAATTATTTACAAAATATATCTCTTCAAAGCTATTCCTCTCAACAATTGAGATGGAATTGAATTTTTTGTATGTTTTTGTCATTTTTGGAAATAAATTTAAAATCATTGTTTTTATATGTTTTGCCTTTTTATATAATATTTATATATATATATATATATTTATATATTTCAATGTTATATCAAATTAATAATCGAAATATAATTAAATAATATCTCATTTACCACAACAACCACCCGATTGTTGTGGATTTTCACTCAAATCTACACCTCTACGTCCCGGCCCGGATCCAGCGTTACCGGCATTTTGATCAGTTTTGGGTAACTTTTTGGCGATCGCCAGAAAAATATCGTTTACATTCATAGCTGTCTTAGCGGACGTCTCCATGAATAGTAGTCCGTTCTCGTCGGCGTACGCCTGGGCCTCATCGGTCTCGACCGCCCGCTTCTGAGCCAAGTCAGCCTTATTTCCGGCTAAAGCTATCACTATATTAGGACTCGCCTGTCGTTGCAATTCCTTAACCCATGTCTTTGCTCGACTAAACGTGTCCTTCAAATGATAAAAAATACAAAAGTTATGTTAATTACAATAACGTTATTATTAAATAAAATTATATAATTGTTGAATACCTGATTAGTAATATCGTACACAACGATAGCCGCCTGCGCTCCCCTATAATACATAGGCGCTAACGAGTGATACCTTTCTTGACCGGCTGTGTCCCAGATCTCAAATTTAACGGTCGTGTCGTCTAAACATACCGTTTGAGTGAGGAATGCAGCTGTCATTCAAATTTTAAAAAATCATTTTCATCAGTCAAAAAAAATCACTTCTAAGGCAATGTTACCTCCAATGGTGCTCTCCTGGTACTCGTGGAACTGTCCCTTTACGAAGCGCAGCACAAGACTTGATTTACCGACGGCTGATTCGCCCAATAAAACCAGTTTGAACTGACATATCTTGCCCTGAGTGGCACCGTTAGGTCGTTGTACACCTCTATTGGCAGACATCACTGCTAATTATTGTCGTTTTTCTTTAAATAAGTTCTTCTATTTAATCTCAATAACACTGACGACTGTAATGAAACAAAACAAATGAGAAAACATCGATAAATATAACGATTAATAATTAATTCAATAAATTATATATAGTTTTATCATTTGTTAGCAATTCAGTCATACGTTCAATAAATAAATAAATAAATAAAAATCTGTATTTTTAGTAACATTTCCTTTAATTTTATAAATAATTAATTGTTTAATCAAATAATTGTTTCGTCAATGAGTTTAAACGGTTTGACCGATTGCTAACAATTGCCATTTAATTTGATCCGTCGGTGACATTGCAATAGATGAACAAATGTAGGCAACAATTGTCTCAATTTTTAGTGATTGTCTGTTAGTTTAATGATTATATTAACTAATTTAAAACAAATGTGTGAAGACTGACTGTCTGACTGATTGTTAAGCAATGGCGACAAATTGGTGACACTTCTGTACTTCACAACTGATTTTGAGCCGACAATCAATTTGAGTCAATACTGTTGGCCACACAAGCGATGTACGGATCAATTGGTGGAAGCGGTTGGTTGGGTGACAGCAGACAAGTTTTGGATGAGATGTATGATAACAGTGCTGTCGAGTGACACCTCTTTTGATAGACTAAGTGACGAAATGGCGACCATTTAATGCATACACTCTGTACTCAATGCCATTCACTTAACATTACTGACAGTACAGTGCAGTCAACACAAGTGTCACTACATATATATATTGTAACAATTGGTTGTATGTATTGGCCATTCAGTGGCCGCACGAGTGGACAGTCAACTGGTCTTACCTTAAGATGACAATCGTCGGTGCAGATGATGTCCAACGCGATGGTCTGGCAGTCGGATGGTATGAAACGTCAAACAAAAAAATCAAGTGTTTTGTTGTTATGTTTTAGTCGTCGCAGTAATCGATGGTTTGCTGTAGTGTTGTGTCAAACACTGTGTGAGTCTATTGACTATACATTACATTCAATGCATTGAAATACTCTTGTATTATATCATATGAGTAGAGTTCGGACAAATTTCCATTAGAGGGATGTTTCCTAATAAAATCCCTCCAATTTTCCCTCCCTATCCATTTAGAAAGGAAAATATATTTTATATTTCTGCTATAAATAATACCAAAACTTTTTTTTTGTATAAAATTTTATTAAAATATTTAAAATTAAATGAATTTAGTCATACTATTTAACAATAACACTCAAAATACAATTTAATACAATATTTGTTATTCAAATCTTATAATAAAATTTGTTGTTTAGAGTTCATTAGGTGGTAGCACAAGGAAATAGATTCCCTGGGAATTCCAGTGAACAGTAAAAATAGGGAACTTTTGAAAAATAAGACGAGGGATGGAATTTACTCCAACCCTACATATGAGACACAAACAGCTAAATGACGGAGCATTTTATGAGTCACTCAAACACGACATGACTTACTATACTATACATACAAAACCTATTAATATATACATACTATACGTCCAAACAGTCTATTATATACTGTATTTAAATGTATACAACAAGTAGTCATCAAATTGACATTAATTGGTCCACAAAAAGACAAATTGAGTGCAATTATTGCATCTCTCATATAATATAACCATAACTTTGACATTAATTTAAACTATAAGTTAGTTTTATTGTTATATAAATTATTTATTTTTTAATCAATTATTTTTTCAATCAATTTCTATTAATAGTATTTTTCTAATAATAAACAATTTTTGTTTGTTTGAACAAATTTTTATGATTAAACTTTGTTGTAAATTTGTTAGCATGGTCAAATTATTCAATTTGTTAGCATGGTCAAATTATTCAATTTGTTAGCATGGTCAAATTATTCAATTTGTTAGCATGGTCAAATTATTCAATTTGTTAGCATGGTCAAATTATTCAATTTGTTAGCATGGTCAAATTATTCAATTTGTTAGCATGGTCAAATTATTCAATTTGTTAGCATGGTCAAATTATTCAATTTGTTAGCATGGTCAAATTATTCAATTTGTTATGGTCAAATTATTCAATTTGTTAGCATGGTCAAATTATTCAATTTGTTAGCATGGTCAAATTATTCAATTAGCATGGTCAAATTATTCAATTTGTTAGCATGGTCAAATTATTCAATTTGTTAGCATGGTCAAATTATTCAATTTGTTAGCATGGTCAAATTATTCAATTTGTTAGCATGGTCAAATTATTCAATTTTGTTAGCATGGTCAAATTATTCAATTTGTTAGCATGGTCAAATTATTCAATTTGTTAGCATGGTCAAATTATTCAATTTGTTAGCATGGTCAAATTATTCAATTTGTTAGCATGGTCAAATTATTCAATTTGTTAGCATGGTCAAATTATTCAATTTGTTAGCATGGTCAAATTATTCAATTTGTTGGTCAAATTATTCAATTTGTTAGCATGGTCAAATTATTCAATTTGTTAGCATGGTCAAATTATTCAATTTGTTAGCATGGTCAAATTATTCAATTTGTTAGCATGGTCAAATTATTCAATTTGTTAGCATGGTCAAATTATTCAATTTGTTAGCATGGTCAAATTATTCAATTTGTTAGCATGGTCAAATTATTCAATTTGTTAGCATGGTCAAATTATTCAATTTGTTAGCATGGTCAAATTATTCAATTTGTTAGCATGGTCAAATTATTCAATTTGTTAGCATGGTCAAATTATTCAATTTGTTAGCATGGTCAAATTATTCAATTTGTTAGCATGGTCAAATTATTCAATTTGTTAGCATGGTCAAATTATTCAATTTGTTAGCATGGTCAAATTATTCAATTTGTTAGCATGGTCAAATTATTCAATTTGTTAGCATGGTCAAATTATTCAATTTGTTAGCATGGTCAAATTATTCAATTTGTTAGCATGGTCAAATTATTCAATTTGTTAGCATGGTCAAATTATTCAATTTGTTAGCATGGTCAAATTATTCAATTTGTTAGCATGGTCAAATTATTCAATTTGTTAGCATGGTCAAATTATTCAATTTGTTAGCATGGTCAAATTATTCAATTTGTTAGCATGGTCAAATTATTCAATTTGTTAGCATGGTCAAATTATTCAATTTGTTAGCATGGTCAAATTATTCAATTTGTTAGCATGGTCAAATTATTCAATTTGTTAGCATGGTCAAATTATTCAATTTGTTAGCATGGTCAAATTATTCAATTTGTTAGCATGGTCAAATTATTCAATTTGTTAGCATGGTCAAATTATTCAATTTGTTAGCATGGTCAAATTATTCAATTTGTTAGCATGGTCAAATTATTCAATTTGTTTTCTATATGTAATACTTGTATATTGTGTTCATTATGTTTGATGTTTAATAGGTGTATTGATTATGAATAATGTAATACTGTATATCACATATACTACTGTATAATATAATTCTTGATATAATATTAATAATACTGTAATTGAAATATTTTGTTGTGTATATGTATTATATGCCATTAATTATAAATTATAGCAGAAATAATTAATTTTTAAAGTTTTATATTTATCTATAGGAATATACTGTACATATTTTTTTTAATGCCATATATAATATTTATTTACTCTATAACAATATACACAGTATTATCAATCATAATATTTAAAATTGTTTTATAATTAATTGTTTCTAACATTTGCATCATTAGAGATAATGACAGCAAAGTTCGTGAATTTTAATTATAAATCATAAATAATAAGTATATAATAGCAACAAAATTATTAAATAACAAATAGATAATATATAATTAGATTAATACTAAATAATTATAAAATGACATTTTATTGTTAACATTTCATTTGTTAATATATCACACAATATTTTTTTGTTGTTGAATACCATAAGTAATATAATTATAATATATGAGATAATTATTTGTTAATTTAAAATGTGATTATTATTATTATTGATATATTGATTGATGATGATAATTTCATTGATTCATTAATCACATAACAATATAATCATTATAAACTGATCTTTAGTAGTAGTTATTAGTTTTTTACTTACCGGTATATATAATTTTAAATATTATTTATCTTAAAAATATAAACTCAAGAGTAGACCGTTTTATTCCGGATGTATGCCTCCCATAGTAGTACTTCCCCTTTGATACTAATAATAAAAACAGATAAAAATTAATTTGTCTTATCAGTTAGGAAAAGTGTTTTTTTATAAAAATAAACTATTGATGTTTTTATTAAATTTAAAATATTTTTTATTGGATTCATATAAATTGTTAAACAGATATACAGTAATAATAATAAGCAAATATTGAAAAAATTAAGAAAATTAATGTACTGTATATAAAATATGGCACAAATTCATACATAATATAAGAATTGACATATATATGTGATATATATGATATTACTATTTTTTCAATATTACTAATAATACATTTTAATTATAAATATATATTTATTTCTTATAATTTAAATTAGAAAACTTTGATAAACTCTATTATTAACATATTTGTTATATGTTTAATAATATGTATAGTTTTTTTAGTAAGTTTTACTATTATAATTAGTTAACCATTTTATAGGAATATTCTGTTAAACTTATAAGTGTATTGGTTTTTAAATTAATTTAAAATTAAAAAATTAATTATTGACTAGAAGTTAAAAAAAGTTTAGATTATAAATAAAACATTAAATCAAAACTTAATTAGTAATTAAAAATTTGTAAATAATGATTTAATTTGCACACCAAAACATATATAAATAATAATTACCGTAATGTAAATTCAAATTAAATATTATTTTTAAATATAAACAAAAAAATGTTAATTTTTAAAATATAAATTATTAACAATTATTTATAAAATTATAGTTAATTTACAAAAGATTTGGATGAATAAAATAATCAAATATTATAATATTAAAAAATTATTATATAATGTAAGTGTTTTATCAATAATTTTAACTATAGATTCTAAAATGATATGATAAGTAAAATGAATAATGATTTTTAAAATGAAAAAACTTAAATTTATAAATATAATTATACATTATATATAAAATATTTGTAAATCACATCAAATTTAATAACAAAATTGATTATTTTGCAAAACCAAACACAAATTTAGGCACTTTTTGTAAAATTTATTATTGGCTGCCAAATGAATTAGGTAATAGTCAAAAGTTAATTTTATAAATCTTGCATTAGATTTGTTATGTGTGTCGACACACACACAGCATATGGGAGCTGCACTCCGGAAGGGCATCGCTTGTTGTTTTAGGGCTCACAGGACTGATCTCACGCTCGGTGTGTCGTCATTGAGAGCCCAACTCAGTGGAGTATCTGTGTATTCAAACGGACGGACCGTTTTTTTTTTAAATAATATTCTGTCTCTGTTGTGATTGTGTCGGATTAGTTGCCATAACTTTGTTAACAAAGTTGACGATAGCAGAGGCCGGTTGGTCGGCGTCGTACTCGGCAAACACGTGACACTGATTATCCGTTTTGCTACCAGTTTTTCGGGCAACGAATCCAAATATTATACTGTAATCATAGTATAATAGTATTAAATCTTATTGTTTGATTTTAAGGCTAAAAATATACTGACCATTGACCAGAAGGCAAAGGAATGGCTTCGATTTGGTGTTTCCACTGTCGACAGTCCGGATCTATTCCACAAAAACTTATTGATATCAATGGATAATGTCGTCGAAAGAATAGTCTGTTAGAAAAAAATATAGTTTAATACAAATAAATGAAAAACATATGGATTAATGTCAATACCGGTGATGATTATCTGTCAAAGTTATTCCTTTAGCCGACACTTTAAAGTGAACAACAGTAGGCATGGGTTGCGGTTTCATTGAAATCATTTCAGTAATTGCTTTTCGTAATGCCTGAGGACCTGTCAGTGATTCCATGTCAACGGTGACCAAATATAATATATTACAGGCGGCCCCCTCTGCCAGCAGTGTTGCCGAAGAATCACTCGTCAAACTGTTCATTATTGAGTCGACTGATAGGTCACCCGATATGTCAGAGTTGGGTATTGTAAGTTTACAGGGAAGAGCCATTGGTGTTACCGAATGTTGGTATACCAGAGCTGATAGACTGCCAAATGTTGGTTCATTGGGACAACCTTTAAGTCTAACCCCTTTAGATGTGGGCTCTATAAGGAAATGGCGCACCAATTCGCTAGAGATGTCACCTAAATATTTCAATTTTATGATTAGGTGTTTGTGTATTCAAAGATATAATAGTATTAAAAAATTATACCCGTTTTTGTCTGGACATTAGGCGGAGGAGTAGCGACTTTGAGTGCCAAACCAAAAGCACCGGGAAATGAGTGACTGTCTCGGACTATGAAAGTTCCACTGGTTTTGTCTCTCAACATATTTATTGCTAAATATATTTCAAATATATATAAAATATATAAATAATTCAATCATATCTTCAAACATCAATTATATAAGAGACATACCATCCTCTCTAGAGATGTTAGGTTTATACCAATAACTGGACGTGTCTTTAATGAAAGTCGGGTGCTGTGTAATCACTTCCGATTCATTAAGCGATAATAAGCTCGATCTCTGGGATTGTCCGTAATATATTGAACCTCCGGGTGATCCGGGCTGTGAGTCTCGGTTCTGTTCATTTTGTCCATTCATATACAATGGACTTTGTGTTTGCTTTCTATTACCAAAAGATATCATTTAGTAAAACATTTATTTTGTTAATTCAAATAAAACTTTAACCAAACTTTGCTTTTAATAATACAGTAAAACAAAAATTGACAAAATTTAAAGAAAATAAAAATTAACTAAAACAAATGAAAAAACAAATCTAATAATAAATTCAAGCAAACAAATAAATTTCTATATATGGCTATGAATACAAAAAATGAATTATAAGTTAAATTTTGTGATTAATGAATTCAAACTCATACCTCCCATACCTCCCACACCTAAAGCAAACAGTAGAGCAGTCAGACCAACGATTGTAATAATTTAATTGTAGCGAACAATTAGGACAAAGCAATTCACTTTTCAATTGCATAATAGAGTATTGGTTTTCATTTTAATTAGTGAATTAGGCGTTCATTCAATTAAATGTTAGTTATTTTTAAAAGTTTATGGAAATTTGAAACAATAAATTATATATAAATAGCTATATCTAATGTTTGATTTATAATAATATAATGTTATATAAGAAATACCTGAATAAAGGTGGACTTCTTGACATTTGATTGACATAAGGAGTGCCCGGAGTAATTGGAAAGCCCGGCGTTTCCGGTCTATCAGAATTAGGACTACCACTGCCTACAAATGACGGCGACCAAGAAGTCGGTGCTTCGGTTGCGCTCTTTTTTACAAACAATTTATGTTACAATCAGTAATTAAAATCAAATTTATAGACAATTACTTTGTAAGAAGGAGTAGAGTGTTTCGGACGCACAGAATCCACTTCATCAACAGCTTGTGTCTGCATTAAGAGGCCATCTTTGGCGTCGGGTATATAGACTTGATGTTGATTGTATGGATATACACTTCCGTATATCGATGGCGAAGTAGCCATTTGTTGCGGTGTTGGCTGCGATTCGAAGAACACTTGTCTGGCATCTTGATGTACCCGTTGGACGGCCACAAAAGGTCGTTCCCTATCATGAGTAATGTCTGAATTTTGGCGCTGAAGCGGCCGATCAGAGTCTTGCCAAATGTTTTTGCTTGAGCTGCGCGCCGGTATATAAGGTGATGTTCGAGTGTTTCCTTTGTACGGTGTCTTTCCATTAGATGTATTTATATGAAGAGGCTGTGAATAAGGAGGAGATGACTCTCGCGAAGAGTCTTGTGATGGTATTCTTTTGGCAACAGTTTTAAATTCTTGAATGAGTTTCTGTTCCTTCCAATACCTCTCTTGCATAGACTTTCCCTCGTGTTTTGACCGTAGTTTGAGTTGTTGTCTCTGAAGCCAAGTGAGAGGAATGCCATCTTCACTGAATGTCTCCTGATATGAAGAGGAAGCGTAATCACTAAACACGTCGTCCGCATCTCTCGGCTCAGTCTCGACTACACCCTTAGGCACTGTATTTTCGGTCACATAAGCGGTTGATTCAGACACTACTCTTCGTCTTTGAAGAGCTGGAGAACTGGCTGTTACTCCATATGAAAATGGTTGACTTTCTGGTGTTCGATAAGGCCTCTTGTCATCGGAACTCTGGGATATTGGTTTTGTGAGAAAACGTGTTTGAATGACATCAGGACTAGTAGTAGTAGTTTGACCACTGCTTCCATTAAACAAAGATTTTGGTGAACTATATTCACTATGTTTTTGGCTAAAACTGGGAGTGTTTGATGTTCTTGTAATTGAAGAGTAATGGTTAGTATCAGATGATGAGCTATGTGTTGTAGTTGACGTTGATTTACGAAGTGTGGCACTCGGGTGGTCCGGGAATGACTGCACCTGTTCTAACATTCCACTCAATAGTTCATCCAACTCCTGCTGCTCTTGAGTTGTGGGTCTGTTAGGTGGTCTGTCGTCACCATTTTGGTGATGAATTTCTACTTCGACATTAATAGGTGATGGATAACCACTAGAACCTGAGCCACCATTAGTATTGCCTGTATGTCCCATATGGTGTGGGTTTCCAGAAACAGTTGAAGATATTCCTGAGTCAATGCTAACAGTATGTGGTCCATCATCACTGGCATTGTCTGCACTTGAATTGTTTGGCAAAGAGAAAGTCACCGGAGATTTTTTGCTTCCACTTTTAGCTACTGTTGCGTATAGACTACCATCGATCGGACCATAAGTATGGGAGGGATTGTTCAGTTCAGCGGCAAATGCATCCAATTGTGGATCGGGTTTGTCCTCTGGTGACAAATCAAAGTTCTCATATGAATCCCATTTGACAATTGAGTCGTGAAGAGCTTCGTCAACAATAGGAGTGATGGCATCGCTTAGCGAACCGTTTTGTGGCCTATTTTCTGAGGAACTGTTGAACAAAATTTCGATGAATCCGTCGTTTGGGAAACGACTTTCAGCCATTCCGTTATCCAACTCATCCTTATTATAAACAAGTCTGTCGTGTTCAAGAGTACACGTGTGAAACTGTATCCGAAATATCGGTACTCTTCCCGGAGGACTTTGCCTTTTATGATAACATTTTATCAAAATATCTCCTCTTAATTGGAGACTTGGATTCAATACAATAAATATCTTCTTTGCTCTGCCATCAGTGGCCGAGTAGATGCCTGTCCTGTAAATAGTGTGCATTCCTTGATATATTTTAAGAAATGGACGACAACCGCCTCTTTGGTCATAATTAGGAATTCCATGAATTATAATATGATGAAGAAATAGTGGATTGTTATTCATTTTAATGGTACCGGAAAGTAATCCAGAAAAGTATTGAACGTATCTGTTATCAAAAGTTTAACGAAATTATATTAATTTTAATCGATATAAAAGTCTAATTCATGTGTCAGACCTTCTCTGTGATGGTTGCATATAGTAATCTAGTTTGTCGTCATAGAAGCGCTTCATAGCGAACCTGTCGAGCGCCTGGTCAGCGGTGGCACAGATATTGGTGTAGTGCATGAACGCAGCTATTACTACACCTGTCCGTCCATTGTCACCCTTTGAGTGAATGACAGCCACGTGTTGGTTGTCGCACGTGAGCCACGAATCAATGGCCTTACAGATAGAGCAGAGTCTCTCAAGAGGCGGTGCAAGATTCTGGTGCCAACCAAACTCACATATATTGGGATTCAATTTAATCAAATCGTTTCGACGTTCACTCAAATTGAAAACCATATACTTGTTCTTGTGTTTGGTCCGAAACATCTGAACAACTTCTTTCAGATTTGCCCGATATGTGCCACTTGTGCCCGAATCGGGAAATGTAAGCGCTTGAGATAAAAGTAAAAATTCATTAATTAATTTTTAAAAATATCTTAAATTATGTACTAATGTAAAAATATGTGTTAATAATGTATGCCTACCGATGATGCGTTCGGTAACGTAAGTGATGTCCATTACAAACGGTGGATAATGTGATGATTTGTCCGCTAAATTAATCGTTCGGATCGATCGCTTGTTGTCGTCGTTAACAATCTGTTTCGTTGTTGAATTGCTTTCACTTGTCGTATAAGAAGTCGATGCAAATGATGTCTGATTTAATGGTTTTTCGCTAAACTGTTGTACAAGAGTTTCATCATTAGAATCCATTTTTTTTTTAAAAAAAAGGTTATATTAATTAGTGATTTTAAGTTGCAATTGGTGTGCAATTTGCATATAATTAGTATAGTGTAAATGTTTTTAAATAGCAAACTATTAAATTATATAACAGCAAACTATATCATATTATTTTTTCAGTGATTTGTTTATTAAAGATAATTTATGTCATCAATTGAGACAATTGATAAATAAAAACTATTTTTTCACATATCATTAGGTCAAGGATTTGATCAAATGTATAGAAAATTATAGTCAAACAAAAGTTTATTGTTTTAAACATATAAAAATCAAATCAAATAAAAAAAATATGACAAACTATTAAATTATCAACTTATATGTTGTTTAAGTAATACTATATCTAATAAATTGCACTATTTTTCATTTTAGTATCAAATTAAACATTTTCATTGTATTAATATAAATATCAAACTAAAAATATTTATCATCAATAAAATAATATAGTTTGCTATTTCAAAGTCTTTAATATTTATCTAATCAATTGTCGTATCAAATAATAAATTATGTAAACCTTAGGCTTACATGAGTTTATGCATGTATTACTATATATTTATATTTAGAAAATTTCTTATTATATGTATTAAAGATATTTCATTAAATAATTTTCACCTATTTTTTATCAAAATTGTTATAATTCTTAATAACAAAATTTCATTATTTATAAAACTCTTTTGTATTTACAATAAATAAGAGCTTAATAATTGATAAAAAAATTATCGTTGATAATAAACATGTCAAATACATATACTGTACATATATTTTTATTTATTATTTTTTTTTGTAATATGAATAAATTAGAAATTCCAGTTGATTTATAAAAATGACAAATAATATATTTTTAAAATATATATTAATAGCTTTTTTCAAATGAAATATTTGCTAAAATTTTGAGAGAACAGCAAATTTTGAAATAACTTTTTAAAACAAATGTTTATATAATTTTAAGAAAAGGATTGGCTTTTAAAAACAAATCTAAATTACATTTTCTTAATATAGAAATGTGTGTTCAATATTTCAAATATATTTATTTAAACAGTAAACCTATTTCATCACTATTTATGGAAATAATTCACAACATATTGCATTCATTTATTATTTATTGCTATTATTTACTTTACAAATAGTTTTCTAAATAAAAATTTGTTTATTATTTTATAGAAATTTAATTATTTTGGATGAAATGAAGGTAAGTCTGGGCAATAAGGAAATGCTTGAGAGTGTCGGTGCTATACTTGGATTAACAAATTTAACAAAACAACACATTTGTGGACCAATGAGTATGTGGTCCTATGGATTGACTAATTTGCAAAAACTATAAATTTAGAGACAAATATATAAAAAATACTAATTTTGTCAACAAATCTAACAATATATTAACCAAAAATGCATACTTCAGTATTTTATATTACTGTATCTAATATTTTATAGTCATTGTCAAAGTGTCTCTTAAATACAACTACTACTTAAATAAGCACTTGTAGTAAATATATATTATTAGATAAAACGATGATATTTTCAGTTTGTATAATCAGTGCTGAAAAGTGTACTCTCATTGTATTATGACTTTTCACTAGTAATGATAGCAACAGATCGTTTATGGGGCCATATATATCTCAAACACAAACTATAGACTATAGTAGGGTTTGGGATATTTATTAATATAGCAAAAGTTGTTTCAGTTGGGATAATGCCATACAATCATCTACCAGTGCACACATTTACTCCTATTCTAAACTAAAGTATATATTATACAACATTTGACGACAGTATATATACAGTATATTAGTATATATATATATATATATATATATGAAAAGACAATTTACATAAATAACTAGAAAAAGCTATAAAATACTGTATATATTTATCGTACAGCAAAAAGTAAGTGCACCGGGAGTTTATATGGCATTGTGCCAAATGAAACAACTTTTGCTTATTGTTTCAAATAATAGAGACTAATACCTTGTTTTTATAAAGCATTCTCTGCAAGTATTTCTTTCAAAGTAAAGTATAAAATCGTTTTCATTAAGATATACTTAGCATTACTTTTATAATTATTAATATTTATTAATCATTTAGATTTTGATATTTATATTGACATAAAATATTAATACAAAAATTTCAAATAATACAAGAAATACAATATATGTGTAACGCATGTGCTTTACCTCATACTTTGTAAGTATGGTTTTTATTAAGTATTTGAAGTCTACTTTCTCTCAAAGTTTTGTGTTTTTGCTAACTTTAAAAGTAAAGTATAAGTAGTGTTTTTATTAAGAAATTTTGAAAATACTTTGAGAGTTTTCTTTATGAAAACAGGGTATAAGGAATGGGTTTCTGTTTGAAAAGTCATATTAAATGCTAAACTTAACTCACATATACAATAAACATTCAAATTATATAAATATAAATGTTATTATTGAATACAAATCTGTCACTACAGATAATAATGAATTTAATATCATAATTGACAATAATAACAATAATCATAATCTTTAATGTATTTAACACGAGTGCAATAACAATATTGTAAATTACAATTTGTAATATAATTAATTAGTACAAAAACTTATTTTTTTATGAAATTATTAATTTAAAAATATCTAATAATTTCTATTCAATTTAATTTAATTTAATTCAATCTAATTTAATTCAATACATAATAATCAAATAACTAATTCAAAAAATGCTAAGATTTTGTTTATTAAAATTAATTTTGACAACCATTGCAATCATAGTGAATATCTCAATAGAAAATATAAACAAGTATATTAATGTCATAAAATTATTAATAATACAATTTATTTTAAAAATAATTTTTACCATAATTCATATCAAATAATATGCCCTTAATAGAAGGATGATTACAAAATATTAAACAAATAAAATAATTAAGCAAATATTATCTAGATATCTAAATTATAATTTAGTTATCATATTAAAATATAAAATTAATAATACTCAGCTGTTGTATTGCATACAATAGCAATAAAATGTTGAAATTGAATTGATAGTTATATTTAATTATAATGTATAATTTTGTCACAAATTCACTTATTTTCTATCAAAATTATTGTTTAACGTTAAACATTTGCATAAATCAAATATGGATTTAGTAAAATAAACATATATTTAATCCCATAATCTTATTTTTGTTTAATTTTCAAAACAGTTCATTAGAAATATTATGCTTTTCATAGAATTGTTAATAATATTTTTATTATTCTACTGTATATATATTTATATACTGTATTATTAGACATATATATATATATATAATCAATGACTTATTTGTTTAGTTCTAGTGATAGGTAATGATTGAAACTTTGATTATTGAAACATATGATAAATATTAGTCTACATTTCATAAAATAGCTAATCTTTTTTTACATTAAGTCACATCTGTTAATATTATATATACAGTATATACTTGAAAATTAATGTGTAATGCACTCGATATTATGCACTCAAAACAGTTTAAAGTCCAATGGTTTTGCTTACCATAAAATATTCTTATAGATAGAAATATTTATCTTTAGGTCAAACTTAGGTTTTTTTGGTGGAATATATAGATTTCAATGTCCAAGTAATTTGATGTAATTATATGAATCAATAAAAGTGATTTTCATAATACTCTTACCAAATGGGTTTTATTTAGTGATGATTTAATAACAGGATTTAAGACTGGCTTAGATTCAAGCCTAGGCTCAGACACCAAATCAATTGCTTGTCTGACTCTTGTCTCAGATTCCTTTAAAATATAAAGTTTATGTAAAGTTATTTTTATAAGATTTAAACAAAATAATTATAATATAAATATATATATAAAAGATGTATTGTTTGTTAGTTTTCAAATTCTTGCTCATTAGCCATAAGTTATAGCATTGTTTTAAAACTTAATTATAAATCAAGTAATAAGCATTACATATATACATAAATACATTTAAACATATAGTTGTTAACGTCTAAAGTTGTGAAAAAATCAATTAGATTTTGATGTTAGACTAAACACACATATTTTACACTAAATGTTTATTAAATAATTTTTTTAAATAAGCAAAAAATGACTTTTGATGTAAAGTTTATATAATATTTATGCAAAAGATGTTCAGTTCATAGACATGATATTTACGCCACAAATCAATATTATATTACTTATTATTATTCTCAATGCAAACTCTTTACTTATTATAATATTTTTTTAAAGTAAAAATTCTAAAATTATTTAACTATTATAAAATAAAACTTACATAAGAAATAATAAACAAACAAAAAATATTTCATATTTTCTTTTGTTCACATATTTATAATAATTGTCATTAGAAAACTTTAAAACCATTCAAAGTGTTTTTCAAGTAATTTTTAGTGTCAAATGTAAACATGAATCCATAAATTTAATAATTAAAATTATTTATTACATTTAATTCAGTGTTATTATTATTATCATTATTATTTATATTATCAAATAAATTGTTTTTTAAATATTTGTTTATTTTCTTGAAAAAAGTCATTACTATTATTATTTCAAAGATTCTGTGCGAAACAAATAGAGGTAAATCTGGGCAATGAGGAAGTGCTTGACTTATATGTCGGTGCTATATATGGATTCAGACAAGTAAAATAACACATTTGTGGACTAATTGAGTGGTTGGGTTGGGTTGGGTTCAACTGATTTACTAGAAAAAAAAAATCTCAAAAAAGTTCAGAATTTGTCAAAATAGATCTAACAATGTGTTGTTTAACCATAAATACTATTTTAACTATTTTATGTTACCTGACTTTATAGTCATTGTCAGAAAGTGTTTCACAATACAACTACTTTTTATAAGCACTTGTACTCTATAAATATATATAATTTACATAATATGTATTTCATATACATATACTAGAAAAATGATGGGATTTTATATTTAGTCAAATAGACTGAAAACTGTACTCTCATTGTACAGTATATGCCATTAATAATGATAGCAACAGATCGTTTATGGGGCGATACTGTACAGTGAATATAATTTGCATAAATAACTGAAAAAATGACATCAAATACTGTATATAAGTTTATATATAGCATTTGAAAGAGAGAGAGAGAGAGAGAGAGAGAGAGAGAGAGCACCGGGAGATTGCATGATGTTGTGCCAAATGAAACAACTTTGTCTATTGGCTCATATGTTTGCTCAAACACTACCGGTATATTTATTTCTGAGATCATTTGAAATATCCTAAACACAAAACTCAATCAAATAAACTCAATACAAACCTTTCAAACAATTATTATAAATATAATTATAATATTAATTGTAAAGATGTGTAAAAATAACTGCGTATAAATAAATATAATTTATTATATGATATAATATACTGGTAATAGTTTTAATAATTAAAAATCAATTTTAATTTTTTAAAAATTTATGCAAAAAACCTTAAGAATTAAATTCTTAATAATCTTAAGACTTATTAAGAATTTAAAGACTTAAATATAAAAAGGTTTTAAAAATTCTTATTACATTAATTTTAATAAATAAAACCAATAAAAATTATTTTAAAAAATATAAACATAATAAATATGAATCTTTTATTTTTTTTTAAATAGTCTGATAAATTATCATGTATTAATAATGTAATTTTCAACATTGATGTTAACTACAGTACTTGGTGTCAAATAAAAACACTAAATTAATTTTATTGTTTCGTTTTTATTAAACAAAAATACAATACAAAGTTTAATAAAATATAATATTGGTTTATGATTTATTTTTTATAATGTTATTTAAACTTATGAATTTTTTAATAGTGCAATATTTTTAACATAAATTAAGTTACATTATGTAATTACGTTAAATTAAATAATGTTATAGATATAAATAAAAGCGGAAAGCATTGTATAGCTTTTTAAATATAGACTACCATTAGCTATCAAATAGATTAGTATCGCTATAAAGTACAGTACAGTATATTTACTGTATTATACATTATACAGTATTGTACAGTATATCGTAAAATATATTATTATTATTAATGACTAGACATATACCTGCATATAAAATTTTTATCTATTTTATTATTATTATTAAACATATTTTATATATATTTCTAATTATATAACAATAATGTAAATATAGTAATCTCTCTAATGTATACATCCATTAAAAATAGTATACAATAATTTCCGGTCCTATTTTTATCGCTTAATCTGTTTTTGTTAGGAATCTTCAAAACATTTTTTATTAGAGATTTATTTATGTATTTTCAAAGAAATGTTAATAATATTGTCATATAACGTAATGTACCATAAATTATAAATAATAGTGTTGTTATAACTTGTAATAAATTTAAATAAAAATTTACGAGTTTACAAAAAATGTGTAAAATTTGGTGTTTATTGCGTTTATAAATTATATTGCTTTTTATCACAACTTCTATAAAAATCTTTTTTTTATTTTTTAAACGACAAAAACGAATAATAAATAAATAAATATCTAAATCAATATCTATTTAGCTATTTATTTAGATATTTTAGTTTTAAAATGATTCAAATGGCAACAAAATTTGATAATAAATAATAAGTACAAACTAAACAATAATAAATAATTTAGAGAATTTCTTTTAAAAAGTTTAATGAAATAATTTTAATATTTCACTTTATGTGTTAACAAATTTTTTGACCAAAAACATAGTCGACAAGTAATAGTAATCTGTATAAGAAATCTACGTTAAGAGTGAGTCCATTCAAAATTTTAACTGAAATGTATGTCTGCTTTATCTCCAATTTGAGTGTTTGATTACCAGTGTATTCAATGAATGAGAGATATAGAGTACCAAAAAAAAATCCTGAGCTCAGCTCTGGTATGGGAAAGAAAGCGCCAAAACAAGCAATTGAAGCAAAATAAGTGAAGCACTGGTAGAACACATATATCTTAAATGAGGCATTCATTTAATGGTCTGACTTATATAACTTAAACGCAAACTACTTTATGGGACGCATTCCCCTCACATGTCTAACTGCAAGACAACACAACAAACTTCAATAACTGTCAACTTTGGCTTCAAATTTATATATAACTTCAATGAATAAACTATTCGCTAAATTTCGAGAATAATTCTAAATAAATCTTTTATTTGAATTATTATTTTTTTATTATTATTATTATTACTGGTATCCACAATCATAAGTAGTATATAGCCTCTAGAGATAACCTTACGATTGGTCTATATTTATGTTATAAATGTTTTGTCAGATAAAACTTGACTTATATATCATATATGTACATTAAAAATTAGTTTCATAATATGTTTATGTTTATATAATTTAGTTTATACTAAAAATTCAGTATATAATATCTTATCAAATTTATTTATATCATTATATTCTCCTACGCTATTGATATAATTGATAGAATATTTTTGCTGAATTTGGATATATATATATATATATTATTAATAACAAAATTATATTATAAATTATAGCTTACGATTCAATTATCATTATTACATATAATTATATTATATTACACATATAATTGCATAATTTTTTATCATTAATTTTATACTTCCTCTAAAAAAATATTCACATACCAAAACATTTATATAAGCAAAATGTATAAATTTTAAATGTTTTTGTTATTTAAGTAGATTTTTATTATTGTAAATAAAAGTTGATGTTTTAATAACACAATTTCCAATAAAATTAATGCCTTTTCTAAAAAAAGTATTTTTATTAAACTAGTTAAATATACTCCAGGATATGAGCTAATTTGTTCATCAAGTATTAATCTAATCAAATCTGAAATAAAAAACAATTTTAAAAAAATAGTAATCAAAAAAATATTAGACATATTAACCGTTTGTAATTTCAACTATAAAATTATCGCCAAATTAAAATAATAATAATAATTTTTATTTTTCAGTTAGATTTTATATGAGTTTTCATATACTAGAAAGTTTATATGAAAAACAAAATACTTAAATATCAATAGTTATTATATTAATGTAACATAAAATACTGTGATTTGAATAAATATCCTTGATTAGTATATATTTTTAATTATCATATAATATCAAAATAATATCAAATTATATTATAATTACAACAAACTATAAATATTATACATGTAATACAGTAATTATCACATATAAAACAGATTTTTATATAAAATTCATAAAACATTGACCATATTTGCCGTTATTTAGTAAATTAAATGTTTGTGTAAAAAAAGATATATTTAAAAAAAACTTGTAATGTATAACAATATTGAAGAGTAAAATGCGAAGAAATGAACACTTTTCTATATAAACGTGTGTTTAAATAAATTAATCAATAAAAGTGTCAATAATTGATTAAATGTCATCAATTAAAATGGTTTGAAATTACTGTTTGTTATAAACTACTTGTGAACTCACTTTGGCTGACAATGTATTGAGTTTTATATAATAGTAAATTTTTGGTATTATAAGTTGAATGTTTTTTTATAAATAACATTTAACTAGTTTTATGCCAAAAACCAATGTAAAAAAATCAAATGAAAGTTTTTATTTCAATTTTATATCAATATTATGTGATATACAAGTAATAAAAAAAAACTTTGAAATAATTAATGTACATATACTGTACATATTCAGATATACTGTATATATACAATAATATAATGTAACAAATTTCATTATTTAAACCAAAAAATATAGTAATAAAACATTACTATAATTTTTAACAGTGTTTTGATACAAAATTACTGTATTATAAAAATAATTCATGTTTTACTATCGTTTCAGAAATGGTTTAAAAATGAGACATAATTTAAAATAGTTTGTGAAACAAATCTTTATAAATTATTTTACTTGTTTAACACATGAATATATATACTGTACATAATATATATAAATTTAAACTAATAATAAATATCAAGAATATGTATAATTACAACACCATGTCTTGTAGCAGAAAAACCACAACTAATTTATATAAATCTCACGTAAAATAGTACTTAATATATGTTAAAGTTTGTGCTTTTGGGGCATCTTTTCAAACAATAATTCACTATTTATTTATCAAACTATAATACAGTATATATACTGTATTAGTGTCTGTCTGTCAGTGAGTTACTATAAGGCAACAAAAAACATATTATTTGATAGTTTATTGAGTTTAATAATTGTATAATCAGTCCGTTAAAAGTCTAGTTATTTAATTATTAAATGAATGTTTTATTATTGTAATTATATAAATTTTTTAACCAATAATTATAATACAGTATATTATTAATTTAATAGTACATACAATTTCCCTTAATTTAGAATACATCAAATATAGTGATAACTTTTTTAAAGACTAGTCAAACTAAATTAATATCTCAAACATTAGATAAACATATGCTAAACCATAAGCAGCTCATAAAAAAATTATTTATTTTTTTCTTAATAAAATTTCATCGCATTTAGCCCTAACACCTGTCAAATTGTGATAAAACCTAATTATATAACAGGAAAAATAATTTAATCAAAATTAATATATATTTTTGACACATAACGAAACTTTTATGTTTTTTTCGAGACACAAATCATCAAAAATATTAACAAAAAAGTCGATTATTTGAAAAGTTTAGAACGAGTGAAGTGCTGACACAAACTTGATGTGAGAAAACACCTCAAGATTTGAGATCAAATTCACTGATAATAATAATAGGAGGCAATCAAATAATACATTTTTAAATTTACTGTTTTAATAAATGAAAGTTTTTTAGATGTTAAATATTATACAATTGAGATGTTAAATAGCATTACCAGAATAACTTCTAGATACTATATCTAATTGTTGTCTGAACTGTTACATTTATCACATACTATTACTCTTTAACCACACTATTGATATGAATATATTTGTCGGTCAAATAAGTTAATACTAATCTAATTTTATTACTTTATCCGAATCTGAAGTCAAAATTTGAAAATTTACAAAAATGCAAACAAACAGACAGACACACACATATAGATTTCCGATAACAAAATTTATTGAAAAGTCAAGTGCGAGAGTATTGGGAGTATCCTATAATCAAATATATTTGCCTCGTGTTTGTGATTCAATATGTGTTGAGCTATAAGTACGGTATAATATATAAATTTTTGATATATTGGTAAGCATTCAGAGGCACACATTTTAAGAGCTATTAAAACGATTTCTATTTAGACTCTAAATTTAGAGAGAGAGAGACTTAGCCCTTGCATGTGAAAAGCCATTAAAATGTTATATACTTTAGTAAAAGCTTATGGTCAGCACCACCCATAAATGGCATATCCCATCGCAAACACAAATTGTTAGGCCTTTTGTGTAATTTTTATAACAGAGGTCGGCGTTTATAATGTTATGCTCAATATTGTGCATACAGTACATGCATCTGCTTTTGTAATATTGATGGTATGCCTCCACAGATACATCAGATAGCGGACAGACAGTCAACACATACACACTCACCCACAGACATATATACACACACATAGTATGTATAGTACGTACACAATATTATCAATGCTATCCCACATCGCAAACATCGCGTAAAAATTTTTCGGGAAAAACAAGGGGTGCATTGGAAAAGTGATTTTGAAATGAAAATAATAATAATAATAATAAAATAGAGAAATACATAAATATATAGGCATTCACTTTGAAGGGCAAACACCTATTTTTCAGTGACAGTCATAGTAGATACTACTGAAACCTCATACCTCACGGGTACGGATCCCAGAAATGGTCCGATGGCAGGAACAGCGGCAGTCTGGTGATGGACTGCGAACAATCACTGCCTTCCAGCGCTTTTTGGATCGCCTGCTGGCCCAACAACCCAATACCATACTGTTTGTTGGCTCCGGTGTGTTATGTTGTTGTTGGCACAAGAATTCAATCCGCTATCAAAACAATATATTCAATGCAACAAAAACCCCACTAATAATATAAACCATTGGCTTTACTCCGGTATTTAATACATCCAAATGTTATTATTACTAAATAAATATATACTTTATTTAGATAGGGTTTATGTCATTTGATAATTTTTTTATTTATATAATTAATATCATTATATTAAATAATAATATTAATTATTGAAGCAATTATTGCAGAGATGACCAACACATGTGACACACATACACACAACACTCTATGGGATGTTAAACACACACATCTGTATATATAAATAAATATATAATAACTGAAAAGTGATTCAACAGTCGAGAGTCAAATATGAAAAGTATTTTCCTTTACTTTTTCACTCAAATTTTGTTTCATTTGGTAAACAATTTGCTTACAGAAAGAGAGGTCTTGTTGTTTGGGGTCTAAACATAGCACTTCTGGGGCTAAACTGATGGCAAACATCTGAGACGAGCCATAGGATGGACCTAATAGAGAGGGGTCTCTCACACAACTCTCAATTCACTATTAACCACAACTTTAAACGATTGGACGCAACTATTCATACCATTCATTGCTCTCTCTCTCTCTCTCTCTCTCTCTCTCTCTCTCTCTCTGTTTCAATGAGTATTGCAATAACCAATGAGACCACCGATATATTGACGTAATCAGTGACGAAGTTTTACAAAAATTATATAAAAGCTATAGACTTAACGGTCAATACAGTCAAAGAGGTATAAAAAGAGAGGAATAATCAATGATTTATTGAAAAGATAATGTTTGGTAATAATGATACATACAGTACATTATACTGTATATCACATTCAAATATAGTACAGTACTTCAATCATACATATAAATTACAATTAATGTTAACTTTGTTTCTAATATCAGGTTAATTGGCAAAAATCGAAACATTTATCACCGAAAAACTCGTTTTTGGGATCAATAATCATTAAAGTTTTTTTTTGACATTTTTGACATTTTGTATTTTTCGACATTATATTATAGTTATCTAATGATGTTCATTATCAATATATAAAAATGTTACTCTAAAGTCAACTAAATTATTTTTAATATTAACTAATTATATAATTAAAAATAAATCAGATCTAAAACTAAAATCATTTATCATAGTTAATCTCTCTGTTTGTATACTAAAAAATTGATAATCACGTGCAATAGTAATCGTATTAGTAAACTGTGCTTTGAATACGTGCTATCACTACTGTATTTAACATTTATAAATACTATTACTAATCGCTATTTTAATTTTTTTTAATGTTATGCCAATTATTTCCAAATTATATAATAGTATTAGAATCACGTGAATACAAAAAATACTGAACAACTGTTTAATCAAATATGACTTAAATATATGTAATCAACACATAATAAATAAATGATTGAATTCTATTCAGTATTTATAATACCATACATACATCTGTAGAAAATAAATACCCTATTGTTGTATATATACCGGTGTATTACAAACTAAACCAGTTGTCAAAGTAGAAAGCATTGCCATAACAAACTTTTTCAATGTATATCTTATTATTTAAGTTTGAAGTTTTTATCTTACATACTATTCCCTAACCTATCAAACAATATTACTAACTGTAGAATACTATTTTTTGACAAGAGATTTAAATTTAGTTTTTATATACACTAATAATACTCTACACAAAAATAAAAGCACATAAAACCAGTTGAAAATGCTAAGCCTAGCGTTGTTAGATGAAATCCTGAGCGATATTTTAAATTTTTGTTTAAATATATTTCCAAAAGAGTCAGATAACCCAATAAGGGTACGATAGGAAAGTTAGATTTAAATTGTAGATACAGGTATTCGTAAATATCATATACACTAAATATATATTTTTAAAACTTTGTCCGCCATTATGTCCATTGTTATTAAGAGTTAGGAGGGGTTAGTCCAAAGACATTCCAATTCTATTTTTTATTAAAATATTCGAATAAAAAGTAAAATATTATAAATATTATTAAAAAAAAACGGACAAACAGACAGACAGACAGACAGATATAACGAATTCAAGTTTTGCTAACTTAGAATTTAAAGTTCATGCTTACCAAACAAAAAGTTTAAAACAACACGAAATGCATGATATTTATGATAAATCATATCACATATGATATTTCAAAACAATTTATAACTAATAATTGTGCAAAAAATGTTGGATAAAAATATCAATTATATTTAATAACTAATAAAATAATAATTTACATGTAAAACAAAATTATAAATTAAGTTACAATTAATAGATAATATAATTTAAATACATATATCATATATATATTATAAGTGATAAACAAAAAATGTTTGGCATTTGATGTATGTATTAATGAAATGTGCAAATAATATACAAATAAATCAATTATTATAACATTGAGTGCTATGTATGGCATTGATATAACTTTATGTTAATGTTGTCGGGGATCAGTTAAAAGTGATAGTTAAGAAATGTTTTAATAATACTGCCATTTTGAGCGCACAAACACATATCAAGTGAAAGCACTTGTATGGCATAGCATTGGTATGATAAGCGCCTAACCATTCATTACTGACCTGTTTGTGAATCAGATCTGCATTCATGTGTGTCTTTGCATTAATCTCTGGTCACTTGAGTGATGGACTGGGAGTCCATTTGATGATATGGTGTTTCGGTCGGTGCGGCCAATGGTTGGGTAGCCGTGGATTCCGTTACTATAGAATCAATGGCCAGAAACAGCACAACATTTGTGGTAAAAATAATATTCAAACACTTGATTCACAGTTAATATGAGTTTGCAATATAACTCTGCGTTAAGACTTTAGTTCAACAATAATTGCACACACATTGCAAACATCAACACAATTATTATTACTAACAAACACAACACATGTTAAACCCATACTATACTGCCTACACATTACACATATTACCATTTCTAGTGAATGTTAAGCCCAACCATCAAATCATACCAATCCCTATACGGGTTGGTATATATGTATACATTGAACAACATTTACATTAACCGCATCAGTATTAACACTAAACCATTGATTCACTTTAAGTTGTGGTTCGGTTCTCTCAATTCAAACATAATTTGTCAATATTTATACTGAAAATTATTTTAATATTTTATCAAACAATTAAATCATTATAAATACTAAAACAAGAATAATCAATAGTTTATAAATTACTTATTTTTATTATACATTTAATCTGAAATAATATTAAATTTTAAAAATAAATAAATAAAAACCGAATATCATTTCGATTTTGGTTTAGCTTTAGTTTCAAACTATTATTATTATTATTATTTAGTATTATCTCTAATATATGTATAAAGATTAGTTTTGTCCGATTGAATCAAATTTTCAAATTTAACATTAATATAGCATTATATATATTTAAAGATAAAATTAAAAAACAATATTTTCTATAAAAAGAAATTTAATTGAATTTTAAATGTTTTATTGAATCACAATTAGGTTTAATGGAAAAGGTATGTATAGTATGTGTTTTATATCAGAATATTTTGCCGTTTGTTCAAAATATTTTCTAATTAAGCATTAAAAATTAATAGCAGATAAAATTATATAATAATAATAATAATAATGTTATCACTATTTCGCTAATATCATATTTATTATGGTTTTTAAATATTAACATATTTATGGTATGGTTTGGCACTTAAAAATTGTTTGCAATTTTCAGCTCTACTTTTCATAAGACAACTTACAGTCTTTGATTAGGGTTGTCAAACACCAACACGTTATTAATGTCTTCAAAAATATCTTGACTTTTTACAATCACTGTTTAGGTTGTCCTCAATAAATAGCTCCATAAGCTGAGACTTGCGATGGCTTTCAATGAATTCAAGTGCCAAAAGAGTGTCTTTACCTCTTGCAGTGACTCTGGACTCTGTCATTGCATTCAAACCAAATTTCAGTACAGTTTATAATATAAACGATTGTTTGTATAAAAAACAGTTATGCAATTTTATAGACATATGTTTTGCACATTTATTCCCAATGTTTATTTTTTCAAATAACTAATAGATGATTTTTTATGATTTTGTTTTTAAAAATTGAGAACATATTTTAAAAACCATATTTTATTATTTTTTAATTAAAGTAATTCATTTACTAATTTTTATTTGATTGAAATGAAATATATATATATAAAATAATTTATAAGAAAACTGTCGACAATTTTTGTACAAATTAAAGGATACATTTGCCGAATACTAAATAAGTATATTTGATTATAATAAGATAAAAATTGAATTTTTATTTAATTAAATTATAAATTTCAAAACTTAAAATATTATGGTATTACACAATTTAATATGATAATTTTGAAAATTATAAGTTGTTATTTTAGAAAAAAAACTTTAAAGCATAAATAATTATCAATGAGATTAAAAAAAATATAATTTACTCATTGACAGTATGATTGTGAAAATATCATAAATATATATATATTTTTAATCAAAGTAATACAGTATCTCTTAAAATATTAGTTATGCGTGTACTGTATGTATGTGTGTATGTTATATAAGTTATACATATATATAACAATATGTTTGTGTGTTTGCGTGTTTACACCTTTAAAACAACTATTTTCTAATAAAAGTTTATAAATCTATTGTTTTATTTTAAAGATTGTATTTTCTTATGGGGAAAGTTTTAATTAATTTTAAACGCTTATTCATCAATGATGACCATCGGTTGGGTGATAGGGGAAAGGTATGTAGGAGTATATCAGCTTTTAAAGTATTGATATGGAGACCTACGAAATATTTATTAAACGTGTAAACTTTACACTGTAAGGGACCGGTATAAGGAAAGGTAGACACAATAAAATACAATTATATGAAATGTACTGTACGTTGTGTCGAGGGGTGCGCTAGTCATTTATAATGTTTAGTTGTGTGTGTGTGTGTGTGTGTGTGTGTGTGTGTGTGTGTGTGTGTGTGTGTGTGTGTGTGTGTGTGTGTGTGTGTGTGTGTGTGTGTGTGTGTGTGTGTGTGTGTGTGTGTGTGTGTGTGTGTGTGTGTGTGTGTGTGTGTGTGTGTGTGTGTGTGTGTGTGTGTGTGTGTGTGTGTGTGTGTGTGTGTGTGTGTGTGTGTGTGTGTGTGTGTGTGTGTGTGTGTGTGTGTGTGTGTGTGTGTGTGTGTGTGTGTGTGTGTGTGTGTGTGTGTGTGTGTGTGTGTGTGTGTGTGTGTGTGTGTGATGTATGTATTGACCGCTTTCATCGACTAAGTTTTTTGATAAAATTGATAAATGTATTTATTGTTTTATTTTAAAATAAATTCTAAAGCATTTCTATGTTATTTTCTATGGGATTTCTGAGAATTCAAACTGAGTTAGGTTGGTTTGATGGTTGGTTGATTGTCAGGGACAGGTATGTGAGTTTATATTATGTGAGATTACCCTACTGTAAAGTAATGGTATGGGTATGAGTTGTACGGGACAAAGAGGTACTACTACTACTACTACTACTGTTATATAGTATGGTTGGTAACAATTCTAATGTAATCAATTTTTTTCTCAATGCAAATGTTTTTTGTTGTTGTAAAATGATAATAAAATTTTCAATGTTAATTTTAAAAGATTTTAAAAGTAATATTATATTTTACTATTTATTTATTACCTGTTCTGGATTTTTGCTAAAAAATGCAAATTCAAAACAGATAAATCTAGAAAATATATAGCATTAGGTATAGAATAGCATTAACTGTAGCATTAACTGGTGATATAGCAAATAATAATAATTATTATTATTATTAATAAACAATTAGTAAACAACAATCAAAATCAAAAGCATTTTATTTAATTATTTTTCATAATGAACTCACTTCTAAAAATAATCTGTTATTGTATTTAATACATAGTATTATTATCATTATTACTGTATTATTATTATTATACAGCTATTATTAACTAAATGACTATATTTTTTAATAAACAGAAACAAATTAAATTTTAATTATATTATAATTAATTGAATTAACACAAGAAAAGTAGTTAAAAATCGATATTACTAATACAAAATTTGTTATTTTATTTTAGTTTGTGTTTTTTGAATATTGAAAACTTGTTTTTGTTATCAAATTAATTATATGGCTTAAATGCTAATAATCAACAACAAAATAAAATTTTAATAAATTTTTTTGTTTTTTCCTCGAAAACAAAAACAAATAGAAAATTTATTTATTATTAATTTATTTGCTGTAAAATTTTATGCTATAAATGTCTTAATTTTTTATTTAATCGTTTAGTATAATAATCTTTACGATTTTTCATCATTTATGATAAAAGATAATATACCGGTATATAAATGTATATATCTTTATAAACTACACACAAATAATTGTTGTGTTCTTTAATATGAATTATATGTGTTAAAAATAATAATTTTTAAAAAATAATTTATCATTAAATACATTGTATAGCACTGACAATGAATTTTTAGTATAATTAATCTACTAAACAGTTTCATTAAACAAAGTAATAAATTATAAAAGTTAAGAGTATATAAAATAAAAGTTTATTATTTTAAAAAATAGAATATTAAGGTATTTTATGCACAAATAATACATTTATTATTATAATACTAAAACCTAATAAATGATTATCGCAATTGTCTATTGCTTTTTTAATTTTTTTGAAAAAAATTATATAAATTATTTATTTTTAAAAATGTTATGCCATTCAGGAAATAAAAATGTTTATTTGCATAACAATTTTAAGATAAATTAGACATGTATGTGTGTGTGTGTTAATAAAAAATTGATTGACCAGGACACCAAATAAATTATATGTGATCTGATATGTAAAACTACATTAACATTAATGTGTCTAAAATGGCATTTTGATCTGTATTTAAATGAATTAAGTAAATTATAGTAAACGATATTTTTAGCTGGAAATGAAATGTTTTATTATTTAAAATTTTTATTTACAAACATTTATGTTTTTATATAAATATTAATTAAATAAAAATTTACAGACAAAATCAATTATTAAAATTAAATTATAATAAAAATATTACGTTTATTAAAAGCTATTACAAATTAATCATAATTTTACGTTTTTTGATTCATAAATTTTGTTTTTAAAACTAATTTGAATTTCAAATTTTTAAATGATATGATTAAAGTAATTTTTTGGAAAACTTTAAATATCAACTATATATATATATAAATGGGATGAAACAGATATGGCATAGATTGAAATGAAAGACAGATAGATAGCAGAAAATAACTTATTTTGAAAGCAAAGAAAAAATATGAGTTAAAAGTTAATTTTGATTTTGACTGCAAATCATTTGGAAAGAAAAAACTTATTTTCCTAAATGTTAAGAATAGATATACAGACTGTATAATACAGTATATTAAAAACGGACTCAAAAAACGATATGAAGCCGTTATTCTGTATGAAAAAAACAGATAATATCTGTAGTAAATATAGAGAAGCACTTTATGTTAGTGAGGAGTGGTTCATACAAATTGTTATTTTTATCGGCAAAAACAGTCAAAATAAGACAACATTTGTATTACCAAATATATATATATATATTAGTAGATTTTCATTACTATGATTTAAAAAAGAAAAGTAAATTCATAGACAAGTGATTACAATAAAAATATGTTTTTAATATGTTTACAGAAATACGTGTTCTTCAGTAATATAAGAGAAAGAGAGCGAAATGTCTTATAAAACAAGCCCTCTATAAGTCTATGGTCTCTAATTTAGTAATAAATGCGGCGCTTATACAGTCAAATGTGTGCACACAATATATTTATGTTTATATTTGTAAAGCCTATTATTATATAAATTGTTGAGAAATACAGTAATTATTGATTGAAACGAGTCATCACCTGAACAGCTAAAGCAAATGGTAGCAAATTTTTTGCCCAAATTTAGTGGTGGATCTGATATTAGGTCAGATATATATAGGAGAGAGAGAGAGAGAGAGA